GAAATATTTTTGATGGGTAAAATTTCAGGAAAGAGCTATAAGATCTAATAGGAATTACCGTAAATCTTCTAATAGAACCACACTCTGAAAGAAGCACACTCCCTAATATAAGCACACCCCTAGTATATCGACTGAATAAAGAACTAATAATTTTGTGCATCTCATCAAAAACCTGTACCCAGACACGATCCCCGTACACCCCAAACCCCTGAATGTTAGAGATGAAATCCCAATTGCAACCCTGCACACTCCCTACTATAAGCGCACTCTACGAGATAATCGAAAAATAAAAGCACATGTGGTTCTATAATATTAGAAGATTTAAGGTATGTAGAGTACATATATGTAGAGATTTTACTAAGCTTTAACCAAAGCAAAGGGCCTTTATAATTTTGTCCACTGTTTTGTATTCCTCACCTTAAATTCTCTCAAAATTTTCTTAAAAGTTTGCCCCAAATAAATATAAAAAATTGTAGAGGATGTTGTAAATTTTATAGAAAATTTTTTCCATTCTGATTTTGCTGTTGTTTCATTAATTATAAGAACATTAATTTTTGTTATTATTTCATTAATATTAATTGCTTTAAATATGTCTACAAGCATTTCGACGGGGATGGAATTTTTAATTTTTATTTTATTTTTGTTTTGAATATTTTGAAGAATATTTTCCATTTTTTAATTTTGAATGAAAAATTTTTTAAAAAATTATTAAAAACGAAATTTTCACTTTTTAGGCTAAATTGGTTAAAATTATAATTAAATGCATAGAAATGTTGGGATTAATCTTGCGAGAATAAAAGGGCTTTTGTTACAACCACGTAGGATATAAGCCTAAATTCAGTCACCCCCACCCTTTCATTTCCAACTAAAAGTTTATATCAAAAAATTCAATAGTCCCTGCTAGGTGGACGAAATCTAAGTCGAAAATTCGCTAAAGTCTAATTTATTAAACTTTAAAAAGAAAGTTTAAACAAAAAGAGCTTTCAACAAAACTGCATAAAATAAACCACCAAATGTAAGTAAAGTGACTGAATCCATTTCAGAAAAATAGCAAAAGATTGGGTGAGTGGGCGAAAAGTTCCGCCCCCTTACTAGGATGGGCGGAAACTTTACCGGCCTTACAAATTAGTTATGTATTTGAACTGAAAAATTTTGGAGGAAAGCATTAACAGCTACACATATATTTTTGGGATTCTAGCGAGACATTTAATTATAAATTTAATTTTAAAATTTATTTAAAGATTTTTATTAAAAATTAAATTTAAATAAATATATTTTAGGGCTTGTTATTTATTTGGTACTTTATGGATATGTCAACCCCCCTCCTATTTTGAGTCTCAGAGTTTTCCTTAAACATAGAAAATGGTCAGAGATTATTTTCCTTTCCATGTCAATCATTTTTCTTTCTTCAAGCAGAATAAGTTAAATGTGGTAAATGTAGAGACGAAATGAGTGAAATGTAAGTACAAAATATGTGAAAAGGCAAAATAAACAAGCAAAATACTTGTAGAAGAAAAAATGATTGACATAGAGAAGAAAATAATCTCTGACCATTTTCTACGTTTAAGGAAAACTTTGAGACTCAAAATAGGAGGGGGGTGACATATCCATAAAGTACCATTTATTTAATAGATGGGTGGGTGGATCGAAAAGTACCGCCCCCTTGCTAGGAGAATTTAAAAAGGGCTTAAAAGAGGGAAAAGAGGGATCTGTCCGTTCTCTTAATTCTCTTAGCAAAGGGGCAGAAATTTTCGATCCACCCATCCATCTGTCAAATAAATAAAAGTTCCACATGCGTATTAAAAGAAATTTATTTTTTGAATTCTTTTTTATATTGCAAAAAATATCCCTCCCACCAGACGAAAAATAAAGGTCAAATACATATTTATAAAAAAATTTCTTTTCAAGTTAATAAACAAACAAAGAAAAATTCTGATTGGAAAGGGCATCTTTCGAAATTTATTTACATACATAATTAGCCTTCCTTTTACATAAACCATATGCCGATTGGAAAAACGGCAAAATTAAAATAAATTATTTATTTAATAATGCTGGGGAAATAGTAATATTTTTTTCTAAGGTCAAATTTTCTAAAATTAATTTTAAAATTAATTTTTATTTAAAAAAATTAAATTTTAATGAAAATCAAAAGTTAATTAAAAAATACAAATAATTATCACAACAATCAAGAAATATGTAATTTTATTAATTTTTTTTCTTTCCATTTCTTTATATTATTTTGTAAATTTTATTACTAAATGTTTTGTTTTTTAAAAATTTAAAAATTTTATTTTTTAAAAGAAAAATAATTTTAAAAATATTTTTTGTATCGAAGAACACGTTCCCCTCTCCTCTAAATAGAGAAATGTAAGCTAAAGGAAGATCGGACACAACCAATTATTAACCGGTACCTCCGGTTTAGGTACGGCACAAGTAGGTGCGCGGCCATAACGGCGCAAAGCCATAACTTGCTTCAAGATTTCCGAATCTTTCAATTTAGTATTAAACGATTCAGCTAAAGAGATTGGTGCCAAAATTGTTAGGGTCCAGAAATTTTCTAGCTAATTATGGCTTTGCGCTTACCTGGCCGCGCGCCTACTTGGGCGTGTCCCCTCTGGTTTACGATTAATCCAAAGTTAAAAGGCTCTGTTTTTGAGTTTTGTCAAACACCGATTTTATCTGGAGGAATTTTTTAAATATGTTCTACTCACTTTCAAAAATTTCCAATTTTAAAATTGGTCGTGTCCAACTCAAGTTCCCTCTCATAAAAAATTTTATTGGACTAATAATGTGTTATCCACAACTATATTTAGCGGATTAAGTTAATATAAGCATTAATTTCTCTTTATTTCTTATAAAAAATTTTTCTAAAAAACCTACAAATTTTATAAATAAAAATTATTTCCATTTTTTTTCTACTAAAAATTTTCATTTTGCCACCACATAAAATCCCGTTTTATTCTAGTAGAGATGAGATCATTTTGGAAGTGTTCCTCAAAGTCACTTAAATTATTTTGTTGTTGTTTTTGGATAACATTATTTCCTTCCCCAAAATAATTATTAATTTGTTGTTGTTGGTGGTGGGGAGTGTTTTGAATAGTAAATTGTTGGGGGGAATTTAAATTATTTTGTTTTTTGTTTGGTTGAAATATATCTCCAAATAAATCAAAAAATAACGGGTCTGTAGGTCGTGAACGGGTACTTGGAAATGTGTGTACCATCCGAATGTTTTCTATCAAGTCACGAGAAATTAGCTGAAAACAATAAATTAATAAAAATAAATTAGAAAAAATTTAATAATTAGAATTAAAAATTAAAATATATGAAAGCGGCGGAACACACCCAAGAAAATAGCAAAAGTTTGGAGGATCTCCCACCAATCAATTGAATGATTTTCATTCTTTTATCCGAGAGCTAGGAAGAAACTTTTCGATCTTGTAACATTTTAATTGGAACAGTTTAGGGCCTTAAACACAAGAGAATTTCCATAGGTGTGATTTGATCCTTTCAGAGTTCATGGCTTGCTCTACATGAAGACGGAAAGACAACGAGAAAGTGGGAGGAAAGATTTCAGAATTTTTCTCTCTTAAAAATCTTCAAGTAAATAAAACTTGCCGTTAATTTAGGCAAAATATGTAAAAGTTTGGCAAAACGAAGAGCTGCCTCTGATGGACTGACAGAAGCTGATTTTTGTGGTGAATGACTATAAAGTGCTGAATGTGCAGAATCTCTCAATTTTTCAACAAAAAGTCTTCCATTACTCGAAAGTAGTTGAGGAGGGTTATTAACATCTTTTTGATTAATTTTTGGGGAAAGGAGGGAAGAAGTTGTGGATGTTGTTGAAGTACTTCCCCCTCCTCCTCCTTCATTATTATCTTCTCCACTAGCTGAATCCATTCCCAAAACAATTATTAATTTCATTAAAATAAACTCTTCTTGGTCCATTTTTAATTCATCAAGTAATCGAACTAGTGAACTTATACTTTTACTGACAATTTGTTGTGTTAGAAAACTGTTGGGAACGATCTAAAGAGAAAACAATTTAAATTTAAGGGACGATTAGGCGCGGAGAATGTTTGGGCGTGGATGTCTATAAAACAGTTCAGATGGGGGTTAGAAACGTGAAATTTTACTCAAATATACATTATAGTGGTATCTAGAGGTTCTCAAAATTTAACAATTTTAGGTTCGGAATTTCAAAAGATGTGGTCGAAAATCGAAAATTTTTTGAAATTTTTCGAAATTTTAGGTCCGACTTTCAATATTTTAAAAATTTGCACTTTTACCGTCTCCCCAGCACACAGAGTAATCCCCGTTGGCAAACAAAGTAAATTTTGAGTATCTTTAGTAACTGATATAGTCCCAAAAGCAATATCAAACAGAACTAGTGGAGCAAAACCATAACAAAATAGAAGGGAGATACTAAATAAGTAGAAGGGAGATACTAAATAAGTAGTGTCTACAAAATCGGTGATTAGGAGACTTGAAAAAATTCCTATCGACAAATAGCAAGAAAGGATCATAGATCCAAAACTGGTCTAAAAAGGGGGCAAAAACAAACTTTCTGGACTTTAAGCTTGTTTCGAACCCCTCTAGAAATCCAAATAAAATCCACTTAGGTAACCACAATTTTATTTTAACTGTATAGCGAACAATTCTACACCATAAACAAAATCATTAACAATCCTCCACAACAAAAATTAATTATTTAAAAAATAATATCAAACTCTCTCACTTTAATTTTTCAATATGTTCCAAATATCACCATCTGTCATCACTTGTTCAAATTGTTGATAAGTACCAGGAGATATTGACTCAACAATATCTTCTTGATTTGGTGGAAACAATTCTCTTAATGTATCCGCAAACATCCCTGGTGGCAGAGAACTTGTACTTGGCGATGTATAACCCTTCCGAATATGCTCTACCAACCCAGGAGAAATATACTGAAAAATAATTTAAAAAATTTCAATTGTTATAAATAAGGCTATTAAAGAAAACTAGAGATTTAGAAAAATATCCACAAAATTGTATATCAATTTTGAGAATATATAAACGAAAAATTTGGGTTGGGAGCAAAAGTCCGTCCGTGTGAGCCAACATTTATTTAAAAAAAGTAATACCATTAATTTTGGCAGAATTTTCAGAGCTTTCTTGGTAATTGTATCAAATGCAAAATCGTAAAGTTTTTGAACAAAAATTTTTCCATTGCTTGATAAATTTTCACGACCATTACTACCTTGTATAAAAGAATCCATTCCACAGAAGATAATTAATTTGATTAAAACAATTTCATTTTTGTCCAAATTTAATTCCTCTAATAAACCAACTAATGACTTTACAACATTGTTAACAATTTGATTTGTTAAAAGAGAATTATCGTGAATCTGAAAAGAGAATTTTTTAAATTTAATAAATTGAACAGGACTTGTGAGCTAATAAAAATTAAAAATGAGAACCTAGAGCAATCAAATAATAATTCTATAAAATATCTGGGAACCAAAACAATTAGAAACCAAATTCTAAAATTCATAAAATTAATCAAGAGCAAAAAGATCGATTTCAAGGTTAAACTTAAATTTTGTACTAAATTCTTTGTCATTCCAAAGGTATTATAATAGTTCTAATCAGATTATATTATAAAAACAATTCTCTGCAGGGAACTTGTATGGTTTAGGTACGCTTTTTTTAGCCACGCCCTTTTTTTCTTTTCCATCATTATTCTTTTACTTTTTTTCCCTCTCAACCATCGAGCAGTTCGGTTAAGGTCAATTTTTTGTTTAAGATAGAGCTGAGTCGGATAACAACATCGAGCTGAGCTTAGTAAATGACACTATAATCGGTCCGTGAAATCTCTGAGTTGAGTTAAAAGGGTCCAAAAATTTCTAAAAAGGAATAAAAATGTTCAATCTTTTGAAAAAATATGATTAAAAAATAAGAATATTGATTCAAATTTGATTTCTATTTGGTGACGTTGTAAAGAAAAAAAATTTTTTCCTTGTTAATGTTTCTCAATGAACATGCCACAGGCAAAGTTAAGTGAAATCGAGGAAGAAAGAAAGGCTGACCATTATGCATATTTAATGTTGATTGATGATGGAAAAGAAAAAAGGGCGTGGCTAAAAAAAGCGTACCTAAACCATACAAGTTCCCTCTGCAGGCCCGTAGCCATGATTTTTTTTCGGGGGGAAAATTTTTCGAATTTTGGAGCTCAAGAAGCCAGATTTCTTCCATTTTTAGCGCCGCAGGCGAAAATTTTGAAAATTTCGAAGGCCGTAAGCCAAAAAAATTCACTTTTTTTTTGCCCCAGCCCTTCCCCAAATTTTTCCCTTTTCCCCATTTCGGGGAAGGGGGGGGGAATTCCCCCCCCCCTGGCTACGGGCCTGATTCTCTGTAAAAATACTACCTCAAATTCTTCAGGAAAAAGAATATAGCCAGGCAAACAAATAACTTTTTGAGCCCCTCCTTGTCTTGCTAACATAGTTCCAACAGCAATATCAAAAATTAGAAGAGGCGCGAAAGAGTGGCGCATTAAAATAACCTTTAAAAAATTAAGAGTAATATTACATAAATTAAAAAATAACCTTGTCCTCACGAGTTAAATATTCACCAGAAGTTTTAGATGTTGCTTCATCCAAATTTATTGCCGACAAATTATTAATATAAAAAATTGTTTTATGCAAAAAAATTTCTTTTATAAAAACAATCATTGCTGTTGTAATACTTTCAGTACACTCATCCTGTTATTAAAAATTTTTATTGGAAAATTTTAGGATTAACACTTTCCGGGATTTTAATTTAGAACAAATCGTGCTATTTGAGCCGAGCTGAACGATACTAAAATTAGTTCGCGGGAAAAACTGAGCTGAGATACGGACACCTTAAAATCGCAAACTGTAGGAGATGGCCAAGCCCATTTTAGAGTAAAATTTTGATAATACGAATAGCTCATTCGAAGGAGCTTATTCGAAACAGCGTGACTAAAAGTATTCTAAAAATTACGCCCAAATGAAACTTCTGTAGGTCGGGCATGATGCTCGTAGCGACAGTCTAGTCTCGTCAAACTCAGCTCGATGAGCTCATAAATTTCTGAGCCTCTAAGACCTAACCCTTTTCGAACAAAACAAATCATGGGTCACTATAGTACGTGTGCCCCAAGATATACCAATCGACTTCTCTCGTTGAGCTGAGTTTGAATATATCCTTTCTGGGGACGAAAACTCGCAGATGTACAGGCTCCTTAAAAAAGGATATTCATTTCCTAGAAAAAGGGATTACAGATTTAAACTCAGCTTGGTAAGATATCGATTGGTATATATACCGAATCGAGGTTGTGGATCCCACGTAATATAGTAAGCCAAAATCATTCAAAAGAACTGAAGATGCTGAATCAAATGAAATCAAATAAATTGAATTCGGATGTCAGAATTTGAATGAAGTTGGATACCCACTATCAGTGTTAGTGGGTATCCAACATCGCTCGCTTAACTTTGCTTACATTTACCCATCAGACTGTTACAGCATTCGACCCAGCCACACTAATTAACCCAATATTAAAAAACTATCATAAACCTGTTTTATTTCTGGCACAGGCGCTAATTTTGAAGCACTGACAATACGACTATCGATATTCTCTTCGCAATGAAGTAATTGTTTAATAACGAATTCGCCATTTATTGTAATATTTTCCATCTAAAATTAAATAAGATATGTATTTTGTTCATACCCCTCCAAATTATTTGAGTTAAAAAATTATTTCCTAAATTCACTCATTTATTTTACTTTTGATAAAACAGCTTTTTTCAGAAATAAAGGGGAGGGGTTTGAACAATGCATATTAATTAAATTTATAATTATATATCTTGATGTGGAAAACTACAAGATAAGAACTACAAGATTTTAGAAAACGACAAGATTTTTTAATAAAAAATTCAAATAACCAAATTAAGGGAAACAGCAGACTGGGACAAACCCAATTAGGCGCGCGGCCAAAAGGCGCAAAGCCATAACTAGCTGGAAACTTTCTTGCTATTATCAGTTTTGGCACCAATGTCCTTAGCTCGATGAGAGGAATCGTTTAATACTAAATTTGTTAAGATTCGGAAATCTTGAAGCAAGTTATGGCTTTGCGCCGTTATAGCCGCGCGCCTACTTGGGCTGTACCCCAGCAAACTACATAGACGAAATCTGGGAGATAATTTCATTTAATGGGCAAAACGCCAAGTATTTAACAAAATGCTCGATTTAACTCTTTTTCTGTGATTTGTCAATAATCTTCAAATCCGAGGCTATTGGATTTGAGACCTCGAATCTCGGCTTAAATTCTTATAAAAAATGTATATTAATATTTTTGTAGAAAAACTCTTCGAGATGAGTAGCTATTTTAGGATTACAAAAATTCAAAATTTGAAAAAAATCGGCCAGAAGGGTTAAAAGATGGAAGGGTCAAAGCGTTTAGATACGTATGATTTTTAAATTTTACCTGTTTTTATTCTAGAAAGTTTTAAAAAATTTTCGACTCTTAAAAAAAAATATTCGGTAATAGTGTCGTTTCCCATTCCCATTTTTTCTTCCCAATTTTATACCCTATGTTTGTACGGAATGGTCAAATTTTCCCCTTTCTTTCATCAAATTTGCCTTTCCATATTTTGCCTAAAAACAATCAAAAAGATTAATTTGTGATATTTAAAAAAGTATTAGAGTAATGAGAAGAATCATTTTCCCAATTAATAAAAATGGAAGAACTAAAGATTTTCAAACCTATTGATTTATATGAAAAATTACGTTTGAGTGATAATGATTTCGATGCATGGCTTGAGAAGCTTGGACATTTTCATGGAAAGAGAACTTGCTACAAATGTGGGGGTAGAACAACAATAAGTGTTAAGAAAGACGAAAGATATGGATGTTGGCGGTGTATGTACAACCAGAAATTGTAGAGCAAGACAAGGGTCTTTTTTTCAAGTTTTTAAAAAAAAATCTTTACTCTAAGGTTATTCATTTCCTTGTGAAAGAAATATGTAAATAAAAAATTAATCTTTTTGATTGTTTTTAGGCAAAATATGGAAAGGCAAATTTGATGAAAGAAAGGGGAAAATTTGACCATTCCGTACAAACATAGGGTAGAAAATTGGGAGGAAAAAATGGGGCTGGGAAACGACACTATTACCAAATATTCTTTTAAAATGTTTATTTCATGTTTTACTTTATTTGCTTAATTAGAAAATATTAATTAACCATGAAAAAGTTCGAACCCAAGACCCAATCCTAAGGGGATTTGTTGTCAGCGCTCGTATCTTCTAACCAAAATTTGGCTCCTATATCCGGAGGGGTACAGCCCCAAGTAGGTGCATGCCGAGTAGGCGCAAAGCCAGGGCCGGTATCATAAGAAGGTGGTTGCTGATTAGGTGATCAACCAGCGCCCAACTTTTCTCCCACAATTTAAAAAGAAGAGAGAAATGGCTGCGCCGAAAAAATAGGGAAGATATGAAAGAGGAAAAGTATACTGTAGTTTTCCTTTCCTTTTTTTCTACCACGCTAGGGAGCAGGGTAGAAGATATTTTAAAAATCATTAAAAATCGAATTTTGGTGGAAAAATTATAAATTTAATATTTTTCGATGGTTTAAAGTGTCCTCTATTTTCTGACATAATTTTTGGAATTTTCCCTTTAAAAATCAATTTATGAGAATTTTTAACAAAAAGTAACTAATTTTTCAGTGATTTTTTAAGAAAAAGTAGTACTATGTCAGAAAATTCATAACTTTTAAATAAATCTGCCAAAATTTTTGATTTTTTTTGTTAAATCATAGATAACATACCGATCTATATATTGGCAAAAAATAAAATTTCTAACTCCATTTTAAAAAAAGTTATGATTCTTTTCATAAATAGGGAGAAATTAGAAAAACCGGAGACATCGGTTACCTAACCACCTTCTTATGATACGGGCCCAGGTAGGCGCACGGCCAAGTAGGAAAATCAAGCTGAAAATCAAACAACGTAAGTCTATGGACGTCGGCGAGGCGCTTGTGCAAAATCACGGGCTTTGCGCGGGATTTTGCGGCACGCGCTTCGCGGGAGTCAACGGTCGCTGGGTTCTACAACAGTACACAAAACAAAAAATTATTTCAGCGAGATTTAATTGATCATAATTTTGTTCAGAATGATTGACTCGGGATGATTTTGGTGTCATTTGACATTTCACTCATTCAAATCCTCATTCTTAAGTATCTCGGTCTCGGAATTGAGAATCAATTCGCCAATTATTAGAATATTCTGCACTCAAATAAATTTTCTGTCTCTCACAAGTCACGCATCTCTTATTAATTCAATACACTTTTTGCCCCAAGACTGTTTAATATAAGTAATTATGTATTTACCTTAAATTCTCTCAAAATTTTCTTAAAAGTTTGCCCCAAATAAATATAAAAAATTGTAGAGGATGTTGTAAATTTTATAGAACATTTTTTCCATTCTGATTTTGCTGTTGTTTCATTAATTATAAGAACATTAATTTTTGTTATTATTTCATTAATATTAATTGCTTTAAATATGTCTACAAGCATTTCGACGGGGATGGAATTTTTAATTTTTATTTTATTTTTGTTTTGAATATTTTGAAGAATATTTTCCATTTTCTAATTTTAAATAAAATTTTTTCTGAAATTTAAAAAAAATTTATTAAAAAACGAAATTTCAATTGTTAAAATGAAAACTAGTTAAAAATTATAAATACAGGCGAAGAACTATTTAAATTTTAATTTTTGAGGCAACTGAATCTTGTAATAACTCCGTAGAGCAGGGATGGATAATTTTGAATTTTAATTCGAAATTCTTTTTATATCGGAAAAAGATTATTTTAACACCATTCCTCCCAAATGAAAATGTCAATCTAAAATATTCAAGTTAATAAACAAACAGAAGAATTCTGGTGGGAATGAGAGGATTTTCTGAAATTGATCTTCTAAAACTCTACCGCCGCCTTTTATCATATTATTTAAAGAACGGCAGGTAATAGTTCGGTTCGTACCCCCCCCCCCTCCTTTTTCCTTTCTCAAAGTATTAAAAAATGGTCAGTCAGTCTTAAGTTATAAAACTCGCCGAGTTGTGTCGAATGACACCAAAATCAAACCCATGTCTTAACTTTAGGCCGAGATACAGACCCCCGAAAATTGAAAAAAAGGTTGGACCAAGCTCATTTTTTGGGCAAAAATTCGGTTAAACAAATTCGATTAAGCTTATTCGGAAGAGCTTATCGAGCTGGTTCGAATGACATCAAAATCAACTTAATTGAACAAAATTTGCAAAGTTATGACATAAAGTAATCCTATTGTATTTAGTCATGAACGCTTTTGCATAACCTTTCTCTTTGCGCGCAGGGTTTTTTGTCTCTATCTCGGCCCTAAGTTAAAACCAGGGTTGATTTTGGTATAACCGAACGGCATATTTAATAATGTTTTAGGGGGGGGGGAAGAATATTTTTTTAAATAAATGAAAACAAACTTTTTTAAATTAATTTTGAATTAGAATTTTTATTTATTTTTATTAAAAATTAAATTTAAATTATTAAATAAAAATTAATTAATTATAGTCTAATAAATACATAGTAAATTTGGTAATAAAATACGGATTTTGGACATAAAATAAAATAAATTTAGATATTTTTGTATAAAATTATTTTTCATTAAAAAATAAGAGTTTTTCCTTAATAAACAAAAATCTTATTAAAAATTATTACATCACAATAATAAATAAACATTAAATTATTTTATTAATTTTCTTTTTTCATTTCCTTTTTTTTAAAAATTATTTTCTAAAAATTAAAAAAAAATTCTTAATTTTACAGACACAAAAATTGATTTTAAGAAATTTTTGGGCAGGAGGAACCATTCATTCCTTTACTTTATAAATAAAATGTAAGCGAAAGAGGAAGCAGTCATAAAAATTTATATATTTGTCTATTACATAGTATGCTACCCACAATGTTGTTTATTGAATTTTGTAGAAAACAAAGATTTTGGGCTGAATTATCCAAAATGGGATTTAAATTCTTTAAATAAATTAAAATAAATTTTTAGGAAATTATTTCCTTATTTTTAACAAAAAAAATAAGAATTAAAAAATTTTTTTTATTTTTATTTAGCAAAAATTTTATTTTGGTACTATAGCATTATATCCCCTTTATATTGTATGTTGAATGTAAACATCATTTCAGAGGTAGAGTTGTCGGTTTCAAATCGAACCGAAAACCCGAAGATTTTCAGTCATTTTGTGGGACAAAAATTTGCGGACGATGGGGATATAATGCGATAGTACCCTTATTTTTGATATAATATTTAATTATCACAACAAACGAAAAAAATATAATAATAATTTTATTAAATAATTTTTCTTTCCATTTCTTTATTTTGTAATTTTAGTAAATGTTATTTTCTAAAAAAATTATTTTTAATCAAAAATTAATTTTAAAAATTATATTTGAATCGAAGAAGCGTTTCCCCTACTTTAAATAAAAAAATGTAAACGAAAGTAAGGCATTCCTAGAAATTTATTGGAAGACCGACTATTAGCCCAAAATAATATTTATTTTATGTATTAAGCTAATAGTTCCGTGACTTTTGCGCCGCGACTTGTCGACTATATTAGGGGTACAGGTCCTTTGCGCCGGGCGACTTTTGCACCGCCACTATCATCAAAAGTATATGAATAGCTACAGCCAAACTAAAGGATAGTTGGAAATCTTCGGATATCCAGATCCCACAACCCCTTATTGTCGGATCTTTAATTAAAATTCTTCTATATTATTTGTGATACTGAGCTAATAAGCATCATTCATTCCTTATTTTTTTAAATAAAAAATATTTTTAAACCTACAAATTTTTTTATAATAAAATTTCTTTCCAATATTTTCTACTAAAAATTTTCATTTTGCCACCACATAAAATCCCGTTTTATTCTAGTAGAGATGAGATCATTTTGAAATTGTCTTTCCCCATAATCATTTAAATTATTTTGTTGTTGTTTTTGGACAACATTATTTCCCTCCCCAAAATAATTATTAATTTGTTGTTGGTGGTGGGGAGTGTTTTGAATAGTAAATTGTTGGGGGGAATTTAAATTATTTTGTTTTTTGTTTGGTTGAAATATATCTCCAAATAAATCAAAAAATAACGGGTCTGTAGGTCGTGAACGAGTACTTGGAAATGTGTGTACCATCCGGATATTTTCTATTAGGTCACGAGAAAGTAGCTGAAAAAATAAATTTTTGTTTTTAAAATAAAATAGAAAAAGTTTCAGTAATAAGTCGATCAAGCCCATTCCAAAAATAGCGAGAGATTGAATGGGACTTGACATAGAAACTCTCCCATGTTGATACAAGGCTCAACCATCCCATTAATGACTGTTTTTATTTTTGTATTATCTGCTAGGATGGGACTACTTGGACCAGTTTTGGACTTTAAACACAAAAAAATCCAAAGGATTTACATAAAATGTGATTTGATCACTACGAAAAATAAATCTGAGTTTATAATTTGCTCTCCATAAAGGTGATAGACGAGAAAAATGGGAGGATCTCACATATTTCCACTTTGAGGGTAAAAACTATTTGGCTACGAAATTTAATTATTAAGGGGGAGAGGGGGATATTAAATGTCAATTTTTAAATGTGAAGGGTTGGGAAAATAAGGATAATCTAATAAAGTGCCCATCTCCATACCCTAAATACTTCTTTTTTAATTTTTCTCTTAAAAAAGGAATTAGGTATATCCTTCATTTCCAAATAAATAAAACTTGCCGTTAATTTAGGCAAAATATGTAAAAGTTTGGCGAAACGAAGAGCAGCCTCTGATGGACTAACAGAAGCTGATTTTTGTGGTGAATGACTATAAAGTGCTGAATGTGCAGAATCTCTCAATTTTTCAACAAAAAGTCTTCCATTACTTGAAAGTAATTGAGGAGGGTTATTAAAATCTTTTTGAGTAATTTTTGGGGAAAGGAGGGAGGAAGAAGTTGTTGTTGTTGTTGTACTTCCCCCTCCCCCTCCTTCATTATTATCTTCTCCACTAGCCGAATCCATTCCCAAAACAATTATTAATTTCATTAAAATAAACTCTTCTTGATCCATTTTTAATTCATCAAGTAATCGAACTAGTGAACTTATACTTTTACTGACAATTTGTTGTGTTATAAAACTGTTGGGAACGATCTAAAGAGAAAAATATTAAAATTTAAGGGACGATTAGGCGCGAAAATGTTTGGGCGTGGATGCTCTTAAAACAGTTCAGATGGAAGCTAGAAACTTGAAATTTTGCTAGAATATACAGTATAATGGTATCTAGAGGTTCTCAAAATTTAAAAATTTTTGGTTTTAAATCTCAAAAGATGTGGTCAAAAACCGAAAATTTTTTTAAATTTTTTGAAATTTTTCGAAATTTTAGGTCCAACTTTCTAAAATTAAAAACTTTTTCTTTTACCGTCTCCCCAGCACACAGAGTAATCCCCGTTGGCAAACAAAGCAAATTTTGAGTATCTTTAGTAACTGATATAGTCCCAAAAGCAATATCAAACAGAACTAGTGGAGCAAAACCATAACGGAGCAAAACAATCTTTAAAATTGAGGAAAGGTTTTGTGAAGACAAAATTTTTCAGAACCTTATCCTGAACAGACAAGGATTCGCTTAAAAAAGAATTTTGACTTTTAAAAGTTGTTTTCTCCATAATTTCGTTTAAATTAATTGAGGACAAATAATTGATGTAATCGACAACTTTTGTTAGTGAACGGTACTTGCAAAATTCCATTTCCTCTTCGGTCACACGTCGAAGTCTAACACAATAATTAACCTAGAAATTTAATTTTTCTTACAAATTTTCTGACCCACACCTGTGTTCTATATCTATCCAAAATTTGAGGATATTCAAAAATACTCTCCAAATGAATTTCCCTTTTAGGGGCTTCATTCTCGCTAAAATCAACAACTTCGTTTATTGTCATTTCTGCCTCAATTAATTTTTTAATTAAAAACTGGCATTTCTCTTCGTTACTATCCACGTGATGTTTTTGTGTTTCCAAATAATTTTCTATTTTATTTTGATTTTTCTTTGGTGATAAATTAAATTCGTTTTTATCTTCAAGGGCTAGAACTTCCTTTGGCTGTTGGTGGCAAAGAGGACAACATCCAGCATTGTCTAGAGAAACTAGAAAAATTTTTAGAAAAATTTTTAGAAAATTTTTTTGGATGATGGGAAAAATAAGGAAGAATTTTTTGTTAACGTTTTTCAACTAGAAAAATAAACGTATAGTGGCTGGACTCGAACCAACGACTTTATCACTACAGAAATTAAATTAACTAAAAACAAATCCATTGAACCACACAATAATTAATAGTTTTTTAAAATTTAAATTAACTTATTTCACCTGAAAATTCTTTCGATTCTTTGCATATTTCTTTTTCCATTTTTGCCAAATCCTCCTCAACTTCCGAAGACTTTTTAGGCATTCTAACAGCTTCTGGTTGCATTCCAGCCTTCAAATATTTCTCTTATATCAATTAAATTCTCTATTTTTTCTTATACCTTTAAACACCTCTGCAGTCTACAATAACGGCAAGCATTTCGATAATTTGGATTTATATCACAATGGCCATCAACTCGGCAGATATATTTCATTTTATTTTTGATGGATCGCCAAAAGAAGCATTTGCATCCGTGACAAGCTGGGACACCATAATAACTGAAATTGTGAAAAAAAACTGCTTGAAATCTCTTTCTTGAAAAATATTTACTGGTGATTGCAGGCTGCGTCACCACAAACAACACACTGAAAATTTAGAAAAAGTTGATAAAATTTAAATTTTAGATATCTTTATTAATTTCCATCAAAAAACTTAAAAATGACTGGCTATTTATAAATTTTATTCTCTCATTCTACAGTATGGCTGTGACGAAATATAAATTTTTGTTCAATTAGACATTTTGTCCGTTGATATTATGACGAATCAAAAGCTATTCTTACACTTTACCTAAGCCGGTAAGTCCTAAATACTTAAAAAAACTTACAACTTCACAATGACCTGTCCCCAATGGATTCATAATAGCTCCTCGTCTGCCTCTCCCTACGGCAGTTTTTTCCGCTTTCCCAGTCGAAGAACGCTGTTCACTACAAGGGGCTGCTCCTGAAGCCATTCTTTTATTTTTCTTTTTATTTTTGAATTAAAATAAAAAATTAAAGTTGTTATTTTGAAATTAAAATTAACCTAAATTTGGATAGAAATATCAGACAAACTCTCTTAGTAGAAGACAACTTTCAGGACTACCGTATACAGAATAGAAGGGAGATACTAAATAGTGTTTACACAATTGGGTGATTAAAAGACTTGAAAATTCTTATCGACAAATAGGAAGAAAGGATCATAGATCCAAGACTGGTCTAGAAAGGAGAGAAGAGGGTACAGCCCAAGTAGGCGCGGGCCAAGTAGGCGCGACCGAGTAGGCGCGACCGAGTAGGCGCAGGCCAAGTAGGCGCAAGGCCAAGTAGGCGCACGGCCAAGTAGGCGCAAATGTTTGTTTAAAATATTTAAAAGTAAAAATATTCAAACTAAGTAAATCAGCATAAACAAACACTATTTATGTAAACATAATTTAGAAGAAAGACTCTTGTTAAAAATTGGAAGAAAGGCTGGAAAATTGGAAGAACGTACTGTGCATCACATAGTTTTACACCCTAAATTTGTGCATTAACTAAGTAGTTCAAAAGTGTGTATTTATTTTTTTAATCCATTAAAAGCTTCTAATCATCCAAAGACTCCTAACTGTAGCTGGACTTTTTGTGAAATCCTTGAAGAAGTTTTTTCATATCTTGATTGTTGATTGTACGTTCGTATACACTCCATGTTTCCTTAAACTAGTTAGTTCCTAAAGGAGACTAACTATTTAGTACAGGTTAAGTATTCATGACGTTGGTAAGCCACAGGAATTATCAAAGCAGCGCGGCTTTCATAATTAACAAACTTAATCAGTAAACCCTCCAAAACTTATCAACAGCTAAGTATGAAGACTTTATGAGAAAAATATTACAAGAAAAGATCTTTCTTAAATTTTATCAAAAAATAAAAACATCACCGAGCTTTACTTAATAAAGTGTCTACATAAAGTTGCTTGATTATTCAGCTAACTAATTAACAAAATTATTTAAAGATTAACAAAAAAATTGTTCGGTAAAATTTAAGAAATTTGCCCTTGCGCCTACTTGGCCGTGCGCCTACTTGGCCTTGCGCCTACTTGGCCTGCGCCTACTCGGTCGCGCCTACTCGGTCGCGCCTACTTGGCCCGCGCCTACTCGGGCGTGTCCCGAGAGAAGACGAGGTATTCAAAATAGAAAAAACTAGAGTATCGAGCGAGTACGAGGTTACTAGACTCGATCGCTCGGGTTTTTTCGTCTTTATTCCGGAACTCGGGATCCTAACACTGGGGGGGTCCTAAAAACCTCGGAGTGGTACTCTTGTGTTATCTCCCCCATTTTATTTTCCTTCTCTTTCATTTTTATTTCTCAAAAAAATGCACATGGGTCAAATTGAATCTATGTCGTGAGTTACCATGTTTTGAAATTAGAGAGCCAATCCTAACGTTGCTGTGCTGTACCAGTACTTCTATTTTTACAATACGCTCACTGTATTACCAGAATATTTTAAGGGAATATAGGTACCTATTCATCCAGTTACCATAACAAGCACGATAATGGAAAATGGTCATTAAAACCAGAGCCGGGTACCTATCACCAAAATTCTTTAACAGTATGTTAATCAGATTCCTGTGTGCTTTTTATGGCGAAAGGAGAAGGAAAATAAATGGGGGGAGATAACACAAGAGTACCCTCGGAGTTTCCCCCATTACTCGGTACTCGACGTACTCGAATAAAAACCTTCACTTTCAGGACTACCCTTTTACGTAAAAAATTCTTTAAAATAAAAGAAATATTTAAAAGAAAGTTAAAGAACTAAAAAAGAAAATTTGACTGTAAAAATCATTTTTTTATTTAAAATGTTGGTTACTTCTTGGGTGAAGAAATAAAAGGAAGGCGTGCGCACAATCGAATATAATAAATTTATTTATTGATATTTTGTTCAACGTTTGTCCATGTATAAATTTCATGAGAATGAGAAAAGAAAATATATATTGGTTTGATCACATGAAAGTTTTTTATCTTTCTATACATTCTTGGGTGTTTTATTGAATAAAACAGAAAGATAGACGACCATAAATCAAAAAATAGAATTAAAATAGTCCCAAAAATGTGTTTTGGAAATGAGAATTTAATAAGAATATTGAAGGGGATCTCATTGATGGGCTAGAAACATTTTTATCTTCTTAAGTTTCAAGGAAGATGGGGAGACTTTCTACCCGTTTCCAGGAAGTCTCCCTCCCTATCAATAATGAAAAAATGTCTAAAAAAGTGTTAGTGAACAAAATGGATCACTGCAATTGTAGTTAGTAGTGATGTTTGGAAGTTAAAAAACACCGAGACCGAGAGCTTAAAAACCCCGATAAATTTCCCGACTCGAGAGTCAAGACCGAGAATCTCGAAAATCACTAGCAGTTAGTAGAGCCTGGTTCCTATACAATCTCAGAAATCATTTTTTGTCATTCATTTCTAACCCGTTCAAAAAAAATTTTCACATAAAAATATCCAAAAATAGGTAAACCCAAAAAATTAACTATACTAAGTTAATACTTTTTGTTTACAAATTTTCATTCTTAAAAAGTGAATTTTTATTAAAGCGAAAATTTTTTAATGTTAACTTAGAGAAAAATAAACAAAAGACTTTAAAAATAAAAGAGAAAAATAAAGAGAATAAAATTCGTGTCCGGACAAAATATCGAATCGTTAAAATATGGAATAGGCTAAAAAAGGGTTAAAATCTCGAATCGGGTAAAAATGGGTTAAAATCGCGAATAGGCTAAAAAGGGGTTAAAATGTGGAATCGTTAAAATATGGAATGGTAAAAATATCGAATCGGCTAAAAAAGGGTTAAAATATGGAATCGTTAAAATATCGAATTGATAAAATGTCGACACGGCCAAAATAGGTCAAAATGTCGAATTTTTTTAAAGATGCGCCAAAACCTTGAATCCGGGCGTTACCGTAATACCGACGGTATTTTTCGGTATTCCGTGTCGGTTGTACGGTACGGAATGCCGACCGATAAAATTTAAAAGCTGACCGTTATTTTTCGGTATTCCGTACCGTATACGGTAAGGTCAAACTTTAGGTCTTAACTAAAAACTAATGCATACCACTCTAATTTTTCCATATCAGGATCGCGTTATGTTTTCCGGATCCGTACGATCATGCCGGACCGGATCCGGTCGATTATGCTTGATTTATCCGGTCCGGTTTTACTCGGTAAAGTACAGTGAACTCAGACAGAAAAGATTACGACGGACTACGACTTACCAAACTTATCAATCAACTTATCATCAATAAACTGATGTTGATAAAATTATCAACAATCAACGTATGGCACAAATCTGACCCGTTTTTAAAAGAATTCGACATTTTGACCCATTTTGGCCGTGTCGACATTTTTACCATTCCATATTTTTACGATTCCATATTTTAACCCTTTTTTACCCGATTCGATATTTTAACGATTCCATATTTTAACGATTCGGTATTTTAACCCCTTTTTAGCCTATTCGCGATTTTAACCATTCCATATTTTAACGATTCCATATTTTGTACCGGAGCCATAAAATTCTCTAACACAGCCGCGTAAATGTTCTCTTAGCACTTTTTCACGTGCCCGCTCAACTCATCGAATCCTTAACTCATCGAATCGACCAAAAACGCTCAACTCATCGAATCGGCTAAAATTCCTCAACTCATCGAATCGGCCAAAAACACTCAACTCATCGAATCCTTAACTCATCGAATCCTCAACTCATCGAATCGGCCAAAAACGATCAACTCATCGAATTTTTCCAAAAGGGGACGTTTGAGTCCCCTGTTTTTATTTTTCTCCCGAAAGGGCTAACTGAATCTTCGTTGAAAAAATTTTTTGCTGCTATGGAGGCTAGGAAAAAGGGCTTTTGGGCATAATCGGGGTCTACTGGACTAATTTGGTCCGGTTTTACCCGGTAAAATCTCCGCATAATTTATTAGGAATGAGATAATGTTTTCAGGAATGAGATAATGTTCTGATAATGTTTTCACTGGCCGGATAAACTTGGATGAGTGCCCGATCAACTAATTAACAAAATTAGTTGAAACCCCAGAAGAAAACAAAAAAAATAAACAAAACAATAAAAAATCTAAAAAATAAACACGGGGACTCAAACGTCCCCTTTTGGAAAAATTCGATGAGTTGATCGTTTTTGGCCGATTCGATGAGTTGAGGATTCGATGAGTTAAGGATTCGATGAGTTGAGTGTTTTTGGCCGATTCGATGAGTTGAGGATTCGATGAGTTAAGGATTCGATGAGTTGTAGGGTAGCCCTTTTTCACAAAGAAAGTTGTTTTTCTCTAATTTTTGCTTTAAATTTAACTGTAAACAATAAACAACCAGCCGTCCGCCATTTAATCGCAGCATTACCGGCCGTGTGCCATATAATCGCACACACTTATTGTTTAAATAAAACGCAGCCATTATATCGCAACTATGAAACTTTAATAGAGCACCTTTTAAGTTAGCACAATTTCCAGACCCAAATACAGTGGATTTAAGGGGAGAAAATAGCTGGCGACTTGGGTAGTAAGCGGCGGTTGTTAAACAGTTATAGATTTATTATCGCAAAATTATTTTTTAATAATTCATTTTTTACAAACTACCTATTTATCTTTATTAAACCATGTTAAATAGTTTTATCAGTAAACACCGAAAGTTTGACCTCTCCGCATTTTTATGGTTTTGTGATAATTTAAATTTGTTAGGAATTAGTTAAGTTCTTGAACAAAAACGGACCGGTTTTGTTCTTTTCTATTTTCAAAAAAACTATATTTTAAGAAATACAAATTTTTTGAAAAGAAAAAACAAAAATTTTACAAACTGTCAGATTTTGGATTTACAGATAGCTTTTGAATCTCCTTAATCTCAAAAAAAATGATTAATTAAATTTTTATGAACCCGCAGAAATTTTCGTTTTATTGACTGCTTTTGTTCTGTTATGGTTCGTTTTTTCTGATGTTTGTTTGTTTTAATTTGTTTTTACCTTTTAATTTTGTTCTGATTTTAATTGTTTACCATATTTCTACCGTATTTAGTTTAGAATAATGTTATTGCCAATTCTATTAAAGATTCGATTTTGTTTAAAAAAGGTATCTACAGAAATCATCAGATATTAAGGCATTCACATAAATCTGTTTTTGCGAAAAACAAAATTAGGAGGGGATTTTGAGGGGAAAAAGGGAGAAGTGAGAGCAAGTAAAAGGAAAAACTCAAAATGGAAAACAAGATAAAAGAGGATTAGCAAAAACAACAGGAGATTTCTTGGCAAAATAGAGATAGCAAGAGATTTGTATATAATCAGATAGAACAAGGGTGTGTAGGTTAATAGGGAACACAAGAGTTCCGAAGGAATAAACAGAACGGCAGGGACTGGGCCGTTTTGGCGCGGGGCCGTTTTGGCGCGAGCTTATAAGATAGCGAGTTCGTTATCAAAAATGATAAAATTTTGCAATAATAACTCTCGCACCTTTATCTAAGTTCTCCAAAAATTTCAGAATTTTTGATCAAGAATTTCGGAAATTGTGGCCAAAAATGTTGATTTTCTGCAAAATGCCTAATTTTTCGAGGTCTATCAACTATAACTTCGGAAATATTTGATGAAAAATTCTGAAATTTCTGGAGGAGGTAGTCAATGATGTTAAAGAAATTTGAGAAAATTTTTATGAAGATAGGTCTCGCCTAAGTACCACTTTTTTGTTCTCGCGCCAAAACGGCCCGGCGCCAAAACGACCCCAACCCGAACGGCATTAATATAGGGTGTAACGGAGAGATTTCTATGTATAAACAGAAAGATCAAGGAATTCGTGGATAATAAGGGCTAACAACGTATTCGGGGATTAAAAGGGATCACAAGGGATTCAAGCAACTAAGAGGAAGATCAAGATATTGGGGGTACAAGGTAGAAACCAAATGTCACTCCCAGCCGCCGAAAAACCTTTTCGCTAGCAAAAAAGAGAAATAGCTATAGTCCAGCAGCTTTTCTAAAATATAAATTACGAAGTAAGGAAAGTAGTTTTTGAGTTTGTACAGAAACAAATTACATCAAATATTTGGTCAAATTTGGATATATGCTTCTTAATTTTTGATATTCGTTCAACCCCATGCAAACGTTTTTGATCCCTACAAATCGTCTTTTATCCTAATTTAAGAGTTAAGAAAAATATCTGTTGTTTTTGAGGGAAACGGGAAAAATGCAAAACACAGGCGAATCAAATGTCTAGCATTTTCTTGCAACCTTTTCAACCAAGAATCACAGAATAACAACGAGTGCCATATCGTTTTTGTGTTATAAAATTTCCGGGCATATTGATATCGTGGATATTTAGGGATTTGGAGTGAATAATAGGACTTATAGAGAAAACAAAAGATAACGAAGGATATCAGGGGATTCTTCCTAATATATCCATAAAGCCTTCTTGATCTTATTAAACTATAAAGGCAGAGTAAAACTATCAAGGCAGATAAACCTACCAAGACAGCAAGCATATTAAATGTCTTGATCAAAGAAAAAAGGGATGGATAAAATAAAATTAGACAATAAAATCCACAAATCCAAACAACTAGAGAGGCGAATTTTGGATAAAAAATTCAATAGTACAAATGATAGCTCATTTAAAAGAGCTCGACGGGTTGAGTTAAATGACATCAAAATCAGCACGATAAGATGATTCTGAACAAAATTATGAACAACTTAACATTCCTTTAATAAAAGTTTTTGTGTTGCTACTGAGGGTAGGACGGCATTCAAAGCTGAGAATAGGTAAAAAGAAATAGGATTAAGTTACGAGCCCAGAACCCAGCGACCGTAGACTCCCTGCGAGGCGCGTGCCGCAAAACCCTGCGCGAAGCGCAGGGTTTTGCACAAGCGCCTCGCCGACGCCCATAAGTACACGTTGACCATTTTGAGCCTCTTTATCTTGGCTCAGGTGTCATTCGATTCAGCTCGAGGATCTCTTACGAATGAGCTATCATTCAAAAAATCGAATTTTTCACCCCAAAATTGTGCTTATCCCCACTATGGTTTTCCGATTTTCGGAGACCTATATCTCGGTCCACAGGCATCACCGGAAAAAAGTCGTTCGTCTTTGCACGCTGAGACGAAAAGAATGGTATGGGTCTTATATCGAATCCTTTCCACCGGTATACTATACTATATCCAAATTAGTGAAACCTCCTCCCCTCAAAACCCCTAGGTTCTCAAAATACATTATTTACACGCGAACCCCTTTTAAACATGAGATAAGCTCTAAACAGAGCAATAAAATCGTTTGTTCTTTTCACGCACTTTGCAGCAAATAAATTACAACTTTGAAAACTTAAAAAGAGCGGTAAGGGGCCGCGCAGCGGCCCCTTACCGCTCGTTATTATTAAAGAAATGACTCATATTATTTTGGTTTCACTCTATTCGTCGAAAGATCGGTAGACAAATAACTTCCGGTAAATTAAAAATAGAAACAAAATAATTAATTTAAAAAGAAAATATCCCCTTTCCGTCCCCTTTCTTCAATTCATAAATCAAAAATTCAACACAAATTTTAACGGTTACTAAAAAAAATAAATACTCTCTCAATTTTATATTTGTGAAGATTCTTTTATTTTTGAAAATTATTAATTTTTAGGATTTTAAGTACTAACTTATTTCAATACCTATCCAGTAGGGGTGTGCCGAAAATGATTTTAAAAAGCGAAAGGCGAAAATGCGAAAGTCAATAAAAAGCGAAACACGAAAGGCGAAAAGCCAAAAAAAGCGAAATTTTGGCGAAAGATGAAAAGGCGAAAGGCACACCCCTGCTCTCTAGCCTATCGTTGTATTTCTTTTTATTGAAATAATTTTTTAAACTAAAATCCTAAAAGATTAACAATTCTAAAAAATTTTCTAAAAAACAATATAATATTCGTATTAAAATAATCTGTGAGAAATAATAAGACAAAAAAAGGTAAACCAAAAATATTAATTGCATAATTCTCTAAATAAAAATATTTACTTTTTATTTGTAGTCAAATTCATGTTGCTGTCGATCAGCTAGAAAAATTTTATTTTACATAAATCTATTTAATTTATTTTCTTGAGAAAAAATTTTTTTAAATTAATTTTTAAAGAAAATTTTCTCTCTTTCAAAAAAAAACTAACTTTTACGCCGCTGTAAGGCAGAAAGAAAAGGGTCGTCGTTAAATTTATTTTGTTTTTGGACTTGAGCAAATGAAGGAAATAAACCGGATGTTGATGGCTTTAAAAATTGGTAAATAATTTTTAAAAATATTTTTTAAAGATCACCTGTGAATTTTGTGATGTAGCAGCGAATTGAGCGCTAGGATTTTGAGGAATATTGTTTTTTGCAAAAGGGTCATAAGTTGTCTCTACATTGGTAACATCTACAAATTCTGAAGAACCCATTTTGATTTTTAAATGGCCAGAAGTATATCCTCGACTGCCTAAAAAAGGAATTTTTTTTCGCAAATTGTCTATTAACACTAAATAAAAATTTTTCCCCTAAAGTAATTCATAAAAAGCTTGACTAAAATTAATTTCTTATTATTTATATGGATGGATCGGTTTAGGAAACTGCCTCAAACTGTTCGCAGAATCTTTTTGGAAATAAATGGGCGAATAAAAGGAAAAAATAGAAAGGACTAAAAATCAAAATTAAAAAAAATTAAAAAAATCCTTTCCCCACCTCTATCAAGCAACCAATAAGTTATTCCAGCCACACAATGTTGAAGCATATATTGCAAAAAGATTGCACCAATTCCACTAAAAATAAAATATCAAATAAAATTTATTTTTGAATTTTAATCAAACCTAAAAAGCGTCATAACTCCTTCTTTTCTTATTATTGAAGAAAAACAATCAAAAATTCCCGAATAACGACCAGCTGGAACCAAAGCTTCTGCACCGCTATCCAAATTGTCTATTAATGTGCGGGTGCCTTGAAAAGTAAAATAAATAATTAATCTAAAAAATTAAAAATGAAAACCTTGAATATAAAGTCTGTGAAGAACAGTCTCAAGTGGATAACAAACAATATCTGCAACAAAAACACTGGTCATTGAAGAAAAAAGTTCTGGCATAATTGTGTGATAACGTCTACGTTCTGAAGGAAGTTTACGACTCTAAAACAAAAGAAGAGATTTAAATAAATTGCCGAAAGTTGAGGTTTTATTTGGAAAATCCTAAAAATCAAGCCCAGAACATTTTTGAAAATAAATTCGAGAGATGTCAAAGTTAGCTTTTGCATATTAGGTAAAACAATAAATATGGACAAATTATCCTTGTTAGTAAAACTCAACATACTCCAGCTTAAAAAAATAAATTTTTTTTAAACTAACAACAAAAGTGCGTGTCCAAGAATACGAAGTAGTATAAACATATTGACAGACAAGAAAATGCATTGTTTGATGAAGGGATGTGGGAAATGCCAGCCAAAGCAAAGAATGCCTTCTACGAACGCCTTCTGCCATAGCAGAACCACCAAAAACGTCTTGCCTGAGTCTCTAAAAAATAAAGAAATATTTTTGAAAAATTCCAAAAAAACAAACATCATATCCTTTTGTAATAATTTCAGCAATTTGGAGATCTTCGGCTAAACCAGTACCAGTACGGACTGTTTCAAGAAAGGCAGTAACAATTACAGGGGTGCAGAAAATAAAATTGAAACTTGAAGAAAAAAATAATTTTGTAAAAAAAAAACGAAAAACAAACGTTTTAAGCCAGACATGCCGCCAAAATCGTTGAGAACTTCCATCGAGTACAAAGGATTTTGGCAAGCCTAATAATTCAGCGATGACCTGAAAATGGGAAAAATGGATGAATTACAGGAGACAGACAAAAAAACTTCATCAGAAAAATAAAATCTTACTAATTCTGAGACGCTTGAAAAAGCCCAGAGTACTCCATTACCAACAGCTCCTTTCCATAACGAGAGAAAACCCTTTTGAAATAAATTTAATTTAAAAAAATAAACTAATTTATACATCTTTTGCAGTCAATTTAATAATAACAGGCACCAAAGTAGTAGGAAAGAAGTGCTTGCGATAGGCATGGTCATGTATTTGGCATTGACGTCGGAGAACAACAAATGGATGACGAATGACCACACCATTAATAAAACTTAAAAAATATTTGGAAAATAAATTTAAAAAGTTACTTTGCAAAGCCAAGTCCTAACGCTGCCACAGCATCCCCTTTATAAGGTTTACCATGTCCAGCTCCACCAATACCAGTAAAAAAGGATGACATCCAAAATAGAATAGAATTTCAAAAAAAATTCTTTTTGTTCAATTAAGTCATTAAAATAAATTAGAGTATTTCTAACAAAAATTTCAAAAAAATCAAAATTAATATAAAAATATATTTATAAACAAAAAAAAAACAATGAACAAATTAGTAGAAGAAGAAAAAAGAAAATTCGTTCAGTCTAAAATGAGATTTCTCAAATTGAAGTATTGAAATAAGAATAGAATTATTTTTAGAAATTTTTTTAGTTAATTCACATGAAAATTTAAATAGAAAAATTTTAAAATATTTTCACTTAAAAAACTTCGTAATTTTTCAAAAATAAGTGAAAAAATATTAAATAATATAAAAATTAGAGTTGCCCTCGCTCGAACCAAAACTCGAAAGATCGAGCAAGTCAAGGCTTTTCAGCTCGAAGAACTCGAAAACGAACCGCATCAAAAACCAAACTCGAAAAAACCCCCGAACTCGGCTCAAATCGAAAACGGCAACCCTGATAAAAATGTTTTAGAAAATAAAAAATAGTATAGTATATGCATATTTCCATAGTAAAATTATTAATAAAATTTTTTTTAGAATTTAGATTATATATTAAGGTCACTTAGAGAATATTCACAATGCTTAAATTCACAATCATATAAAAATATTTTTTAATTAAAATTTTGTTTCATTTTTGTAATCTGACAAGGTTGAAGATGATGGGAGATTGTAGTATTTATTAGGCAAACGTTCCTTAACATCAACGAAGGAATATGTACCCTTAAATTTTGGATTTATTACAGCTTACATCGAATTTATAAGGTCCTTAAGCTCAAAAAATCGTCGTAAAAGATGGGAGGCTGAGGGAAAAATGTATCGTTAAGGAGTAAATTAAGTGTATAACTAACAATAAGACAGAAACTCCTCTGTCAGCAGCAAACCAAATTAAAAAAAAATACTTAAAATCTTGGTATCTAATCTTGAGGTATCTCAATTTGAGGCCCGACTATACTACTCCATTAAAATAAATTAAAAAACAAACATGTTGTTGCAATATTCTGGCCGGACTCCATCTATTAGACTGAACACCTCTTTCATGTGGCATATAAGAAAATTGTTGACTAAAAGTTGGAGAGATAGCCGGGGAAAGACGAAATTTGGGAATTTCAATACTTTCATTTTGCTCATTCAATCCTAAAACAAAAAATTAAAAAAAAATTTCGTGAAAATAGAAACCTTCACTCTCACTCGAACCAGAATCAATAACTTTAAAACGAGTAATTTCTCCATTCAAAATTGTCATTGCATCAGCTGATCCATCATGATCAAACAAAGAATAACGATCCTAATAAAAATATAAAAAAATACAATTTTTTAACAAATTACCTCGTCTTCTTTTGGAACTAATTGGCTATAACGGCAATAATAATCGGTCCAAAATCGAGGGTAAACTTTTGCTTTTTGACGAATAAAGTCACCGAGTGTTGCCTGAAATAAAAGGAATATTTTAGAGGTGTAGAAGAGAATAGAAAAGATAGGAGAGAATTATAAAATAAGTTATTCAGAATTTCAACCAAACTTTTCTTAAATTTACGAGTTTTCGAAAAAAGTTTCTTTAGACGAAAAGAAAAAAAGAATTTATTTACCTCAGGGTCATATTTATCATTTACATAAGATTCACGATTTTCCAAAATAAAAGACCACACTGAAATTGTATTTTCCTTAACTTGCTAAAAATAAATTTAAAAAATTAATTAATATCTCAAAAATTTAATGTTACCAATTCACTACGTTCACGTTCACAATTATACAAAAAAGTTCCAAAACGGCAAGAATAAAGTTCATCCAAAATAGTTTTTAAAAAACGGACATTAAATTCAAATGCTGATGTAAATTGATTAAAAAGTTGCCAAACACAGTCAATAAATTGAACAAAAATTGGTGAACGTTCTTTATCATCCGGTTTATCTTGACCGTGTCCAATCCGCTAAATAATTTTTAAAAAATTAAAAATTTGTTTGTGCAAAAAACATGAGCAAATTTGTGTCCAAAACTGCACCATTCCTTTTCAATAAGCACTGAAAATCCTTCAATTGTTCGATAATAGGGATCAAGTTGAAGCATTGTAAGTGAAGTGATCTGAAAAATATAATGACAAAAATGATCTCTAATTTAAAAAATAATGCTTCTAACCTGAGCAGTTCGATCCCAACCATCGCTAAAATAATTAAAAATATTTTCCCAAATTAAGAGTTAAAATAAAATTTTACCTGCAATGAACAAGAACAGAATTTTTGTGCAAATAAATTTCTCGAGCAGCCAATGCAGCAGCATCCAAAATTGTTTGTAAATGTGCTAGCCATTTTGTCTACAAAATAATATTTTAAAGAGATTAAAATATGTAAAAATTTTTACTTCTTCCAAAGTTTGTTGAAATCGTTTTTGTCTAATTCGTGGAAAACAGGCATCCTTTAACTTTTTTAAACTTTCACGTACAACATGAATATTTTGAATGTCCATAAATTTAAGTTGACAATTTGAATAGTTTTCATATCCTCCACCATTTGCTCTGTTAGCTTTTGCATTTATACTTGGTCTTGCATCCAAAATAAGAAGATATTTGGAATTTGGATTTACAGAGACAATCATATCCAGATAACTATAAAAAAGTAAAATTTAAAACGGAATTTTTGGAGTTGAAAATTTTAAATTTGTATTAGAAAACGAAAAAACTAGTGTTAAAGCTCCGTTTATCTCAAAAAATTGTTACTACCCAACCATTTACCCCCAACCCCACCAACTCTTCATCACTGGCAGATTTGCGAGACAATGCTCCAACAAGTGGTTGAGATGAACGAACAAGAGCAGCAGAAGTGCGGTAATCAATCCAAGAGAGAACCTAAAAGTTGCAAATAAAATTTTAAAAAATATAAAAATTTACCGGAATTCGTTTTTTGCTTCTAAATTTGCTAACAGAACGAAGAAAATCATCCGGAGATTTGGTTTTGAAAACTTCGCTAGGTACAAAAAGAAGGGATGGATATGTTCCAGCAAAATCATAATCCTTATTGATAAGAGTAGGGCGCCAAGAATCATTTGATTTTTTCTAAAAAATTTTCAAAAAAATTACAGAAAATTTACAGAAAATAAACCTGTCTAATAAATTCAGAATTTGCATCAAATAAAAGCCAACCATCAAATTGAAATTTTTCTTTATATTTTTTGGCAAAAAAGGGCTGAAACAAAATTTCAAAAAATAATTTAAACATTAAAAACCTGTCTATTGGTGTTAGGAAATGAGTATAATTTGAGGCAATCGAATAATGCTCGGCGATTGCGAAGTTCTCTTTTAAGGAAAAATCTAACTTTTCGGACGTCCTAAAATAATAAAGACGTCAGAAATTATTTAAAGTTGTAAAATAACTTTGCAATTAATAGAAATCCCATAAGGTTGTATCTTCAAATTTGAATTCTTTGAGCCTCCTCGAACATTGTAATATCCGATTTTTTCAATTTTTGATATACAACCAAGAACAACGTCAAATATAAGTGGCTAAAAATATAAATACGAATACACATTTAAAGTAAAACCTCAGAAGACATCCATTCTGGTATTCTCTCTTCAAATTTTAAACGATAATTTGTCACGTACAAAAAGCCCATACAAAGCTCCTCACGTTTGTCTTGTTGTTTGTGATAAATAACATTTAATTCTTAAATAAGAAATTAAAATATACAAGGAAAAAATACCCAAATGTAATTCTTCTCCAGGCAATAGCCAAGTAATAGCATGTCTTCTAGGTGGCAAGCTTTCAAGATCTCGAAAAGTATAAGGACCTCTGCTTGATTCATGCAATTCACTACCTCGTTTTTCGCTCAATAAGGATTTCTGAACATCCTTTCCTATAACAATGTATTGTCCATTATGATTATCAACAATATCCTGTAAATAAAAAAGAAAATTTAAAGTAATTTTAAAAATTTACCTTCGAATTTTCTGTTAGACCTGAAATTTCAATTGATGAGTAATTAACAGCTTGGTTGTAGCTAAATCTATTTTTGTGTTGCATAGTAATCATAGATGAGAAATCTGAAAGATTATCAAGTAAAAATTGATCAGTAATTTCTTGGAAGTACTTTTAAAGCAAAATGAGACAAAAAACTGAAGCAGAATCCCGCAAGATTTTTACAAAAACACTGACGTTTCGGGAAAATAATATTTTGTAATTGGTATTTTGTAATATTTCTGGTCAATTACAATTTGAAATACGTCCTTTCATTTTGTCAACTTATTGATTTTGTCCGTTTTGTCAACTTCGACTGACAAATCTTACTTATTTTGTAATAAAAACGCCTAGAAAAATCTAGTTTATCACCTAATTTTCTTTCAACTTTGTGACGTTCTTTGTAATATGCGTTTGCCTTAAATTAAATTTTTTGTTTAAATTGATTTTTTAGAGATATTTATTCTTCACTTTTCATATTGAACTTATATTGGCAGAATGAATTTCTCTGGTGGTCATGGCATGGAAGGTGATTTGTTTGATATGCTTTCAAATGGAGGTGGTATGGGAGGTTTTATGGGTGGAAGTGGACTTCTTGGACAAATGTTTGGAGGTGGTTCAAGACGACGGAAGGGAGAGACAACAGTCCAACCTTTAAATGTTACTCTTGAAGATCTCTACAATGGAAAGACTTCAAAGTTGCAACTCACAAAGAAGGCACTCTGCAAAACTTGTAATGGGTAATTATATAATTTTGTGAGGGTAATAGTCTCGTTTCCCAGCCCCATTTTTTCCTCCCAATTCTCTACCCTATGTTTGTACGGAATGGTCAAATTTTCCCCTTTCTTTCATCAAATTTGCCTTTCCATATTTTGCCTAAAAACAATAAAAAAGATTAATTTGTGATATTTAAAAAAGTATTAGAGTAATGAGAAGAATCATTTTCCCAATTAATAAAAATGGAAGAACTAAAGAATTTCAAACCTATTGATTTATATGAAAAATTACGTTTGAGTGATAATGATTTCGATGCATGGCTTGAGAAGCTTGGACTTCTTCATGGAAAGAGAACTTGCTACAAATGTGGGGGTCGAACAACAATAAGTGTTAAGAAAGACGAAAGATATGGATGTTGGCGGTGTACAACCAGAAATTGTAGAGCAAGACAAGGTTCTTTTTTTCAAGTTTTTTTAAAAAAATCTTTACTCTAAGGTTATTTATGTGGTACCTTCTTTGAAGGTACGCATCTGACCACAAAGAAGGTATTTCATCTTTCTTATTTATGGGCATATAGACTTGGTACATATGACTACATAGACTTTTTTATCCTTGTGAAAGAAATGAATAAAAAATTAATCTTTTTTATTGTTTTTAGGCAAAATATGGAAAGGCAAATTTGATGAAAGAAAGGGGAAAATTTGACCATTCCGTACAAACATAGGGTAGAAAATTGGGAGGAAAAAATGGGGCTGGGAAACGAGACTATTACCTTTGTGAGTTTATATAATTTTATTAAATTAGTGTTGGTGGAAAACCTGGCTCTGTTAAGCGCTGTGAATATTGTCGAGGTAGTGGTCGTGTTTTTGCAACGAGACAGATTGGGCCTGGAATGCTTCAGCAGATTGCAACACAATGTGACCATTGCAGTGGTGGAGGTTTGTTGTTTACAATAATCCAAGCGGTCCGCATCCTACTTCAAAATTTATTTTTAGGCGAGACCATTGATGATGCCAATCGTTGCAAGACTTGCCAAGGAAGGAAGACTGTCCAAGAGATGAAAATTATTGAGGTCAAAGTCGAGCCTGGAATGCGCGAGAATCAGAAAATTGTTTTCTACGGCGAGGGTGATCAAGAACCTGGAATTGAGCCTGGAGATGTTGTGTTGGTTGTAAAGACAAAGCCACATGATGTTTTTGAGCGTAAAGGCGAAGACCTTTTCATTAAAAAGTTTATTTTCTTTTTTAATTGATTTAAATTTTTATTTAGGACTATTTCTTTGAAACAAGCGCTCTGTGGATTTGCATACACAATTAAACATCTAAATGGCAAAGATATTTTGGTCAATACTCTCAGCGAGGAAGTTATTAAGCCAGGTTTTTGGACTTATTATCATCTAAATTATTTTTTTGTTTTTAGAGTCTGTCCGCGTAGCTTACAATAAAGGAATGCCAAAGCAGGGTAAACCCGGACAATTTGGTAATCTCTACTTTGTTTTTAATGTCACTTTTCCGCCTACACATTTTCTTGAGAATGAACAGCGTTATAAGGTTTTGAATTATATTTTATGTTTAAAAATAAAGAAATTTAGGAGCTCGAAGCGTTGCTACCACCTCGACCTCGTATTCCAAAATTGTCTGCAACTGCTGAAGTTGAAGAAGTAACGCTTTCTGAGTTCGACTCTCGTCGTTATGAACGTCACGGTGGCGGCGGGGGATCTCGTGAGGCATACCATGACGATGAAAGTGATGATGATATGCCTTCTGGAGCGCAACATGTTCAGTGCGCACAACAATGAAGAAATAAAATTTCAAATAAATTTTTCCTTTGTTTCTCAAAATTTTCCGATCTAAAAGAACATTTTTATCGTTAAAACCATTGCTACAAGTACACAAGTACTTTTATGAAATTTGTAAGATTTCTTTATCGCCCGTTTTGATCGTAATGTTTTTTCATTGTAAATTCAAAATAAAGGTGATATTGATATAAAAATTGGAAGTTTTTAGGACGATTTGAATAGTACCGATACTTGGAATATTTTTTTAAACAATTCCCTTTAAGTTTTATTCCTTCTGGCTTCTTAATGTTAAACTAATTTTAGAGAATTTTAATAATTTTAAAAGAATGTTGAAAATCAAAAGCATTCTCGGCTCTTCAACTTTTCTTGGTCGCTCCTTTTGTACCGAGAAAGTGCATTTTATCACAAAAATAAGAAATATGCGAAGAGCAAAATCGAGAGGAGGGCCAATTAAAGAAGAATTTGGAGATGAGGTTTGATGAATTTTAACAATCTTCTAATTTTTAAAATTTAATTTTAGATTGATTTTAGCAAAATTCGTTGTAGTCTTAAGTCCTTGAATAGATCGAATAGAGATCAAAACACGGCAACCCAAACTGACCCGAATCAACCAATTGAATTCGATTTTAATCCGTTTGATAAGGTTTTTTAGATTTTAAATTTTTTCTCAATCAGAATTTCTAGGCTGATAGAAAATGTTTACTTTGTGATTTGGGAATTAAATTGGACTACAAAAATGCTCGTTTACTCCAACAATTTATTTCTTCATTTAGTGGGCGTGTTTATGATCGACATATTACTGGGCTTTGTTCAAAGCAGCATGATGCGCTTATTAAAACAATTAGAATGAGCAGGTTTGAAGGAAATTTTGAAATTAATGTAATAGAAAAATAATTCCAAGACAAAAATAATTTTACTATAGTAGAAAATCAAATAAAAATTGAAGATGATTTTTATTTTTTTTGAAAAATTTCGAGGATTTTGTTGGTTTGTCTAGGGTTGATTTCTAGTTGTTGATTTTTAAAAATTAAAAAAATTTCGAAACAAAGTTTTTCTTTTGGCTTATCTAAAAAAATTTTTAAATGGGATTTTCATTTCTAGAAAATATTTTACTCATGAAAATAATTTGTTATATTTTGTCTCTCTATTTTAAAAATTTAAAAGAACAAATATTTTTTCGAATATTAAAAATGATTCCTTTTTAGATATGCCGGTTATATGCCACCACTTACGAAAGAACCAAAGTATTTGAAAGACCCGAAACTTTTTGATCCATTAAAACCGATTCGTCCACACTCTTATGATGGTTAAATTTGTGTTTTTATTTTTTATATTTATCACCTAGTTTAAATAAATTAGAAAATTTGTTTTACCCTTTTATTTTTTTAAATGAATGTTTATTGACAATTTATATTTTTTTGTTCCTTTAATTGTTTAATTTTTTATCTAAAGTTTTAGATGTCATTATTAACAATTCATAATTGTGCTAATATGTCCACTGGTTTGTCATATTTTTCTAAATAATTTTTGTCTTATTTTTCAGTTGATTTGCGTGAGCGTCGTCGTCAAAAAATTCTGCAGAATGCTGAAAAGCGATTGTCGACAATACTTAAGGGACCTGATGGGAGTGAAAATCGTCAAGCACCTTGTATGGACGGATTTGCTTCATTGAACGACGAGGAGAGATCAGAAGGAGATGTGGAAAAACACGAGGATGTTCAGGTTCTTGCTTAAGATTTTTTGGGTTATAAAAAAATAAAAAAAAATATAAACTTCTAAAATCGCTAATTTCATTGACTCTTTAATTTTCAGACCATTAATCTTCCGATTGTCAAACCAAATCATTTTGGATTTGTAGACCAAAATAGATTTTGGATAATGATAGCTCTTGGCCTTTTCTTTCGTTTAGCCGTAATGTTTGAATTGCTCAATTATGTATTTTTATCTTTTACAACAATTTTCTTTTCATGGGAATTGCTTGTTACATTCACTAATAGAACGATGTTTAGGAGGTTTGAATATATTATAATTTTTATTACATTTAAAATTTTAGATATCCAAAGAATGATTTTTTGGTGAATATGTTAATGGTTACAGGACTTAATGAGAGACTAGTGAGTTAAATATTTGTTGGATTTTAGGAGGTTAACGAGCCATAAAATCCTCACATATATCAAGCTTGAATAGGTAAGGGAGTAGATTTCCTCAACTTTAAGATTGCCCATTTTTCGAGACGAAAAAAATTAGGAAAGTGTCCTTTGGATTGGAACGTTTTGGAAGTCATGAAATAAGTGAATGTATTTTATGCTTTACTCTACATTAATTATAAAATCGAATTAAATCGGGAATTAAAAATTGGAGATCGTGGGCTGAATATTTTGGATTTTAGCATAGCGAGTGCTTCGCTTTTAGTATTTAATTTTTAAATTCAAAAATCTGCGACTATTTTTTTGACCTAAAATCTCATTTCTTTTCAAGGTTGTATGGACTCAATTTATTTTCAATCTGCTTTTGGAATTTACAATGGATGCATGTGTTATGTCATTCTCTTTCATATGCTTCCATTTATTATTTATTACTTGCAAATATTTGACTGAATCTGGTTGTTGTTCATAATAATTTTTAAAACATATTTTTTGTTAGTTTTGTAATTAGTTACCAAAATATAAGCAGCTACCCAAAAATTGTTCATTTTTTTATTTTCACTTTATATTTTTAAATTTACTTGAGCGATTATTTTTTAAATTACATTTTTCGGGATTAAATATTTGATTTGTATTTTAGGTTCCTCTCATAAGGTTCTACTATTTTCTTTCCATTTTTAATCTAAAAATCCAACCATTCTCTAACTTCAGATATTTTTAGTAAATATTTACTTTGATACCTCTAAAGCATCTTCGCGTTCTGCTGTCAATTCCTTTAAAATATTTAATAAAAATTTATTTTTTAAATGTCTGGAGAAACCTTTGTTGTAATTTCGATTTTTTGTTTCGCAAACTCATCAAGTTCCAATCCCTGAACAATTTTCCAGTCACGCGTTTTTGCATCAATTGTGATTGGAAATGAGAAGATCAAACCTTCCGGAATTCCATAAGAACCATCAGAGGGAACGGCCATAGAAACCCAATCGCCATCTTTTGTTCCAAAGTGCCAATCATGAATGTGGTCACTAAAAGTGGATAAATATTAACATCTTTAAAGATGAGAAACCCTAAAATGATCGGGATAATTCTTTATTTACTTACCAAGCCGCTTTTGCTGCAGACATTGCGCTGGACAGTTTGCGTTTTTCGATAATAACAGCTCCGCGCTTTTGAACAGTCTAAAAATGTGGGAGTTTCTAAATGTTCTCAAAAATAAATAACCGAAATAAATTCATTTTGAATCCACGGCACATCATTTACCGCTTCATAAGCACCAATCTCTGTGCCACCTGTTAAATAAAAATATTCAGATAAAAAAATTTGATTTCCAAACCTTTAATTACTTTAGCGTGTTTAACATCAGGAAATTGGGTACTTGAGTGATTTCCCCAAATTATAACTTTCTTCACAGATCCACAGTCGACCCCACAACGAGCAGCTATTTGGGCAATTGCACGGTTATGGTCAAGACGAGTCATAGCGCTGAAATTCTTTGCTGGAATTTTTTCTGCTGCATATTTTGCACAAATAAAAGCATTTGTATTTGCAGGGTTTCCAACAACCAGAACCTTTGAAAAAATTTTTTTAGTCCGAAAATTATTTAATTCTTACCTTAACAGTTGGCTTTGAATACTTAGCCAGAGCCAATCCTTGCGATTTAAATATTTTTACATTAGCAGCAAGCAAATCCTTCCGTTCCATTCCTTCCTTTCGAGGCATTGCACCAACAAGGAAAGCATAATCAATGTCTTTGAATGCCGCTTCTTCAGTCGTGACCGGCTCGACAGCTGAAAATTTAGGAGATTTTAGATAAAATTAAAAAAAACATATAAGATTCGCCAAGGCACAATCGTAAAGTTCAAGTTCCACTCCTTTAAGCACTTCGGCCATTGGAGGAATATCCAACATGACCAGAACAATGGGCTAAAAATTTTAATTTAAAAATATTTTTAAAAATATCAAACCGTTTCCTTTCCAAAAACATCGCCCTTTGCGATTTGAATAACCTGAAATAGAAATTTTATTAAATAATTTTTATAAATTTGAATAACCAAAGAATAACCAATTTGACCAGCTGCTCCAGTAACCAGCACGCGAATTGGTACTTGAGTAGACATCAAAAACAAAAATAAAAGTTTTGGTTAGAAAAGTTAAATTCTAAAAAATTTTTGTGTTAAAATTAGGCGCTTAAGACCGTTTCTTTTCTAAAAATTTTTTTACAAAAAATAGGACTCTTAAACCCAAAATATTCCTATCATAATCTAGAATCTTGAGATACGAATCTATTCTTCTTCTGTCCAAAAAAACTAACAGAAAAAAATTATTTTCAAGTTTGTTTAGTGCATACTAACAATTTACTTATATTAGGTCAGTAAAATCAATGAAAACTGACTGAGAAAATACTAAAAATATTTGGTTTTCAATCTCTCCCCATACATTCTCTGAATAAGAATGATGGGTTGTTTACATAAAAACAACAAAATAATAAAATAAAAAAGTAATCAAGTAAAAATTGATAAAAATCATCAAGAAACATTTTTAATATTTTTTATATAAATTTTCAACAAAATGAAAACAAAAAAAGAATAAAACGAAAACATTTAAAAGGGACATGCCCTTAAATAGAGTTGGATTTTAAGAATCGGAAAATCGGGAGATTTTGATAAACCATCGCTGAAATAAATGTCTCATAGTTAACCAAGTCAAAATTGGACAATTAAAACAATAGTTCTGACAGGGAACCATCGTTTACTGTGAGTATGAATTTGATATATATGTACCATCGATAGAGGACTCCCGACTTCCTATTGTGAAGTGATGTCCGTTTTCTTGCAAAATGACTTTGGGTCGAGTTATGGCCATTAAAGTTTCGGTGTTTGGGAGTGTTGTTACGTGTATGGGACAACGTAACAACAATAAAGCCCCAAAATGTGAATTTTAGGTATACAAACCAGTTATTTTAATACAAAAACGAAGGTATTTCTGATCCAAAAAAGTTAGGATTACTAGGTCGGTTCATAAAAAAGTTCGTTTTTTGTTATCGCAAGTTTTTTGGGTGATAACTATTTTTATCCCATTTTATTTTTATCTTATTTTGTAGCCCAGAGTCTTAGCTTTCTAATGATACCAAAATTTTAAAAATATCAAAGATCAAAAAAATTTTATGCCTTCAGAAGTGAGCGTGGGTAAGGGGAATATTTAGGGGCAGTTACACATCCCATTAAAACTAAGTAATAATGCAATATTGGCATCAAGAAAAATCAATGAAATGATAGGCAGGGATCTTGTCTAACCTAGTGTAGTTCAAAAATTTTTCAAAAAAATTCGATCTGGGAACAATAGGACCAAACGCAAACTTGGTCCGGGAAGGCCACCGACTGTAAACAAACACGTCCTTCCTTGTCGGTTAGAATGATATCCGGATATTTTTTTGACAGTATTGTAGCGGGGACATTGCTCTATAAGTACAATATAGCAAGTGTCGAAAAAAACGGATTGTGAGCCAAGGAGGACAAATAGAGTAATGCACCAACCGACTGGGAGACAAAAACAACAGGGACTTTTTTTTAGCCTTTCAAGCCTGGATAACTATCGAAAGGGTTGTTCATGGAACCGGATTGTTACCTAAGTTTAAACATATGCCAATTACGATAATAATATACAAAAATTGTTTGGAGGAAAAAATATTAAGACCCTCTTTTGGTCCCCCGCCCAACCAACTACCCAAAAAACGTATGTTGTGTATTCTTTTGGATGGTGCTCGGTCCGTTGATGACGGAGGTACTTCAAATTGGTACCACTACAAACTCCAACATGCATATTAACTAACTCATCCAGGGAGATTTCGTTTGTTACCTTCAACGTCGCCAGGGACTGATTATTAGACCTCTGGTTTTCCATTAAAATAACGCTCCTTTGCACCGCTCATTTTTGACGACCTGCCATACCCCAAATAAACTTTCTTGGAAAGTGTTACCCCACCCCCCTTGTAGCCCTGAGTCTGCTCTATCAGATTAACATCATTTCACTTCTTCAAAAAAATTTTTACGGGACGGGCACTTGGCTGAAAACGCCAAGGTCGAGACTGTGGTGAGGAAGACAGTGCTTCAGAAATGGGGTCAGATTTTTTTAAAAAGAGGTATCCACAAACTTTTTTCTGGTTTAAGAATGTTGTTAAGACTCGGGACAATTATTTAGTAAGGTTAGATTTTTTATCTGTTTTAGTTTGCTTGAGATTTATCGATTTTTCTTGGAAAATAAATTTTTGGAAAAAACGAACTTTTTTATGAACCGACCTAGTAGTAGAAAATAATTTCAAAAAATTACTAAAAATCCAACTCTATGTAAAGAAGTGTAAATGATAAAATAACAAATAATTAAAATTATTTGTGTATAGTCAATCAGTAATAGCTTGTTATATATTAAATAATAAAAAATCAAAACAAACAATCAATGCATAACATATTTGTTGTTCTCTTGCAATTCGCAAAGCTCACCGGCAAAGTTAATAGTAATACGGAAGTCCAAGTCACGCGGATTTCTTGAATTGGGCATAACACCAAAAACTCCTTCCATCTGCTCCCCTTTCTTGCAAGTTATAGAGTCACAAAGATAAAAAACTGTTTGCTTCCAATGCTGAAAAATAAAATATTTTTTGAAAAGAATTTTTTGACATTTTAGAGTTAGCACATCATAAGTGGACACGGACTCGGTCTATGAAATTTTTAAAAACAACCCAAACTTTTCATAGAACGGAACTCCTACATTTTAAGAATAAAATAAAAATAAACCGTATATTTCTGGTCTGGCGCAGTACTAAATCCGACACGTTTATGGCATTTAGTGAATTCAATAGTGAAAAAAGAAACTAAGGCTTGAACATAGTCGTTGCGGATAAACCGAAGAGTGAATGGAGATTCAAATGTAAGATCGGCAACAGTGACTGTATAGAGATCAACTTCCTTAAAAATTTTATTAAATTAAAAAAACGGACAAGGTTTCTACAATCTTCATTACTTCCCTCTTACTTGGGAGAATAAAAACAATTAATACAACCTCGAACCCCAAATTTATTAAAAAAATAAATCTCTCTTTGTATTTTTCGGGAAATTCCTAGCCTAAAATATTGTCAAAAACCTAATAAAAAATTCTCCGAAAATAAACTCACTTTAATTGCAAAATTGTCCGAAACCACCTGACCCCTGTCAACAACATCTACCAACGGCTCAGTTATAGCAACTTGGCGAATACTTGCCATATTAAAACCATAAACATTGTCCCACCAGTTGATCTTAAAAATTGTTTCTTCAACTTTACTGTAAATAATTTTAAAAACCTTTTCGTCCTTGTATTGGCGATCTTCAATAGCACAAACATATAAAACCGCTTTGTCAGGAAACAAAATACCATTTGGAGCTAGCCATTTATCACGTGCATAAATCACAGTGTTAAGCATAGACTCATAAAAAAGACAATAACCCATCCATTCAGAAACGATAACGTCAACCTTTTCACATCCATCTGGCAAATGTTGAATATCCTCAACTTTGCTGTGAACAACTTCAATAATATGGTCCAAATTGTTGTCTTTAATAATTTGTTTTGATTGATTAGCCATACTAGAAAACTCAACCTTAAAGAAAACAGACATTTTTGGTTGCAGTAAAGCTTAAGTCTTGGGGATTGAAAACACTATGATAAAAGATAACGTAATGGGTACATCCCAATGTGCCGCAGAGCCGTACCTTCGCTCAACATGGTCGAATCCGGGACGCACTAGTATGGTTCGATTCAGCTCGTCAAGACGCATAGAAGCATACCAAGGCGTCCCGGATTCGACCACTGTGACGGCCTGCTCCCAACATCAATTTAGGAAGGCCCAATTAAGAAAAATGAATAGTCGACATAAAACTGGGAATTGACAAGAATTTTTATCAGCCTAAAAAAATTTTCCGTGTGATTACATGAATGACCCAGGTTAAATTTGTTCAGTCTCTGGGGTTCTCTATATTCTAGCTCTAGAATCGTGTTCCAACTCACCGCAAAAACTTTCCTAGCTCCAGCCTTAGCAGCAAACATCGAAAGTATACCCGTACCGGAACCAACATCCATCACAACCTTTCCTTTAAACAAGTGACGATTGTGGTAAATTGCATTTCGATATGTAACTGTCCTAACTTCATCTTTCAACATTTCCTGAAATTTAAAATTATTTTAAAAATAACTTTAAAAACCTCATGAATGCCGAAATGAGCATAAGAGTCAAAATAGTAGTCTTTACTTGTCATTTCATTAATTGGTTTTGCAGAAGCATCGAGTGTTTCGTTGTTATAATTTAATTTTGAATTTCCATTGATTAAAACATTTTTAGAAGAAATTGACTGTTCAGTCATTTTGTCTTTAAATAAATAATACGACTAAAATAAAAATTATTTATTTAGAAAACAAATTGAAAATCACACATAAATTGTCAAAAAAACTTTTTTTATAATTAAAAAAAAATTAAAAATATTAAAAAAAAAATTAAATTTCTAACTTTCTAGCCTATACTCTCTAAATTAAAAATATACAAAACGCCATAATTTATTTTTGCCAAAAGACGTTAATTTAAAATTTAATGCAATATTTCTCTTTTCTCTCTCTCCCTTTCCTTTTTTTATTTTTTATAAATTTCTAATTTTTTTAATTAAAGGATTTTATATTTTTTGGTATGCGGCTGCTTGTTGGTCGTATATTAAAATATTCCTTAGTCGGTCTCACTACAGGAACCTCAATTTATTATCTCCACAAAAATGATTATTCTTTCTCACATATTGGAATTGTTAGATTTGCTCGAGTTGGTGTAGTTGTAAGTTTTTTTCTAATTTCCAAAATTTTATTTTCCTAGGCTAGCCAAACAATGATTGACTACAAATGGAGTCTTTGGGGTTTAGAAGTTGATTCTCCAATTTATGACGAAAAAATACAAAAATGCCATCAACGCGGAGCTGATAGATTGCTTGCTTTAGCGAGGAGAAATGGAGGAGTTTTTATTAAGGTTTGCTTAAAATTCTTAAATAGGGTTGTTTTTCGAGTTGGGCCGACGGCGAGTCATTTTTTCGGACCAAATATCTTATGCCCGACTTTTCGGTCCGAGTCGTTCCACTTTGGCAACCCTACTCGTAAATATTTTTAAAAAGAAGAGATTTTAGGTAGGACAACACATTGCTTCCCTTCAATATTTGCTACCCGAGCCTTACACAAAAACTCTCTCAGTGCTTCATTCAAATGCTCCAGAAAGCTCTATTGAAGAAATAAATCTGTTTTTGAGAAGAGTACTTCTAAAAATGTATGAGTAAATTTTTTGTGGGATTTTTTTCTAAATTTTTTATAGACGAACGCCTCTTTCATTAATTATAAGAAAATCATTTTTTAGCTCAATGACGTCTTTGATGAATTTAATTCTCAACCCTGTGGAGCAGCTTCCCTTGCTCAAGTTCACAAAGCTCGTCTAAAATCCACCGGTGAATACGTTGCTGTCAAACTTCAACACCCCCATGTTAGAGCGCGTAGTATTGTTGATATAGTTACAATGGAGGTTTTTTCTAAATTTATTTTTTATTTAAATTTATTTTAAAAGTTATTTGTTGGAATTGCTGCTTTTGTTTTCCCAAATCTTCGTTTAAATTGGTTAGTTAATGAAATGAAAAGGAATTTACCTATTGAATTGGATTTTGTTTATGAGGCTGCTAATGCTGACAGAGTTAGGCAAATGTTTGCACATTTGCCGTTCTTAAAGGTTTGTTGGTTTTTTTATTTGGGTGATTCGCTCAAGCCTGTAGCCAGGATTTTTTCGGGGGGGGGGGGGGGGAGCAAGGGGGGAAAACCAAAATTTTTCTTTTTTCCCATTTCAGGGGGAGGGTGATTCCGCCCCCTGGCTACGGGCCTGGATTCGCTAAAGTTGTCAATGCATATGGAAGTGAAAATTTTATAACCTGCTGATCCGAATTTTTGTAACCATAACTCCCTGGTCACCACTGACCAAAACTTAATGTGCCTAGGTTTAAAATTTTTTCAGTTGATCATTCTTCCACAAACTCTTCCAATAAATTAATAGATTTTCCATTTAGATCCCAAAAATATATTACGAACTTTCAAATGATATGGTTCTCACTATGGAATTTTGCGAAGGTGGAAAAATTAATGACTTGGAATATTTCAAAGCTAATAAGATTGATAGGCATAAAGTAAGTTTTTAATTAAATTAGAAAAATATTAAAATTATTTTTTAAGGTCTGTAAAATGTTGGGTAGAATTTACAGCGAAATGATTTTTAAACATGGATATGTCCACAGTGACCCACACCCTGGTAATATTTTTGTAAGATTTACTCCTGATGGGAATGAAGAAATTATTTTACTCGATCACGGACTTTACGTTGTAAGTCTTTTTAAACATTAAAGGCTTTTCTTTCGTAAAATATTTGACGAGAACGAACCCAGAAATTTTTAAGAAGACGTTTTGTTTGTGAATAAAAAATTTGCGGACTGTGAATAAAAGTCCGCAAAAATTGCCTGAAAGAGCAGCATCTTTATTCCAATCTTTTATTTTTTAAAGACTTTACCAGATGATCTACGCATTGATTATGCCCATCTTTGGCTGGCAATTTTAAAGGCGGACAAGAATAAAATCCAAAAAATTAGTGAAAGAATGAATGTTGGTTCTCAATATGGCCTTTTAGCATGTGTTGTTTCTATGCGTTCTTGGGATGCTGTTAGTAAAGGAATTATTAAAACAAAAAGAAATGAACATGAGGTTTTGTTTGTTTTTGGAAGAATTTTAATTTAAAAAATATTTTTAGATTAGAAGAGTTCAAAATTTTGCTGCGTCTTTAATTCCTCAAATATCTTTACTGCTTGACTCCCTTCCACGTCAAATGTTACTTTTACTAAAAACTAATGATTTGCTCAGAAGTATAGCTCTTAGATTAAAAGCCGAGCATAATTTGGATAGTTTTACTGAGGTTTGTTTCTTTTATAAATTATTTGACTGACAATAAGACATTCAAAAGTATCCCTTTTTAAGGATAGTCAGGGGGTTGGAGAGGGGGTTTCGACCTTCGAAAAAGTGAGAGACCTTCCTAAAATCTATTTTCATTTCTTGACTATAAACAATATTGGGCATTTTGAGGCTCCGGCTCCAATCTTTATATCTTGGCTACGGCCCGCTGGAGCTATCTCCGTCATACCCAGCACTGGCTATTAATATATGAAATGAAAAATTTGATAGAATTACCAATAGTATAAACATATATTCTACTTTTTTCAGATGTCAAAACATTGTGTTCAAGCAGTTTACTTCCACTCAATAGCCAATAGTCACTTTGCATTAGAACGTTTTAGGATTCGTTTAAAAATGTATACTTTACTTGTTGGAATTAGGTTATACGAAATTTATTTGTTTATATATTGTTTATTTCTCAAAACATAAAAACAAATTTTATTAGAAATTTTAAAATTACATTGGATCATCACGGGGATTGGTAATATGAAAATTCACTTCTTCACCAAAACTTTCATCTAACCTTTGAATTAGTGATTTATTGAGCATTGGAGTAAATGTTCTTTTTAGATGAGCGTAATCTCCAAAAAGACGGGCGCATGATGACTTGAAAGTTTTTGTTTTTAAATTGTTTAAAGGTGTGGCAAGAAAGAAGGTTAAGATTATTCAGTTTAGGTAGTTTATGGGCCCAGGTTTCGTAATTCGAAAAACTTTATTGGAAAATCCCCCTGGCAGGCGAGCAAATTTCTAATGACAAGAAAAAGGATGTCCTTCCCTAGTAGGGCTGGTTGCAATTGCGGATTGCGTGTTTTTTTGTTGCGGATTTTAAAATTAAAATTGCGGCTGCGGAAATTTTTTTCGATTGCGTCCAGCCCTGTTCCCTACCCTTAAATATTCTTCCTTCCCTTCCTAACGAATCAAGTCTTGATCCTGAATTTTGAAAATTCTAAAATTACCAAAGAAAGAATAGGTTGCCATGACCCAATTTCAGAGCGTCTTTCAGCACCATCTAATATAACAACATCAAAAACCATTTTTGAAGAAATAAAAATTTTTAGTAAAGAATTGCTATGTCCAATAAAAACAATATTATCTCCTTGATTAACTGCTTTTTCCACTAAAAGTCCTTTTCCAGGTTCAACACTTTTTCTTTCAATAAGGGCTCTTGTATCCGGATTTTTAACGATATTTTGTAGTAATTTTAAATCCAATTTTTGAATTGAAACAAAATTGGTTTTTCCAGACATTTCGTGATAACGGCTCATTAAATAGAGCTGATCGACTTGCGGGGAGATAATTGCAATTTTGATATTTGAATTCTGAAAATACGAGTATTTTTTTATTGTTAAATAGGTTTTTAAGGAGAAGGTTTCGGATGTCAGTATCTTGTAGAACCGGAAATAAAAGCATTTTGGCACTGCCCTGAACTGGAAGGAAAAAAACAAGGAACTGCCTGACTTTTAGAGCTTAAAGAAAGCGAGGACAATGTGTGTCTTCCCTAACAAGAATTAGTCTCCCCAAATTCTAATAGTATAATGCCAGTAATTTTTCCTAAAAATTTAAAAAAAAATCCGGTAATAGTCTCGTTTCCCAGCCCCATTTTTTTCCTCCCAATTTTCTACCCTATGTTTGTACGGAATGGTCAAATTTTCCCCTTTCTTTCATCAAATTTGCCTTTCCATATTTTGCCTAAAAACAATCAAAAAGATTAATTTTTTATTCATTTCTTTCACAAGGATAAAAAGCCATGCATCGAAATCATTATCACTCAAACGTAATTTTTCATATAAATCAATAGGTTTGAAAATCTTTAGTTCTTCCATTTTTATTAATTGGGAAAATGATTCTTCTCATTACTCTAATACTTTTTTAAATATCACAAATTAATCTTTTTGATTGTTTTTAGGCAAAATATGGAAAGGCAAATTTGATGAAAGAAAGGGGAAAATTTGACCATTCCGTACAAACATAGGGTAGAAAATTGGGAGGAAAAAATGGGGCTGGGAAACGACACTATTACCAAAAATCCCCAAACCTTTCTTGTAATAATATCCAAATACTTTGCCACCATTCTAGTTCGTGCCTGCCCACCAATGTGTATTGAAACAAGTTTTCTCTGCAAATTAAAAGCAGCTGCAAAAGCTAAACGTTCCTCAATTGTTTCCAAATCCTTTTTAAATCAAAATTTATTTTTTTCAAAATTCTCTAAAAATCACAAACCTCCTCTTCAATAAATTTCAAAGAATCAACCAATTTACTCCCCTGTTCCCTTTTATTACACTTGTAAGCATAAAGAAGCAAATCATAACCAGGAAGAGAATGCCAAGTATCACGTATGCTTAAAAACTCTAATTGGGAAATATTTGTTTTTGTTCCGGATAATTGAATTTGGACTGTTTTGTTCTACAAAAGATGTGTAAATTAAAGAGGAAGATTTATTGTTAGGGTAATAGTGTCGTTCCCAGTCCCACTTTTTTTCCTTTCGTAGTTCTTATAATTTGTACAGAATGGTCAGGCTTTTTCTTTCTTCGATCACAATCGCCTTCTTTCAGCCTAAGGAAAAACTAATTCTTTTAGAAAAGCGAGTCTGACTATTCTGTACAAATATAGGAAAAAAAACTTGGGGAGAGAAAGAAGGGGACTGGAAACTATTACCAAAATAGAAAGAAAATAAACCAAAAAAGGAGTTGAATCATCAATTGGTTGATTAAAATAAACAGAAAAACCTCCATTAAAAACACTAACAACAATTCCTGGAGAAATAAAATGTTCAAAATTATCTGATGAAAAATTTGGAATTTGTAAATAAATAGAAGAATTAACTTTGAGTATTTGAGAAAGATCGTTCTTTTGGCTCTGAGTTAGCTTAAAACAAAACAATTTAGAAAATTAACAGAGGTAGTTGTGGTTAAGTGCGATTGTGTTAGATTTGACTGGGAGGGTGTACAAGGTTCGAACCCGCTTATAGGAACTGGCGTTTGTTTTGCTTTTCTTTGAATTTTATTTTTGTTTAAATTTCGTTTTTCATTAAAATTATTTATCTGATCAAAAAGACCAAAAAATCCAAAACACTATCATTTTGGAAATAGAAAATGGAAAGGGGACTTTATTTAATTTTCTAACACTCCCTTAAAATTTAAGTAATAGAGATCGGAATTTTTGTAAGCCTAGGCCTGTTCCAGGTTTGATTTATTGGACTGGGCCGGATCCTGTGTCTGTAGTTCAGGAAAAACCTAGGCTCAGGAAAAATCCAAGAAGGTCAAAAATGCCTAGGCCTGGACTTTGGGTACATGAAAAACCTAGGCCTTGGTCCAGACCCAGGCCGATCTTTATTAAGTAAAAATAAATATTAAATTTAAAAACAAACGTTTTTTGACATATTTTCTGTTGAGATAACTAATTTGCTAGAACGATTATGTGAAATCACGTCTAAACATTTTAAATTTAAATCGAGCCATTGCCTACTCTCCATTTTTGTTTCCATATCTTTTTTCAATGCAGATTCCCATCTTTGGCAATCTCTTTCTATTGAATCGGGCAATGAAGTTTTGTTAATAAATTTTGTATTTGTTTTTGCTACATTTTGAGAAGAAGAGGGGAGTAGATTTTCTAAAAATAAAAATTAAAAAAAAAAGAAAACAATTAACCATGATGAAATAAAGCTTTGGCACTTGCATTAAATTGTCGAATAATGGAATGAGAGATCCGTTTAATCATTCTGATAAAAAAAGGAATTTATTAATCTTTTGAAAAAAATAATTTTACAAAAAAGATTCAAGAAAAATTTTAATGAAAAATTTAGAAAAAAGGCTAGAGAATGTGTAGAGACAGTTAGAGAAAATTTCGTGCCCGCTCAAAGGGGACACGCCCAAAACAACGCGGGCCAAAACTACGCGACCAAAACTACGCGACCGAAACTACGCAAGCCAAAACTACGCAAGCCCAAAACTACGCACGCCCATAACTACGCAAAACTAACTATTTAGTAATGTCCGGCAAAATCAGTTTCTTGATCCGAAAACCGGATTTTGAATTCCATGCTCGTGCCGGACCGGCTCCGTTTGAATTTTTCCGAGTTCCGGAAAATAATTATTTTCCGAAAAATATGTATTTTCCGGAAAAATACATATTTTCCGAATTACGGAAATTATTTTCAGGAAAATGGTTACGGAATAGTACAGATTTTCCTGAATTTTCCAGATTTTCAGGAAACAATTTTCCGGATTCCAAAGAAAGAATCATCAGAGAGTGATCAACTGATAAAGGTTGATCATCAGGGTCCGTAGAATAAATTCGGGGTTAAGTTACCCGAGTAACTTTTCCCCCACAAAATGAAAAAAAGAGAAGAATCTTTGCGCCGAAGAAATGGAGAAGAAAAGAAAGAGGAAAAGGATATGGTAGAGGTCGAGGGTAAAATTGTTACACTGCTAAGGGGCAGTGTAGACATTTTATTTAAAAAATCCTTAAAAATCGAAATCTCATTGAAAAATTATAAATTTCATATTTTTAGATAGTTTGAAATATCCTCTATTTAATGATATAAATTTTGGAATTTTTTCTATAAAAATCAATTTATGGCAATTTTTAGCAAAAAGTACCTCAATTTTTAGTCATTTTTTAAGTAAAAGTAGTACCTTGCTGGAAAATTCATAACTTTTAAAAAAATCGGTCAAAATTTTTGATTTTTTGGTAAACCATAGATAACATCCTAATTTATATTTTGGCAAAAAAATAAAATTTTTATCTCCATTTTACAAAAAGTTATGAATTTTTTCCTAAATAGGGAGAATAAGAAGAGGGTAGCGGCGCCAAACCCTTTGCCTAGGGTCAAGTCGGCGCTGCCGCTACCCGGGTAACCTTACCCATGAATTTATTCTACGGGCCCAGAAAGTGATTAATTGATCAACAGCAGAATTCAAATTGAATGTACTAAATAGTTTTGCGTAGTTATGGGCGTGCGTAGTTTTGGGCTTGCGTAGTTTTGGCCTGCGTAGTTTGGGTCGCGTAGTTTCGGTCGCGTAGTTTTGGCCCGCGTTGTTTTGGGCTGTACCCGCTCAAAGGATAGATGAATCAAAGGATAGATACGGCTAAAATCGATCAAAGGATAGACGCGGCCAAAAGCTGCTAAAGGATAGATAAGGCAAAAAACGATTAAAGGATAGATGCATCAAAGGATAGATGCGCCAAAGGATAGATAGGGGTAAAATCCATTAAAGTATAGACACGTCTAAAATTGTGTAAAACATAGATAAAGTTTGGAGTCCAGTTGAGTACCAACTGTTGAGTGCCTGATCTTTTTGTTTTTTTCTGATCTTTGTTCTGATTTCATGTTTCTGTTCTGATTTTTATTTTATTCGTACTTTAGGATATTCGCGGAAAAAAGTTTTTGCCGCTGCGGAGGAAGCCGGGCATGTCGAGCGGAACGACGGCTGCCGCTTCGCTACGGTCGCCGCGAGCGAAGCGAGCACGACCACAGCGAAGCACGGCCATCGTGTAGCGAAGACCATGCCCGGCCTACCTTCCGTAGCAGCACAAAAACAGTTTTTCCAGCAAAGATTCAGATTTTTAAACATTTTTGTCCAGACTCAAACGACCTATTCAGTTGTCTATCCTTTGATCGCTTTTGGCCGTATCTATCCTTTAGCGCATCTATCCTTTGATGTATCTATCCTTTGATAGTTTTTGGGCGTATCTATCCTTTAGTGTATCTATCCTTTAATTCATCTATCCTTTGTAGGGGAGCCGAAAATTTTCCAAAATTAAATGACAAAAAATCCCATTTTGGCGCAAATTTACGAAATTCAAAACTTTTGAGATTAAATTTAATAAATTCTTTTCCCAAAATTTTTGTCAACTAATAAAATATTATTTTGATATTTTTATCTCCTTGCACTATTAATGTTCTTATGGAAGTTCAAGTTAATTAAGGAATTTAATAAAACCCCAAGTCGAATCATTTCCTTTTTTGCACATTCTTTCCATTGTTGACGCCACTGCTCTCACAAAGATCATTTCTTCCGATTGTTTGTAATTAATCATAAAATTTTTATCGTGAATGGCACACTTTCTTGTTATTTGTTTGACTTGTTTATTTTTCAGAAAAAAATTTTTGTGAAAAAAATATTTTTATTTTCCCCAACCCCCCTTTCCCTTCTTTAAAATTATTATTAAAATTAAAAATATTTTTATTTAAAAAATTTTTTTTGATCAATCTTTTTTAAAATCTTTTCTAAATTTCCATCAATCATTTTCAATGCCATTTTAGGAAAACAAAAAAAAAGTTTAGTTTATATTAATAGTAGGTCAACTTATTTAATAACTATGGGAAAGTTATTTTATTTCTTCTTCAAAATTATGATTTATTACGAAAGCTATTTTTTATCAGTTTTTCTGGCAATTTCTTTTTTATCTTCTTAATTTAATCTTTGTCATTATTTATTTTTTATGAGTCAAAGAATAGCGCATTATTGAGAGATAATAAAGACTACCTATTTCTGATATTGTTACTAGGGTTGGGGGCGCGGTTCGGTTTGAAAGATCGAATAGAGCTATGATTTTTGGCCGAAAAAGACTCGACCGGCCCGGTCGAGTCTCCGAAAAAGACTCGACCGAAGAATGGGGCCAAAAAATGACTCGAACGTCGGCCTGATTCGAAACCTCCCAACCCTAATTGTTACCCATAGGGAATGCCAAAAAGTGACAAAAGAGATATCCCATGAGAGTTTTGGAAGGGAAGCGTGTTTGAAATGTGAAGGTGTTTTGGAAGGATTAACTGTTTATAGACAGTCGACTGATAAGTTCTAATTAGAGATAGGATCTTAGGTTCTATCGGTATCGATAAACGATTGATGTTTTTGGTCGTTATATCCTATCGGCCCGATCTCTAGTCCAAATCATTTTTGAGTAATTAAGTCATAAATTACCGAGTTTAAGACATAAACTAAAATTTTTTAATCTTTTGGCTTTAACCCATTTTCGATGACTAAATAAATAAATAAACATCACATTCTATTTCTTATCAAATAAATAAATTATTTATTTTTATTTAGTATTTCCTTTATTTTTCAAAGAAATTACCGACATTTAAATTCAAAGAAAAGAATTTCACAATTTTTTTGTTCGGAAAACCAAGAAAAAGTGTTACAAATCAAGAAATTCTTTTAAAAGGCAAAATTCTCATTCTTATTTTTTTCTTTGTAGACATTTAAAATAAATTTTCTTTAAAAAATTATTTTTTTTTATAATTTTATAAAGGAGAAATCACCAAACAATGAAAATTTACCGAAAAAAATTTTTTCACAAAAAAATTGGTTTGCTTGTCATTGCTATATTTATTAATAATCGCTGTCTTTTCGTTGATTTGTGGGTGGGAATGTTAATAATAAATAATTATTATCAGAAGCCGGAGGGGAATTGGTCTTTTTAGTTGCTTATTGCGTGTGCTTTTCTTTATTTTTATTTTATTTCTTTATTTCTTTCCTCCTTCCCCCACCCATATATTTAGGAGAAACAAGGGGAAGATGCGCAAATAAATTAAATAAATAATAAAATGACACCGTCGCCCAAATAAAATTTTTTTTTATTTTAATTATTTACATGATCAACAACACATTTTTTAGTTAATATATAAATTGGTACAAATTTCGTCTATTTTTTAAATTCAAATAAATTTTTTAAAGAAAGGCACAATAAGGTACATTGAGGGACATTACTTTAACTAGAAGGTTGTCGACGTGTGGATTTTTATAAAATAATCAGGAGAGTACTTAGAAACGTGAAATTTTGTATAACTATCATCGATACAGCTATCTAACAATTTTTAAAATGTTAGAATTTTCGGACTTAGTTTCGGTCAGAATTTCAAAAAAAATTGCGAGAAATGCCCCAATTTTCTGCATTTTTGACCTTAACTCTTGAAATACTTAACCAAATATTCTGAAATTTTCAGAAAAGATAGCTAACACTATTACAAATATTTCTGCAAAATTTCATTATTTTAGGTTCTATTTTGGAAATTTTATAAATTCCCGCGCCGTCACGCCTTTCGCGCCTAAACGCCTCCTCCCACTCACTTCCACTCCCCCGAAAATTATTTTTTAAATTACCTAATATTTTATTAACTCAATTCTATTCATTTTTTCTTTCAAACAATTTTGTGACGTTTTAAATAATTTATTTCAAATTTATTATAGTTTATTAAATAATTAAATATTTAATTTTATTTACATTCTTTGTAGTTTTAATTTTATTTGTTTAAAAATATTACACAAACTTTGATAGAAAAAATTATTATATAAATTATCCTTGAAAATTGCGCATTTTTATTACTTTTATTTCATTAAGGGCTCGTTTCAGGTCTCAAAAAGGCTCATAATTTGATAATAAAATTTTATTCTATGGTCTAAATATTTTTAAAAATTATTTTTATTTATTATTTTTCTTTATAAAGATTATCTTTTTGATTAAATAATTTTTATTTATCAACTTTTGACTACTCATGTATCTCCTCTTGCTCGCACGTTTTTCTGCTTTCGTTTCCAATTTTTAAAAAAAATTTTAATTTTGCTTAGTTCTGTCCACTAGGGTTTTTTCTAAAAAGACAGCCTAAAAGTATTTTCCAAAAATTTCTTTGACTGATTTCTGTATTATATACTTTATACTTTATTTTAGTATCATTTTGTATCAATAAAGGTATGTGAATAAAAAAACTTGCGATTATCAAAACAAACAACAAAAAACAAATTTTATAATAAGCGTTTTAAGATAAGGAGACATTTTTGGATTTATTTATTTAAACTATTTTAAATAAAATTTTAAATTAATTTAAATTACTCATTCTCACCATTTTCAATTTTAAATTTTAGAGAAAGAATGTTTTAACACCTTTTATATTCCGGAAATAAAACTTAATGTAAAATACAGAAGATATACCTAATTATAATAAATTGTTCCGGAAATTATATTAAATAAACTTTCCTGAAATATAATAGGTTTCTATATTATAAAACACTTCCGGAAAAAGACACACCAAACAAAACACAGTTGTCCTTCCGGGAAATTTTTCAGGTCAAAACACTTCCGGAAAAATATAAAAAAATGTATTTTTCCGGAAACAAAACACAAAAAGTGAAATAAACTTTCCGGAAATATAATAGGTTTTTGTATTATAAAACACTTTCCGGAAAAACACTCCGGACAAAACACAGTTGTCTTTCTGGACAACTTTTCCGGACAAAACACTTTCCGGAAAAACACTCCGGACAAAACACAGTTGTCTTTCTGGACAACTTTTCCGGACAAAACACTTTCCGGAAAAATACAATAAAAATACAATTCAATATTTCTTCTAAATTATTCTTTCCGGAAATTCAGTTTTGCGTTATAAAAATTGGCGCACAGCTTTAGAAAATTTGTCACGTTTCAATTTTAAGTTTGTTTAATATGAGAGAAATTCAGCAATTTTATTTTAAATATTTTTTAAATTTTTTTCTTAAAATTATTTAAAAAATCAAAACGCATGTTTGTGTGTTCTTCTTCTCCTTATACTTCTCCTTAATATTTTAAACTCATAATCATAAAAATCACAAGTTTTGTGTTCTTTTATCGATTTGCGCGTGTTTGTGGTAGAGGTACAAGTAAATATTTATTTTTCTCCGATTTTTCTTTTTTTTTTAAAAAATTTATTTTTTAGTGTACTCAAAATTATCTAAAAATAAATTTTCCGGAAATAAATTTTATTAATTTAATCAATTCGGAAAATTGCAGTTAAAATACTAATATTTTTCCGGAAACTTAAATTATTTAGGTTTTCAACTAAGTTTTGAATCCCCCTTGAGTTAGGCGCATTAAATAATTATTAAAATTCAACAAAATGTTTTAAAAATGTAATTTATTTTTCTTTATGTTCCTAAAAGAGTTGCTTATTTTTGGGCGAAAAATCAGAGTCATTAAGTTAGCAGGATTTAGAGGTAAAATACAAAAATTTGTATTTTTGAAACTAGGCAACTTCAAAGTAATTTTTCACTGCTTACCGTATTTTCTCGATTAATTCCTCCGGGGAATTATTTTTTCAACCCATCCGTAGCATGGGGAATAAATGGAGGGAGGGGAATTATTCGAATTTTGGCATTTGAACTTGTAGTAGGGTATTTGGCGGTGGGGAATTATTGTTTCAACACAACTCTAGCATGGGGAATAAATCGAGAGGTGGAATTATTTGATGGAGGGGAATTAGTCGAGAAAATACTGTAATTAATGTATAAAACTGAAAATTGAAATAGATTCTGATAGAGAAGAATCTGAAGAATAAGGTGATAATTTTTTAAAAATATTTTCTTTTTTAGTGGAGTAATTTCAAAATAATTTTTTTAATTTAATTAAATATTTTAAAATATCCTTTTTATAGATTAATTAGTACTCTTTTTTTATTCGGCCAATATATTTTTAGTCTTTTACCTTTAAAAAATTGTTAACTAAAAGTGTTTACCTTTAATTTATTTTTTTTTGTTTTTTCAAGAGAGAAAGAGGATCTCAAAAATAATTAATTTAATTAAAGAGAACTTTTATAAATTAATTTATTTTTAACTTTTTTATTTTTGTACCAGTCTAAATTTAAATCAATATCAGTAAGATTGACGTAATTTTTTTTTAATTTTAAGGCAAATTTTTTTTTAATTTTAAGGCAAATTTTTTTTTAATTTTAAGGCAAATTTTTTTTAATTTTAAGGCAAATTTTTTTTAATTTTAAGGCAAATTTTTTTTAATTTTAAGGCAAATTTTTTTTTAATTTTAAGGCAAATTTTTTTTAATTTTAAGGCAAATTTTTTTTAATTTTAAGGCAAATTTTTTTTAATTTTAAGGCAAATTTTCTTTTAATTTTCCTCGCTTAATATTAAAAATAGTAATTTTTAAACCCCCCAGCTTTAAATTTATTCTTTCCGGAATGATTAATTTAGATAATAATTTTTCCGGAATGGTTTATTTTCCCCTAATTAACTTCCGAAAAGATTCAATTCTTTTGTATTGTTTCCGGAAAACTTTGCTTTTATTTTATATTTAAGGAAAATAATTATTAAAATATTTTCTTGGATGTATTTTTTGTAGAGATCGAAAATTAAAAAAAACCTCTATATTGAATTTTGATTTTGATTGTAGAGCTTGACCGGATTCTTGACCTCGAGTCAAGGGAAAAAATCAAGGAACACTGAAAAATGCCTTAATCTTGACTCTAGATCCAGGCAAAAATCAAGGGCTGGATTCAGATCCTGGTCGCTCTAATTTATTGAATACAAAAAAAGAATTTTAATAATAATTTTTCTAAATTAATTTACTTCCTTATAAATTTAAATATTTTTTATTTTTAGTTGAAATAAATATTTTTTTTAAATTTTCCAAAAAATGCCCAATTCATTAAATAAAATATTTCAACATTTCCGTGAAAAACAGAAACAACGAAATTTAAATAAAGATAACAACAACAACCAAAAGAAAGATTTATTTCACGACGAATTTACACAAATTAATTTAATAAATAATTTAAATAATAACAAAAAAGGGTTGGGAGTAGGTGGGTGTTGTTCTCGTAAAACTTCGTCTTCTATACCTTCTGGAGATCAACAAACATTAAAAAAGAATAGTTGGACTGGAAGGAAGGTGGAAATAAATTTAAAATAAATTTTAGGGATAAAGTTTAAATCTTGAATAAGTCCCTTAATTTACTTAATATACCGTATAACCTGTATTAATTGCCCTCCTTAACTAGTTACCCTACTTCTATTAATTATCCCCTCTAGCGATAGGAGGCAGCCGCAATACGCAATTTTTATTTTAAAATCCGCAGCCGCAATCCGCAAGTCAAAAAAAACACGCAATCCGCAATTGCGTGCAGCCCTCATGGGTTATTAATGAACTTTTCTGACACAATTATAAATCATCGGCAACTAGCTGCTGATGGCCATGACCCAGTTTACTTTTACTCCTGCTACAAACATTTCTCGGTTGAGCTTCCTTTCCCGGGCTCCACAAAGCTTCATCCTAGGACAATAAACTTAGAATAGCTCCAGAAATTCTTTTATAAGTGTCCTGACATTTTAATACGATTGACAATTCTTCTCCCCACCCCGAGTCTAACGAAAATTTCCTGTAAATTAACAGCTTTTAAATAAATTTATTAATTTAGAATTCGGATCAACTATTTTGTTTATTACATTCTCAACAATTTTTTCATGATGCCTTATTATGTCGTGTATTTGATGCAGTTGAAAGTCCTTTTGATTTGATACGTTTAAGAAGAGTTTGTAAAAAAGCAGCAGAATATGTTAAAAATAAAATTGCTGTAAGTTTTTTCTCAAATATTCCCTCCCAATTTATCAGATATCCCTATCCTTAATATTCCAATATTTTGCATAAAACTCCCAAATATTCCCATCTTTGTCTTATCACAACCTGGATTTAGATCTTATTTTTTTATTTATCATAATCTCTTAGTTATCCCATCATATCTCGATTACCCTCCTAAATAGGGTTGTCGTTTACGGACCGAACCGAACCCGAAGAACCAAGGATTTTTCGCGATTCTTCGGTTCAGTTTCGGATATCCGAAGAATTTACAGGAACCGACAACCCTACTTCTAAATATCACACAATTTCTTTTGTATCCCCGATATTTTTATTTTTTTCAGTGTGTAACAGAATTAGATGTTCGACGTGTCAAATTCGAAACTTTATCAGCCACTTCCACAACCTCTTCCTGTTCTCTATCAAATTCTTGTAGTGCAGATAATAATTGTACCTCAGCTATAGTAGAAGGAGAATTGTGGCATACACATCCGAGTGGATGTAAAGTTTTGGGAAGAATTACAAATTTAATAATGGAGGAAGAAGACAAAGAGAATGAGAAATCTGATAAAAATGCTTCAAAATTTCGTTTAGAAATTTTGGTAGATGAACAATGGACAAGCAGGGAAATTGCTGTTTTGTGTTCTTTAATTGGAGAATTTAGAATTAATTTGAATAGAATTAGCTTGGATGCTCCTATTTTTGAATTGGTAAGAATGGGAAGGAGGAAGGGGAGAGGTGGTTTTGGTTGGGGAAGTTGTGTTGAGAAGTAAGGATTGGGGGGGGGGGGGTTGTTGGGGAAAGTTGTGTTGGGAAGGGAGGGGGAGTTTTTGTTTGAAAAAAGTTGTTGAAGAATTCAAACAAAAGTTTGTCTTAGAGACCAAAACAAACAAAGTTTTGACTCATAATAATCGAAGTGTTGATCAAATTTTGATTGAAATTATTTGATCAATGCTTCGATTTTAGCATTTGGCCAGTTTCTAATGTTGATCCCTTTTTTCCCTTCAAAAATGAAAATTTAATTTTAATCAAAAAATGAATATTAAGTGAATTTTTTAAATTGTTCCCCCGTTAAGTTTTAGAGATTAAAAATAAAGGATTAAAAAATAAAAGCAATTCTAAATATTTTTATCAAGAAAGGGTGTGTCATTTAATCCTTAGTGGTTAGCATCTTGGAAATGGGTTAAATTGGAGTGAAAAATTTTAAATTCTAAAAAATTCAAGATTGTAGCCAAATTAGCATCGATAGACTTGGATCGTTGGTTTGCCTATCAATGTTTTGTAAAAGCTGTGGATGAATGTCAAATGAATGCAGCATTAAATAAATTAGCTGCCCAACTTCAACAACAACAGGCTAGTTGTTATAAATTATTCAAAAATTTCTAAAATTTTTATAGGACGATCCCTACGACAAAATAGACAATTTATACTGGCCAAATGCCAAAACAATAATTATTAGAACTACAGAAAATGAATCTATCCATCTTGCTAGGCAAGTTTTTTGGAAATAATATTTTTTGAGGTAAATTGAGGTATTGTAAAATTGTCAAATGAGCTCCTAAAAGCTTGAAATTTTACAAATATATCCGCAATAATGTCTTCTATCATCTCTAAAAATTTCAGAATTTCTGGTTTATTATTTCAGAAGTTCTGGCCGAAGAAGTACCTAAGGATCATAATTTTTCACAAATATTCTGACCTTTTTGTTCCTAACTTTTGAAATATTTAACCTAAAATTCTGAAAATTTTAGACACTTTAGATAACATTATTAGAAATCATTTCTGAAAATTTCAGCTTTCTATATGCCATTCTAGTTGTTTTATAAGCATCCGCGCCGTAGCAATTCTTGCGCCCAAACGTCCCTAGCCCCAATAATTTCCTCAGAAATTTTTTATTTTTTAGAGTTCTCAATTACGGAGTTCGTTCAAATTTAGTAATGGATAAACGACAATTAAATTGTTTTAGTCTTCAAGTTTGTGTAAAAGATGCGAATAGAGCAGCTTTAGGTGTGGCTCAAAGGCCAAAACAGCTAGTTAGGAATTTATATCATTTTCGTTGTTGGGCAGGGTCGCCTGGGTTTGATGAAAGATTTTCACAACAATGGAAGGCTGTTAATAGTAGAGCTGCTTGATTGATTGATAATTAATTTTTAAATTTAAATTTATGTAATTCTCTTTAATTTTTTAATTGTAAAAATGGTCGTTTTTAAGGAGTGAAAAGGCTAAAAAATAATTTTTTATAATTAAAAATCACACCCGAAAACGAGAAAAAATCCTCCAAAAATTTTTTCAAAAATATATTCTATTAAATTTTAATCGCTACAATTTTTTGCACTTTTTTTAAAAAGATTTTGGCTTTCTATTTGCCATTTAGCTAAATAGGTAGTTTATGAGCGTTCACGCCTAAACAATTCTTGCGCCCAAACAAATCTTAAAAATTTTTGTTTTGAAAAATTTTTAGAAAAAATTTTTTTGAGAAATCTTTTCACCTAAAATTAAATATGCTTCTTTTGTCTATTTATTTTTAATCTACCAAATATTTTTCTTTTTTTTTGTTTTTAAAATTCATTCACTTCAATATTCTTTCATTTTAACAGTTAAAATTTATACACACTTATTTAAATTTTGGTTTGGATATTCTCTCCTTTTTTTTTTAATTTTTTTGTTGTAAAATTTAATTTTTCTTTCGAATAAAACAAATTTACTAAATTTTTTAAAATTTTTTAAGTCAAAAATAAGTACTAGACAAATATTAAAAAAAATTTTTTTTGTTCATTTAAAGAGCAAACAAAAAGCAGGCAAGAAGCATTGAATTTATTTAAACTTTTATTTTTTTTATTAAAAAAAAAAATTTTTTTGTATTTTAGTAGAAATTTAAGAAGAGAAAATTTTCAATGAAAAAAATAAAAAAATTTTTTTTTATTAAAAAAATCATGGGAATTAAACGGTTATCACAGTGGATTTATCTTGCCTTCCAAACTTTAAAATGATTTTATAAAATTGCTACATTATCTCTTAAAATTTTGAAATTTTGAGAATATATTCACAATAATGTCTTCTATTTTAGTTAAAAATTTCAGAAATTATGGTTTTTTATTTCAAAAATTCTGGCTTAAAAAAGACCAAAATTAGTCTTTTTTATTATTAATATTCTGATTATTATAATTTTGAAATAATTTTTGGAATTCAAAAAAACAAATTATTAGAGATCGACTAACTGGCTAAATTAAATATTTGACTACTAATTAATTTATTATTTGAAAAAAATATTAAAAATATTAATATTTTGATCAAATGTCAAAATTTTTTAAAGAATTTGGAATAACTAAATAGTAGTCAATTTGATTAATTAATTTTTTGATCATCCAAAAATTTACAAAAATGTACCAAAGCATCCCAAAAATTATATTTGATCAAATAACTGATCAAATAAAATAACTGATCAAATGATCAATAATAGCTGATCAAATATTTGATCAAATATTTTGTTTAGTTCAACCCTCTACAGGGTCTAGCCGACATAAAAATTAAATTCCCGATTTTTGGGAATCGGCTAGATCCTGGTTAGATCCTGATAGATAGATCTAGATCCTGGATAGATTTAGATAGATCCTAGATAGGCTAGATCCTTGCTCTACACAGATAAATTCTTCAAAAATCAATTTCTTGGAATATACACAATCCAGTCTCATGTTTTCTTTTCTTTACTCTGTCACACACTTGTTTAGCTTTCACGTAAAAATAAATTCCAAGCTATTTTTATTTTTAAAGGCCAAGCTATTCTCTTTTTTAGAGGGGCAGTTGTGTGCTTGTGCCAAAGCTTTTGCCATTTTCTCTTTATTTTTCTTTTCTTTTTAAAAACCTCAACCCCTCTTAGTACTTTTTATTTTTTCTTCATTTTATCCTTGCCAATATCTCCTCTCCAGTTCTAAATAGTTAGCTAGTCGACCACCCATTTTTTTCTGTTGAGAGCACTGGCAAATGACTACTATTTACTATTTTATACTTTTTTTTTATTTTTATACGTACTTTGGATGCTTGGATATATTGAAAAATGAATGGAAAATAAATAAAAAATGGCGGCTGAATTTCCTACTTCCCCCCCTTTCCTCTTCTTTCTGTCTAATTTTTAATTTTTGTTTCACGTTAAAAATTATTTTAGTAAAATATAAAAATTTTTTGTTAAGTTTTCTATTTTTCCAATTTTTTGAAATTTGTAATTTTGAAAAAAAATGTTTTTTGATTTTTCTAAATTAATTTATTTTGACTGGGGAAATACTCTCTTATTTATTTTAGTTTAATTTTCTATTGTTTTTACTTAAGAAATTATTTAATTAAAATTATTTTTTAATTAATGGATTATCAGATAAATAATGAGCCCCTTTGCGCATTTTCAGGCTTTTTTATTTATAGGTATTCGAATTCTAGTTAAAATTATTTTACATTCACCAGAAGCGATAGTTTATGCTTTTTTCTACTTAGAAAATAAATTTTGATTTTTGCAATTTTTTTATAAATTTTTTTTAAATTATTTTTGATAACCCATTATTAATCTAAAAATTTATTCAATAAATTCTAAAAAAGATTATTAATCTATTTATAGTCTACTCGTGCCAGACTTTTGAGAATTCCATTAAATTAATTACTATAAAGCCAGCAAAAATAAAAAGGATTTAATTTATATAAAAACAAGTTAAAAATCCAAAAAAGGGCAAAATTTATTAGACTGATTGAAAGGCTAAATTTATTTAAAATTATCCTTTTCTAGCCAAAAAATGCTTTTTGAAGAAGATTCCTTAACTAGTATAATCCCCCCACCATCCCCCACACCTTTACTTGAATGTTCTGGACACAGACCTTCCTGTAGTACAGCCCCAAGTAGCAGAACAGACACTCCAATACCTATTTTAATTAATAACCAGCAACAACAGAACAAACCTTCACCTTCAAAAATGGGCTATTTTGGAGCTACTTCGTTAGTTTTTTTAAAAATTTGTGTTTATTGGGTAAAGCATTAGGGTGACGACTAAGTTATACCAATAATGGAGGTATTTATGAATGTTACAATACTTTGAATTTATGTAAATGTCAATTCGTATCTATTTTGAAATTTTTCAGTGTTCTTTTAAGTTGAAATTTTCGTAGAGGATATAGTCTGATATGTCAAATCCGGATCTAGCCAAATAAAGGTTTTAAACATAAAAAATTATTGCAGTTACTTTTCTGAACTAGGATAAATAAGGAAATTTAAACATCTTGTATCTGAGCGGAAAAATGATTCTTCAAAAATATTTGAGTGAGATCCAATTATTTTTTCAATTTTATAATGTTTACAACCTCATAACTTTACCCCTTCTATTTATTATTAACGAGGACTTGTTCTTTACAAGCAAGATAACCTTGGCCAGTTGGTTTATTATTAATGGCTTTTCCTACTTTTAGATCATAGGCCATGGGATCATAGGTTCTTTTGGATTTTACTTGAACGCTATATTTATTTTCTTCAAAAAAATTATTTTACAAAAAATTCCTCCTTTATTTATTTAGTTATGTAATTGGCAATATAATAGGCTCTGGTATATTTATAGCCCCGTCAACAATAATTCGACATACAGAATCTGCCGGTCTTTCCCTCCTTGTTTGGGTTATTGGTGCTTTAATTGCTTTTCTTGGTTATAATAAATTAATTTTTAAATTAAAAAAAATGATTTTAAAGGTTCTTTATGTTATATAGAATTGGGTACAAGTATAAGAGAAGCTGGTTGTGATTTTGCCTATATTTGTTATGTTAAGTGGTTGGTACTAAAAACTTTAAGAAAAACTTAAAATAAAAATCTCAGACGATATTTAGTTCAAAAATTTAGGGTATTGAGAATCTTCCCCGTTTAACGGAACAAATACTAATTTGTGGAATAACCGGGAAAAATGAGAGGGATAGAGTAAAAATGACTAGAAGGGATTGGGATCGGGGCTGTCCACAATTGCGGATTTCGTGAATTGCATGGTTGTTTTTTGAACTTGCGGACTGCGACTGCAGAAAATTTTTTTCCACTTGCGGACAGACCTTATTGGAATCAGAGTTGGAGATACTAAAAATGAGAGCGTCCACATTAACTAATTAATAAACTAATTACAGCCATATTTGCAAGCATTTTTAAAAATTTTTTCATTGAAATTTTTTGGTAATTTAAATTTTTAAAGGTTTAAAAGACTCCCCTTTTCAAACAAAAATTAATTATTAGAAAATTTGTTTATTCAAAAATTTTTTTTTATTTCCTCAAAGGTATTCAATAGCCTTCTCATTTATGTGGGTCTCTGTATTAATGACATATCCAGCAACAATAGCAGTTATTTCAGAAACTTTTGGGCAATATTTACTTGAAGGATTAAGACAAACATATGTAATTGACCCTAAATTAGCTCCAATAGCACAAAAATGTTTTGGAATAACTTTGCTTTGTAAGTTTATTTTTAAAAATAAATTAAAAATAAAAAAAAAGTAAACATAAAAAGTCCTCAAAAAATGTAGAAAAAAATTATAAAGTTCGGGGACGAACGTCAATTAAAAAAATATTTTGGATATACTTTAGCCGGTGGCCCACTCAGAAACGGGTCAAAATATATACCATTCGATTCGTCTCGGCGAGCTGAGTCGAGTGGTAACATTCTTTTTTTGCGGAAATTCCTACGAGCCGAGATATAGGTACTTAAAAATCGAAAAACCATAGGGGGGACCAAGCACTTTTTTGGTGTGAAAAATTCGAATATGCAAATAATAGCTCATTCGAAAGAGCTCGTCGAGCTGAGTCGATTGATACCAAAATCAACGAAATCCGACTTGATTGGACCGAGATATAGGCCTCTGAAAACTGTTAATCCAAAGGGGTGATTTTTGGAATTAAAATTTTTTAACCATTTTATAGCTCATTTGAAAGAGCTCAACAAGCTGAGTCGAATGACACCAAAATCACCGGGATTAAACAAGTTTAGACAAAGTTACAACACAAAAAACAGCAACATAAACCTATGGGGCGTCGGCGAGGCGCTTGTGCAAAACCCCGCGCTTCGCGCGGGGTTTTGCGGCACGCGCCTCGCGGGGAGTCTACGGGCGCTGGGTCTGGGCTCGTAACATAACCCTATTCCTATCTCCCTTGCTTTGGACGTATTTGAGGCCTCCGTAGCAGCAAAAATCTCCACAGATGCCATAGGTAAGGAGCTAAAACAAATGCTCATAACTTTGTCAAATCAAGTCGGATTTCGTTGATTTTGGTGTCAATCGACTCAGCTCGACGAGCTCTTTCGAATGAGCTATTATTTGCATATTCGAATTTTTCACCCCAAATAAGTGCTTGGTCCCCCTATGGTTTTTCGATATTTAAGTATCTATATCTCGGCTCATAGGAATTTCCGCAAAAAAAGAATGGTACCATTCGACTCAGCTCGCCGAGACGAATCGAATGGTATATATTTTGACCCGTTTCTGAGTGGGCCACCGGCTAAAGTACAGCCAATATTTTTGTGAAGAGAATTAAATTATAATTAAAATGTTGCTTTTGTTAAACTAAGCAAAGTGAGGGTATTATTGTGTAGGGCCAGGAGAGCTCCTGTTTAAAAGATATCAGTTAATTCAAGTACCTCCCATATCTCTGGGATACTAATTAATTAATTTATTTCATCACTCTAATTATTTTAAATTTAATTCTCTTTTACTATTATCTCTCAGTCTCAATTATAATCTTATCTGTATTCCTTAATTAGATCCTTTTTCAATAACAAAATTTTCTGTCAAATCAAAGTTTTCAGTAGAAATGTGTCCTTTAGCATTCAGCCATTCATCGTCTAAGAATTTTGACCTAAGAAAATTTAAATTAAGTTGAAAGAATTAAATGGACAGATATTAAGTACTGAAATTAAACAAGGGATGGGAGTTTTAAAAGATCAAGAGAGGAAAGGAAAACAATTTCAACACGGAGAGAGGGGTTTACCCGGCAAGGGGGGGGCGTTTATTCCTTCACCTAGGGAACTGAGGGGAAAGGACTTTCATTCATTCCAAGCCTCATATTTGTACTTTTCTTCAAAAAACCACTAACATATAATTCCTAATACTGTCTGGAGCAATAGTCACAACACGACGGCAAGTTGGCCCAAGCATTTTAGCAATCCCCATAGCTGCCAAAACATTAGATCCAGCAGACCCTCCACACAAAATTCCTTCCTCTTTAATAAGTTCACGAGCAATATAGAAAGAAGCCGCATCTTTGCTTTTTACCCAATAATCAACTAAAGAACGGTCTAGCACCGCTGGGACGAAATCTATAAAATTATGAGAGATAAGACTTTCTGACTCTTTGTTTAAGGGTTCAATCATTGTTGGGAGAGAAAGTAGGGCAGTTAGGAGACAGGAAATATTGGCATAGAGGAATTGAGATAAAGAATGCTTAGAAGATATCAGTCCCGGTATTCAGAACCCATCATTGACGTAGGGGATTTAATTTAGCAGCTTAAAGATCCTTTCTTCAGAGGATGAGATTGAACCCGATTTCTACATTTATTTTGGCGCTGGTCTAGTTTATGCGCCAAATGAAACGTTATGAGTCCAATCAAAAAACAATTGGATTTTTCTTAGTATTGCAAAGTTGGGGTATGGTTCCGAAGCATTTCTTCATGTTCGAGACCTAAGCCCACTGGGTCTGGGACCGTTCCTTGCCCTATCTCTTGAAATTTCGGGAAGTTATAGCCAATTTTTAAAAATTTCGCAAAAACAATTATAACTTTCCGAAATTTCGAGGTATAGGGCAAGGAATGGTCCCAAACACAGTGGGCTTAGGTCCCGAACATGAAGAAATGCTTCGGAACCATACCCCAACTTTGCAATACTAAGAAAAATCCAATTTTTTGTTGATTGGACTCATAAACTTTTTATTGGACTCATAAAAGTTCATTGGATGCATAAACTAGACCAGCGCCTTTATTTTCATACCATATCCAATACCCTCCACATCATAAGCTTTAGTCTCTTTACATGCTGGATTGGCAAGAATAGAACCATCCGGATCAACAGCAATAATCTTTAATGGAAATTAAAAATATAATTTGAAAAATTTCCTCTCACTTTGCATTCCGGCACAACTTCCTTCACTCTTTTAGCCACTCCACTTAAAGTACCTCCTGTACCTGTTCCAATAACTAAAGCATCCAATTTCCCGTCACATGCCCAAAGAATCTCTTCTGCTGTTCCTTCATAATGAGCAAAAGGATTTCCTTCGTTTCGATACTGTTTAAATTATGATATAGTTTAAATTATGAGATGAAGGATTGGGGATTGTATGTGCCTGCGATCTGGTAAGGCCATAGTGTAAGGGAATTGGGAAGGAAGGGAATGAACAAGGTTGAGGAATAATCAAGAAGCGTGGCTAGGATTGTATGGACATGGGGACAAGAAGGGAAGGATTTTAGACTGAATTTGGAGACCAAAAACTTCTACCTAGGAGAGAGAACCACGACTATAAGATGAAGGGGCTATTCGAAGAATAGTCAGACCCCCAATTTTTAATTCCTCTACCTGATCAAGAATGATAGCTCCAGGTATTTCTTTTTGAAGACGTAAAGCAACACCAATATGGGAATCAGCATCTGCATGACCTTTCTCAGTAGGCGTTCTAACAATTTCTGCCCCCAAAGAGCGAAGAATAACTTCTTTTTCTAAACTCATCTTTTCGGGCATTACAATAATGCAGCGGTATCCACGAATGGCACACATTAAAGCTAGACCTATTCCGGTATTTCCTGATTGAGAAAAAAAAATAAATTTGAGAGATTAATAAGGGTGGAGATCAGTCAACATTTGAACTAGGTAGAAAAAGGGCCTGAGGGGATTCGATTTATCCCGAAAAATTCCTTACTATCTATAATCGAGGGATTACAGCTCCGGAAAAGTAAGGACATCGGATTCGGAAGTAAGGATATTCGAAGACCCATAATCAAAAACCCGCCTTGGCCCGTATCCAGACCAGAATACACCATCTCCTTCATTTCCCTTTTAAAACATTTTACAATCCTAATAGATTCTCACCGCCACCTTTTATTATAAAACCATTTTTAACCTCCTTTAAATAAGCCTCAAAATTTCCAAAAATCAAAAAATTACCAGATGTCGGTTCAATAACAGTACTATAACCAGCTTTTAATTTTCCATCAGCTTCCGCCATCTCAATCATCTTTTTAGCAATCCTATCCTTAACAGAACCTCCAGCATTTAAAAATTCACATTTAACTAAAATCTCTGCTTCAATTCCAAACTTTTTTGGTAATTTAAAAAGTTTAACAATTGGGGTGTTTCCAATAGCTTCAGAAATGTTTTTAATTAAACGGCAACGTTTTAGAGGGCTAAAAAGGGAAGAATTTTTGAAGATAAAATTTCAAAATCAATTTACATGAAAGGATTTGATTTCCAAGGTTTTGGGACTATCTGGAACGATTCTGTTGCTTTACTTTCTGGATTATATACTTCTGGTATAGAAAAAGTAGTTTTTGGGTAGAGCGGTTTTTGTGGTGGAGGTTCAGGCATGTAGTCGTTGGAAAGCTTTTTAAAAAAATTAAAAAAGAACTAAAAATATTTTATCAGTTTTACTAAAGTATTTAGAATTCTCGCCGCTTTGTACTTAGGCAAGCTAACTAGTTCAAATCTCCAATTTATCCCACATATCCCATGTGTCATTTGGAACTAATAGGGAGATTAAGTAGGAGAGTCTGTGGTACATCCCCCATCTATCCTACCTCTCAACAATTTATTAAAATATATCCTATCATGATATTTAATAGAGATGTGCGAGACCGAAATTTTTCCAAGACTCAAGACTCAAGACCCAAGACAAAATTTTTTCCAAGACCAAGACACAAGACCAAGACCAAAACTCCAAGACTCAAGACCAAAAATCAAGACCAAATTTTTAAATCCCATAGGTCAAATTTTTGGTTTATTTTTTGTTATTTTGATACGATCACAGTCAATTCAGCACAATTATCTATAATTTCGAAAAATTTATGCGAAATTCAAAGAATTTCGGGGAATTTATTCTGTGGAAAATCAATAAAATAGGTTATTATTTCAGAGGGTTTGGGTGGATTAACGGGATATTAGTGATATCAAAAGATTAAGAGGGATAGCCGTGGGATTTAGCGCCGCAGGCGAAAATTTTGGGAATTATGAAAGCAAAGAAGCCAAAAATCTTCCTTTTCCAGCGCCGCAGGCAAAAATTTTGAAAATTTTGGAAGGCCGTAGGCCAAAAAAATTCACATTTTCAGCGCCGCAGGCGAAAATTTTTTGAATTTTGGAGCTCAAGAAGCCAGATTCTTCCATTTTCTGCGCCGCAGGCGAAAATTTTGAGGATTTTGGATGGCCAAGCACTAGGTCCAAAAAGGCCAAAAAACCAAGACCAAAAAATAAAACCAAGACAAGACCAAGACAAACACCCCAAGACCAAGACCAAGACCAAGACCGAAAAAAAACCAAGAAAAGTCTTGGTTCCAAGACCAAGACCAAGAGTCTCGCACATCTCTAATATTTAAGCTTAACTATCTCCTATATCCCCAATCTCTATCTTATCCCAGACATATATCTATCTGTTATCCCAATAATTCCATCCCCCTCGCCCTCATAAATTCCAAAATCCAGTTCATTTTTGTGTCATTTCCCACAAATCCTATTACAAACTTTCAGTTATCCCGCCAGTCCCATCAATGGGATAAGTCAAAAATTCAAATTAAAATTAAAATTCCTCACCATCCATTCATCACTAAGAAATTTATTTAAATAATTTCTAGCCCCATCCGGCAAAAGAAAAACACAATTCTGCCCCTTCTTTAATTGCTTAGCTGCACGTAGAGCACCAACAAGTATAGCACCAGAAGAACCTCCACACAAAATTCCTTCTTTTAAGTGTAATTCTCTGGCCATTTGGAATGTTTCGGAGTCTTCTGTTTTCTCCTTATAATAAATAGAGTTTAACAGATTTTGGCAGTATTTAGGGACTTTTTTTGAGGTCTACCTTTATTTGAGGAAGGGGAACAAGGGAACCTAGTTACTTTATGGAAACAGGTGGTTACTGGCAATTAAAGTTATTGGGACGATGATTTGTTTAATTGCCCTACTCAAAGGTGGAAATTTGAGAAATATAGCCTAAGAGCACGAAAAATAAGTGTTTAGAGGTTGAACGTTTCAAATCTTGGGCCCAGTTTCCGGATTAAAGCTAGAAAACCAGGCCCCTATTTGGGTTTGAACTCTAATATGTAGTTATGGGTATTGTTTGAGCTTTGTGAACGATACAAGGGAGAAATCTCTCCATTCCATTCAAATAATTAAAATCCCCACCCATCGATCAACATCATTCATATCAAGAACAGAAGGCACAAATTGGTAACCAATCCCTTCTACTTGATATCTTTCATGATGACTATTTTCTTCTTTTCCATGAGTCCCAGAAGACAATACTGATCCTTGTGGATCAACACCAACAATCTTTATAAAAGTCACAAATTAAATTTAAAAAAAGAGGGGAGACAAACAATGCATTGAGGGCAACGTTTGCGCATCTTTCTTGATATTCCTGTTATCGAACCTCCAGTACCTACACCAATAACAACCATATCTACTTTCCCATCCAAAGCATCTAAAATTTCTTCTGCTGTACTTTCATAATGAGCCAATGGATTTGTACAGTTTTTGTACTAGAAAATGTGAAAATTCTTTTTTTTGGGAAATTTAAAGGGTTTAAGAGGTTTCTACACAAGATAACCTAAAATCACTGTTTAACTAACACACTTTAGCAGTTATATAATTGTCAAAGAAAAATATCTTTTCAGAAAAATTTTGTAGAAATATCCTCAACAATACTAGCTAACTTCTATAAAAATTTCAGAATTTCTGATTTGTTATGTCAGAAATTATAGTCGATAATATCAGAATATGTATTAATGCAAAATTTCGACATTTAGTCATATTTTAGGTCATAACTTTCGAAATAATTAACAGAAAATTCTGAAATTTTAATAGAAAATAGTTAAGACTATTGAGGATATCCACACAAAATTTTATGGGTATTCGTCAACTTTTCTTTGAGTTATGATTTTTAAATTCTAGTAGAACTCTATATTTTATACTAGTACCTGATCCAACACAATAGAATTTGGAATTTCTTTTCTCATTTTAAAAGCCCTTCCAACATGAGAATCTGGACTATTATAATGTGCATTATTTGGAGTTCTGATAATTTCGGCCCCCAATGCTTTTAACGTCACTTCTTTCTCACGGCTCATTCTTTGCGGCATAATTATTATACAGCGATACCCTGCAAAATTTCAAAAAAAAATTTTTTTTAGAAATTTTTCCACCTTTAATAGCACATGCCAAAGCCAATCCAATTCCTGTATTGCCCGATGTTGGTTCTATAACGGTCATTCCTGGCTTTAAACGTCCATTCTGCTCAGCCATTTCCAACATTTTAACAGCTATACGGTCTTTTATGGAACCTCCAGCATTCAGAAATTCACATTTTCCATCTTTTAGGTATTAAAATTATTAAAAAAATTTGAAGAAAACACAAGGGTAAACAGAAATTTTTCAAAAAATTGACTTGGATCCTCGAATTAAAGTAAAAACTAGGGTTGGGGGCTTGATCCGGCACAGTCCGAAAGATCGAGTCGGGGATTTTTGCCCGAAAAAGACTCGGCCGACACTAAAGAATGACTAGAACGTCGGTCGACACGAAAACCCCAACCCTAGTAAAACCCCTCTCAATATTCGGAAGACTCTCCCCCCCCTTTCCACTTCTTTAACAAAAACACCTACAAATATTGCATTCAATTCCATATTCTTCTGGAATACGATTAAGTTTAACCTAAAATTATTTATTCTATTAAAAGTCCTCCAAAAAATTTTTTTAATTTACCAAAGGAGTATTCCCAATAGCCTCCAACATTGAATTTAATATTTTTGGTTGCTCCTTTCTAAAATTCCAAAAATTTTTCTAAAATTATTTTTCTATTTTTTTACATAAGAGAAGCAAATTTATAATGTCCAAAATTATCTTCAACTTCATCTTCATGCCATTTAATTAATTCTTTCGCCTGAGGGTCCCAAGGTTTTATATCTGCCATTTCTTCTATTTGGGATGCTGGCATTATTTTTTAAAAATTTTTTAAAATTTTAGTTTGAATTATATCTGAACTAGAAAATTAATTGAATTTAATATCATATGATTAAAAACATTTAAAAATTATTTTTGAAAGAAAGAGGGATTTGTTGTTGTGTTGCGGCGCAACTTTTAAAATAAATATGTCCGCTAAAAGGGAAAAAAGCCCGCAAAAAATTCTGGTAGGGAAAACGGAAAAGTATCTCAACAATGTATATAGGGGAAAATCGCATATGAAGTTCTATAATTTTAGTCAAAAACTAAAATTTTTTTAATCAAAAATTTGGTCAAATTTAATCAAAATTTTTAATCAAAAATTTGGTTCCCGTTTTTTGTATAATTCGAGACTCAAATAGACCAAACTGACATTGACTATAAACCAAGTGCAAAGGAAAGAGTAGAGTAACCTACTCTGTGCTCTCTAACCTGAATTTTCTTATTAGGAAATTTTAATTTTTAATCGAAATAATGGAGAAAGAAATAGTTAATGAGTGGATATTCTGATTTATGGAGATTTATAAGAGAAAAATGGAAGGGAGAAATATGCTTCTTAGAGGAGGGGGTTTAGATTGCCCTCATAGAAAGAGAAAAATGCTTACATTTAGTTAGATTTTGTATCAAAAAATGATAAAAAAATATTTTTTTTATCATTTAACATTAAGAAATTATAAGAAAAAATATAAACGTGTGCTATCTTGTGTTGGGGAGAATAAATTTAAATGTGAAGACATTCCCCATATTGGGTACACAAAAATATAAATTAAATTAATTAAACACTAATGTTTAATACTATAAAGTACTGGATTAAAATAATGATGAAAATTGTGATTATTTTTAAAATAAATAATAGGAAAAAATCAAAGATCGGAAGTAAACGTCTCCAAAGAAAGGGGAAAATGGGAGGAAGTAAGGGAGGGGGGTTTAGATTTCCCTCAAAGATTAGTATTTTCCGATTAATTTATTAAATCAAAGGGAATGTTTTGTGTAAAAAATATATTTATTTATTGAGAATTATTAAATATCTAGCTAGAGAGGTGGGTCGGAACAGTCAGTGGTGTCGGAAATTAGAACTGTCGGAAATCGGAATTGGCTCAAAAGTCGGAACTCGGAAATCAGAAGGAAAAAACGTCGGAAATCGGAATTCCGATTCACCTCTGCTAGCTAGTAAAAGAAAAGTGTATTGACAAGAATTTAGCAAAAATACATATAAGCAATTTCTAACGTTATAAAATTGATTTATTTTTGGCTAACTAGAAATTCAATTAAATGGGGGGCATAAAAAGTGAAGGAAGAAATTGATAAATAATATAAAAATATTTAAAAATAGAAGGTCACCTTGATTGAGAGAAGAGAAGAAAAGTATTTTTCAGGGGGAAGGACGAATAAAAAAATAAAAATATTTAAAAAGAAAACACTTGTTTATTCAGCTAATATTTAGAGAAGACAGAATCAATATTTAATGTACGAAAAAATTTAGAATTCGAAAACATTTTAAAAATTCAAAAAAAATTTTAATAAAGAAAACATATTTTAGGGTTAATCACTTGGATGAACTTCTTTGCCTTGGGTAAATTTGCTGCTCGATTTCAAATTGCTGCTACTTTTGCTAAATTGGTCAGAGAATTTAAAAAAAAATCTTTAGCGGTTTAAAGTCTAACCTCTATAATGTGTATCAGAAATCCTACCGATACAGAACCTTCCCGAAAATGATTAACAATCGAGAACAAAAAATAATATCTCTATTTAATTTAACAAAAATTTTTTTTAATCCAACATAAGACTGGCAAAGAAAAAAAATAAAAATTAGTAAGGCCGGCGAAGTTCTAGCAAAAATAAAGTACAAATAGATACGTTCAGTCAGCGATGGGATAGTTAGAGCTACATATTTAACAACCCTAGACTGGAGAGTTCTTAGGATCGAGGGCTCTCCAATGGATTCAGCCGCTTACGCTAAATATACCAATAAATATATTTACCCTTATTTAATAAAAAAAAATTTGTAAAGCCCCAATGGAGTACACAATATAGAGGTTAAAAAATAATTTTTTTACTTTTTATTAAGTTAGCCTGTTCCATAATCATTTTAACTGGATTTTATTATTATTTTGTGTTGGGATGGAATGAGGGATTGAAAGAACCAATGGCTAATTCTAAATGGAATGCTGGTGATTTAACAATGGGGATATGTGGAGGGTTATATGCGGTTATTAAATTTAGATATTTAAATATTTCTGAATTTTTAGTATAGCGGTTGGGATATTTTAAATTATGGAACAGATGAAATTGATAGACCAAGAAGGTAGTAATGAAAAATAAATTTTGAAATTATGTTTGGATTTGAGTTGAAGTGTAAGGAGATATAGAGCTAAGAGTTATATGCTTTGAGGAACTGAAAAAAGGGAAGCTAGTGGATTTTGGGTTTCCTTCCAAAATTTGAAGAGACAAAGAAAAGAACCTAAAAAAGACTAAAGCTAAACCCTAAACTAAAATTAGAAAAAAAACCTAGGTTAGATTCTAATTGTAAGCCCTAGACTAAAGCTAATGAGAATTGAAGATGGTTATGTACTTTTAGGTGCCCTTTTAGGAGAATAATTCATTAAGGATTATTGGAAATATAGGGAAACAGGCTTTTTTTAGGATTATATTTAATTCGAATAATAAAAATTCCTTTTGGAAATTTCAAAAATTAATTAGAAATTTAATGCCTCTCACTAAACTTTTAATTTTTTAGAAATGCACCTTTGGCTTTGCTTAGCGGGATATTAATTGTCTTCTTGGTGAATTCTTAAATTTCTTAAATTTAAATAATTATATATGTTTAGGCCTATTTTTGTATTAATATAGCTTATTTTGCTGTATTGGATGTGGAGACAATGAAATCAAGTAATGCTGTAGCTGCGGTAAGTTTTCTTAGAAAAATAAACTCATTTAAAAAATATTGTTAGAGTAAGGGTTATTCAAAAATTTGTAAACGAGCCAATTAACAGCTTAAAATTCTGAAATTTTGCACAAATATTGTTAAAATTTTTAGTTAGGTAACTAATTTAAAAATATGACAATTTTTGGTTCCCCAAAAGTCAAGTTATGGCCGAAAATGTCCATTTTTCAAGAAAGTTTTGACATTTAAATAGATTTTTTAACTACAACCTTGTAATGTTTAACGAAAAATTCTGAAATTTTTAATGAAGTTGGTTAAACACTTTTTGAGAATATTTTAAAATAATCAAAAATTCTCAAAAATTTCCCAAAAAAATTTTTCAAAAAATTTTTATTTCGATTTTTTCAATTAGTTATTCAGCCAAAAAACTCTAGGCGGCTTCAGTGAGGCTATTCCCTTTTTAATTGGAATTCTTTTAATCGGCTCACTTAATTCTAATTTATTTTGTGGTTCTCGTTATATGTATGCAGCAGCTAAACAAGGCAAAAGTTGAAAATCAAAAAATAAAATTTTTTTAAATTAATTAAGGTCATTTACCAGCCTGTTTTAGTTGTGTTAATTCTTTTCATGAAAGCCCTAGAGTTGCTGTTTTTGCTCAGGCAAATAATTAAAATTTAAATAAATTTAATTTTTATTTTTAAGTCAGCCCTAGCTGTAGCAATTTCTTTTGTTGGGGATTTGGATGGTAAATTAATTTATTTTAAATAAAATTTAAAATAAAAATTAAGCACTTATTGGTTATGTTATGTTTGGATTTTGGGCGCAACGAGTTTTTAATTTTTTAATATTAATTTTAAAAATATTTTTTAAAGATTTTTACACTCTGTGCTCTTCTAGTTATTAGACATCACAATATTCCTGTACATCCGGATTGTATTAGAATACCTCTACCCTTGTATGTCTTTTTAGATTTTCGGAAAATACATTTTATTATATCTATCCGGAAGATATATCTATACGGAAAATATATTTATAGTAATTAATTCTCTAATGGTTTCCGGAAAATACATTTTAAGAACGATTCCTGACCATTTTCCGGAAGATACGTATATGTGTTTCATTATATTTTCTTTCCGGAAAATATATTTTTACGGAAAATATATTTATATTTATTAATTTTCTAATGGTTTCCGGAAAATACATACATTTTAAAAACAATTCCTGACCATTTTCCGGAAAATACGCAATTGTGTTTCATTATATTTTCTTTCCGGAAAATACATTTTATTATATTTTCCGGAAAATGTATTTATCCGGAAGATATATTTATAGTAATCAATTCTTTAATGCTTTCCGGAAAATACATTCTACATAGAGAGTAATACATAAAAATATTCCGGATAAAACAAAGACAAATTACACAAAGAAAAATAGATTAAGATAAGTTGTTAGAAAAGAACAAATTAGTTTTTTTTAATTAAAAAATTTTTTTCCAGAATTTATTTATTTTTGGCAATAAGTGTAGCTTTAGTTGCTGTGCCTATATGGAGAGAATTTGCTGTATTTTTTTGGAAATTTATATTTTATTTTTTAAATTTTTTTAGATAACTTCTCTAGGAATTTGTATTTGTTTAATTGGTTTTGCTTTTTATTTATTATTTTCTAATTATTCAAAAAGTAGAGAAACAAAAATGCTTTCTGCTTTAAATGGTTATTTTAATTAAATTAAATTAATTTTAATTTAAATTACATTCTTCCGGAGAGAGTAAAAATTCTGAAACACTTTCCAAAAACACATTCTGTTATTAATTCTGAAAAATTCCGGAAAACACAATACTGAATATTCTGAAAACTTATTCTGAAATTAATTCTGACACCCTTCCGGAAAAACAAGGCCAGATTTCAGAATTACTTCTATAATAATTTCTGGTGTTTTTTTTATAAATTCTGATACATTTTCCGGAAAACACATTCTAAACTCTTGCCGGAAAACACAACTAGAACTATAGAATTCTACAATAATTATTCTGATACACTTTCCGGAAAACACAAAACATATTGTCATTATACACACATAAAACACTATCATAATTAAATTTAAATTTTTAAAGAAAAATCAACATTTTTTGCCCAATTAATATTTAATGCAGAACCAACAATTAAACACCAACCATTTATTTCTAATAGGCAACCTTCACTTTTATTATGTTCAGATTCTCAAAGGGAATTATTAATTATTGAATCTGATAGACTTGAAATTGTTGATGGAGAGACTGAAGATTTATCTAATTCCACTACTGGTACTTTTGAATTTTTTTTGAAAATTTTGAAAAAAAAAATTTTTGGAATTTATTTAAAAAATTTTTTTATAATTTCTGAATCAATTTTTCAAATTTTTTCAAAACTCTTCGAAAATTTTTCAAATTTTAACAGTTGATTTACACTCTGACGAAAAGAACACACTTATTCGAAATAGCAGTTCTAGTGGTTTAAGAATGTGGTGATTAATTTAATCTTTAAGTAATTTTTTGAGAATCTTTGCAACACGGGAAATTAAATGAAATTAATAAAAGATTTTTATTTTTTTTAATATGATAAAAAATTTTATATAAATCATTTTGTTTATAATTTTTTGACTTCTTAAAGCCTTTTCTACGTTAAATTTGAAATAAAAAATAGATAAATCAAAAATTGCAGAAACAAAACTTTATTTATTTAAAAGCTCCAAAAACATTTTTAATTACTTCCAAATACCTACATAGACCAAATATCGTTTAAACAGAACTTTAATTTCTGACCTCTAAAAATTTAATTTTTAATTTCTCATAAATTAAAAATATAACCAAGCAAAAACTACATAAATTCTTTAATCTTTATTAGAATAAAAAAAAAGAATTTTTATAATTTTTATCAAATTTTAACCAATAAAAAAATATTTTTTCCTTTTTAAAAAATATTTTAAAAGGAAGTGCCGAAAATTACTCAGAAAGCAAAAGACAAACTGCTCCCCCCCCCCCCCCCCCCATTTAATTCCTACCCTAAAATATACCTATTAATTTCCCACACTTTTATCTTTTTTCTCTCCTTTTTTTTTAAATTTTTTTATCATATCATTTTATCAAAATTAATTTTTAATATTCTTTTTACATCATATGGGGTAATTGTTGCTGTGATGTAATTTTATATTGAGAAGAATCTATCAAGTATATAAATTAAAAGGAAGAGGATGTTTCTAATAAAAATGTAAGGGAGGGAAGAAGAATTCCCGTTATTTATTTATTTACCCCTAAAAATAAAAAGAAAAAAAAATTTTTTTTGATCGCCGTCCCAGTTTTATTTATTAGAAAATATCCGGTTATTACAGGAAAGAAGAAACAAATAAAAGTACAACAACAACAATAAAGCTTTCTATTCAAAAATTTTTTCTTGTTTTGTAGATCAACAGAAAATAAAGAGGGCGATTAATTATCCGCTTTATTTAATAATATTTTTATTTAGTAATATTTAAAAAAGCTTCTTCCCAAAAATTATTTAATTTAATTAATTAAAAAAACTTTTTAGATTAAAGTAAATTAAAGAAAAATTAAGAAAAAATGAAATTTGGAATGAAAATTAGACTTATTTGGGCGGCCATTGGCATTTCTGCTGGAATAATGGCGGGGACTGTTTTTTGGATAAGCTATTCTGTAGGTTGATAAGTTGTTTTTTTATCTATTTTATCCGTATCTCGTCCCTAACCGAATTTCCAACCTCTTCGAATGTTCAGTCTTACAGTTATTTCGACTTGATTCGTTCCTGTATACCAGAGGGGTCAGAAATGACGAAGGTGCCGGAACTTGGAACTGTCGGAAATCGGAAATGGCTCAAAAGACGGAACTCGGAAATCGCAAGGAAAAAACATCGGAAATTGGAATTCCGACCCACCTTTGCTGTATACCTTCTGATGCATCTCACCTAACCCAATACCTCTATTTACATATCTTAGACTATCCACAAAGGTGGGATAATATAAAGATTCTCTTAAATATCAAACACAAAAAGTATTTTTCATTATTTTAGAATTATTTGGCAACAGGAATGGCCTATTTCAGTACAATTTGTGCAATATACCTTTACTATACTCATTGGGCATATCACAAATCTTGGATGTTCGATTGGTCAGAAACACGTGTTAAAATCGCTTGGATGTCTAGTTGGTGGGGGAAATCCATTAAAAATTGGGAAATTAAATTAAGATTTATTTATTTGTATATTTGGATTTATTGGAATGACTGTATGTTTGATATTAGCTGGAATATGGCAACAAACTTTGACACGTGAAGGGTTGCTGGGTGAAAATTTGTGGATTGCTGCTGTCTGGTTTTGGATGAGTGGAAAGGTAAAGGGAGAAAGGATTGATTAAGAAAACCGACCGTATTTTTGGTGAACTTTTGAAATTCCGAATCGACTATTTAATTCTACAAGTGCGGAATTATGTAGTATGTAAATTAGAGATGTCACAGGTTAAGAATAAAGTTCGGTCGGGGTTCGGGTCGAAAAATGTCTGGGATTCGGATCCCTGACATCCCTGATGTACTTATTGGTAATCTTATTCACAAAGACATTGCCCTTCACAAGCAAAAAAATTTTTCAAATCAAATGTTATTTTAACGCTCCACGGATACAGAAGATTCTTTCCTTTATTAAATGTCTTCCCCAAATTCAATCGCGAAAAATTTACAATTTATTTTTCAGTGGGCATTAGCTTCATGTATCTACACTCGACATTATTCAAAAGAGGTAATGAAACCATTAATGTCTGTCAGTTTATTAAAAAGAAAATTAATTCAAACGAGGGATGAAAGTACTCAAACAGAGAATAATTAACAAATTAAAAAAAAAATTAATTAAAAACATTCCTCAAATTTAAAATTAATTTTTGACTTTTTTTGCTTTAAAAATATATTTTATAAAAATTTTTTTTTAATTCCTTAAGATTGTCAAACAAAGCGTCAATTTCATTCGTGAACAATAAACTACATACAATAAAATAACTATTCTCATAATTCTTTCATAATTCTTCCAAATATTAAATTGAAGATTATTTAAACAACTTAAAAAATTTTTTTCTTATTTTTAAAAAAATTAAAATTAAAGGATAAAAATTTTTCCATCTTCACAACTATTATAGTATTATTTTTTAGAGAGCGAGATTTTCAAAAAAACTTTGACCAGCTTCTTGACCTTGAGTCAAGAAAAAATCAAGGAATGCTGAAAAATGCCTTGATCTGGACTCTGTATCCAGGAAAAATTAAGGTCTGGGTCCAGATTCGGCCCGCTCTAGTATTTTTATTGCAGTTTTTTTAAGGTTAAGATTTCCTTTCTTCAGATTTCCTAACGAAGACAATTCTGAAACATTTTCCGGAAAACACATTTTTGAATTCTGAAACTTTTCCGGTTTTTAAATGTTTGAGCTTTCCGGAAAGACAAAAATACACGAGGAAAACAGAGAAAAGAAACTTGATTATTTGGTTGGAGAACAAGATTAAAGAATAAAAGCACTTCCAAAAAAAGATTTATAGGTATAAATCTACAACTCCTATTCGAAAAACTTTTTTTTAATTTATTTAACAAAAAAAAACAATTATTTATTTATTTAAAAATTAAAAAAATTCCAATTTATTTGCATATTCATTCAGAATTTTTCCATATTTTTCCTGGTTTCTAGTTTCAAAATAAGGTGGTTGATTTCCAATAGTTTGAACTATATATTCATTTATTTGCCTTTTTTCTTCTCTCGATTCAACAACTAATCGCGTTTCTTCTTCCCCCATAATTTCTCTTCGCTCAGAAAAAGTTCTTCTATTAATTCTTTAAAAAAAAGGAAAATTTTTATTTTCTTTTAAACAAAAATTAACGATACATTGGAACATATAAATCCAAAGCAGATTTCCAATCACCTCCATTGGAAGCTACTTCTTGTAAAATTTTTGCAGTAATAACAAAGGCTAATTTAAACGACCCACATTTCCATCTTTAAAATTAAATTTTATTTTAAATTTATTTTTTGGATAAACTAAAAGACGTTTTCTCTCCTACAATGTCATTTTTTACTTTGACCATTTATTAGGAATCGAATTTTTAGGTCACAATGGTTTGGAAAAATATTTTTTCAGAAATTCAAGAAATTTCTCTTAAAAATTGTTTATTTACCTATGATAATTTTGAAAAATAAAATCTATTCGTCATTTTTTGTCGACCTTCTTCGACCTTTTTTGCAACCTTTTTTCCTATATTTGTCACCGTTTTTGGCATTTTTACAACCTATTTAGGTACCTATTTTAAGGGTTTTACAACCTAAAAATCCAATCCCTAATAATAATTATGAAAGAAATTAAATTATTTATAATCCTTTCTAATTTTCGGGGACGATAAAATTTCCTCCAAAGCCACAGCAACCCTAAAAGTTGGCTTAAGATCTCGTACGGGATTTTCTTTCCCAACACTCCTTCTATAAACGTGCCAATTAATTATAAAAAACTAACTCAATATAATCTCTAATAGGGAAATACATTGCTCGGTAATTGCCTCTCCTAACTGCACCAACCGTTTCCTAAATATTTTAAATAAATTATTATTAAAAAAAATTTATTTTTAACCTTTTTAGAGTCAAATGTAAGTGGGAGAATATAAGCTTTATGAATTAATGGGCCTTTTAATGTTTCTGTTGCATATCTAAAAATAAAGAAAAATGTTTTTAATTATTCAAACGTTATGTTTACTCTTTAGAATCAATTTAATTTATATAGAAATGACCAAAAATTGGGGCAAAAAATAATTATTTTTGTTCCTGACTTTTGTAAGAATTTTTGGGGATCATTAATTCAAAAATTACTTGAAGAAGGTATTCACTAGAGGTCGGTAAAATCGTGTTTGCGGGATCCCCATGCATGATTTTCCTTTTAAAAATTTGCAGGACGGGATCCCAAGGATAAATCCCGAAATTCAAATTTAATACTGGGGATCAGACCTGGGCGAAACTCAAAATTTTTTTCTGACGAAACGAAACGAAACAAAATTTTTTAAAAATCGTTTCGTTAACGAAACGAAACGAAACAACCAAAATCTTACGAAACGAAACGAAACAAAACGAAACATTTTAATATTCAAAAAATTTTCAAAACTGCATTTATTTCGAAATTATTCGACCTCAAATACGTTATTAGTCGACTATGACTTATAAATGATTTAGTTATTGGTTTATTTACAACAATTGTGTCCCATAAGCCAGGCCCGTAGCAAGGAAAATTTTCGGGGAAGGGGGGGGGGGTCAATCATTTTCGAAGCCAAATTTTTGGCGACGCTTTTTTTTAAATAAAATTGAATATTTTTCAAGTAAAATTTTATTTTAAGCGCCGCAGACGAAAAATTTTAAAATTTTGAAAGGCCGTAGGCCAAAAAATTCACCATCTTGCTCCATTGCCTACCCAAATTGTCTCCATATCTCCATTTCGAGAGGAAGGCGATATAAGCTAGTGCTTCGCCGGAAGTTCCGGTTCCAGTATTTCCGCAACTCGCAATCCGCAATTTTTAAATTATGATGCGAGTCCGGTAATAGAATTTGTCGTCGATTAAGTAATATGTATATGTGGATTAGGGAGTGGAGTATAAACGGATTTGTAGTATATAAGTAATTGCTATCTTCCTTTTTCAGCGCCGCAGGCGAAAATTTTGACAATTTGGGAAAGCCAAGAAGCCGAAATTCTTTTTTTTTCAGCGCCGCAGGCGAAAATTTTTTAAATTTTCAATAAAAGATGGTAAATTTTATAGATTTTGGCCTTAGTTTAGGCTTAAAAAATTGTTTCGTTTCGTTGAAAAATCACAGGTGTTTCGTAACGAAACGAAACGAAACAAATTTAAAAGTGTTTCGTAACGAAACGAGACGAAACAGTAAAAATCATACGAAACATACGAAACAACGAAACGAAACGAAACGTTTCGCCCACGTCTGCTGGGGATTACGGGACGGGATCCAGCAAAATCCCGCACCGACTTCTAGTACTCACTTTACTCCTTATTAACCAAAAAAAATAAAAAAAATTACTTGGAAAGATAAATAACTTGATCACTTTCATCTGAATTTCGGCCAGCACTCTTCGAATCATGAAATGGATCATTTCGATAAAAATCTGGATTGATCCTTTGATGTTTGTGATAATCTGTCGTTCCAAAAGGAACAATATGTCTAAAAAAGAAATATTTTTTTTTTAATTTTTTTAATTTAAAAAAACTTTGAAATTAAATTTTTTGTATTCGGATCTGATTCATTCACATTTATAAATGATGCAGGTAAAGATATCCGACTTTCCAAATTTGTCTAAAAAAAGAAATTAAATTAGGGAAGGTTTTACAAATAATTAGGTTCCTTCCCCTTTGTTTCATTTTTAAATAGTTTACTCTCTATTAATTTTTTTAAATCTCTATAGACCTTAATTATTGAGCATGAATTAAGCTAGTAATATGTGAAAAAACCCAGTGGATCAAGAAAAAAAATATTTTAAAAAAATTAAAAAAAAATCAAGATTTACATAAATTATACAAAATAAAACCCCGAGCCTTCGGTATACGGGTCGGAGTTTTTTCCCTAAAAGTTCGTTGTGGGCTGCTATCCTAAAATAAACCATTATGAAAGGCATTATGTATTGTGATTTTATTTATGCCAGAAAAGAATATAAAGATGCTAATGAAATTTTTAAATTCTTTTCCTAATTACCATAGTTGTTAAAAACTATAATTAATCTAATCAAAAAGATCAGATTAACTAATTTAGTTTAAAGCTAGCCAACTTCCCCAATTATTTCAAAAAAATTTAAAGACTAACAAAAAAAGCATGCCCAGCCGATCTTAAAACACGTCCATATTCTTTAGTCGGCATATTTGGAAGAAATTGACAATCAAAAAGTAAACGAGGCATTTCATTTTGCATTGCCAATTGAATAGCATTCCAAAAATAAAATTCAGTTACTGATCCTAAAATTAAAAAATACCAAAAATTTTTTAAAAAAATTAATTAAAAATACTTTTATAATACATAAGAGTATAAGCAGGAGGACCATAAGCCATTTCTCCTCTTTCAAATTTTTCCAACTAAAAAAAAAGTAAATTTTAAAATTAAATTTAAAAAAGGAAATACATTTTCCATAAATTTTTCATTTTTTGCAGCTTTTCTAGCTTCTTCTTTTTGCTTGTCGTTTGCATCCCTTTGCTCTGTTAGTCCCATAAAATAAAAATAACGAACACGCTCATGTATATCACTAGTCCTGAGCAAACTTAAAAAATAAAATTAGAAAAATTAAAACAGGAAAATTTAAAAAAACAATTTGAATAACAAAGACTGGAAATATTTAAAACAAAACCCCTTTTTCGATCAAAAAAAACAAGGTAATCCACCGAAAATAAAAGTAAAGTGGATGTTTATTTATCAGAGTTCGACATTTTCAACCGATATCTGGGTTGTTCTTTCAAGTCGACCCGGCCCGGTTTTTCGGGGCCTGTTAGTCCCATAAAACCCCAAAAAACCGGATTTCATCAAAATACCGGTTTCCGGCTACCGGACACGGAAAACTCGGTCCCGGAGTCGAACTCTATTATTTATAATCATTTTTTGACAAACTTTTGCTTCTAAAATAATGTGTGGAGTTTATTTTTATTTACTAACACAACATTTAGGAGAAAAAAGTTTGCCAATTCTTAAAGAAATACGTAAATCCTACAAAATCTTACTCACTTAGGTAATTTTAAACATCAAAAGAATTTTATTAAAAAATAAAAACTTACTAAAGCCAATGTTTGTCCCTAAAAGCAGTAGGTACACAAGAAGAGAAGTATTCGTAAATCTAATTAATTTAAAAAATTAAATTTAAAACTTAAAAAACCTTAAATTCTTTCTGAATCCTCTCAACTCTAGATTGGAGTGTCAGATCATCTTTCATCAATTGTTTAAGCAATTCAGTTGGCTTACACTCAACAGGAACAAATTCACCATCAATTTTGTTTTCTTCTTTTTCCCTCAACTGTTTCAAATCATCTACAGCCGGATAATGCAATTTCCTTTGTTGATTTAATGAAATTGTAATACTTCTTCGAAAAAGTTTAGTAATTAATTTCATCATCATATCTAAAGAAAAATTTTAAAAACAAAAAAATATTTGAAAAAATATTTTAAAGCTTTAATGAAAAAACAATTATAAAATTTATTCTTGACGAATAAGTGGGAACTAATTTTTGGGCTCTCTTCACTTATTGCCCTTTTTCCTCCGTCGTCGAAACCGGACAAGTATGGGAGCATTCGAAGGAGGTCGGAAAAAAACAAATCTAACTACTCTAAAATTTTTCACTCTGGATCGTTTAAACCGGTGTTTTTTGGCGTAAAAAATAATATTGGCATTATGATTTTATTTTTCCACTAGAGTCTTATTTTTTAATTATTTTAGAGATTTGCTTAATTTTCTCGTTAATTAGTCATTCTATTAATCTGATTATTTTTTTAATTTTTTTCAGTTAAGTTATAGTTTAAATTGCCTTTTATTCAGTTGCTACAAATTTTTCACATTATCGAAAATGAGTGATAATTGGGGTTTGTTTTTTTATTTTTTAAAATTTAATGAATTTTAGACGACGAAGATTATGATGCTGGTGCTCAACTTGCTGCTCAGGCAACAGAGAAAATTGCGGATCTAGGTCTTGATGTAAACAAACAGCAAAAGCCTAGCAATTCGGCAGCGTATTCTGAGGATAAATTGAAGAACGCGTCAAAAGGAAAGTCAAAGGTTTTTGAATATTTATATTTGGACGAGTGCTAAATAGATACTGGGTCCATTTTTAGAAATAATTTTTCAGAATGATTTCTTCTTAACGCCACGCCTTTTATTTAAACGGGAAGGGTTATCCAATTAAAATTTTCTCTTTAAGACTTCATCATTTGGAAATAGTGAACTGTCTGAGAAGGAGAAGCGAGAGGCTCAATTGCGTGCGGATGCGGCTGCCGGGATGGATTTATTTGGTAAAATTTTTAGTTTATGTTTTTCTATTTTTTGTTAAAAATCGATATTTGACATAAAAACAAACATTTTCTTGATTTTAGGCGTAGCTGCTGACCACAAGGAGCAATCATTTAAGGATTTAGAAACCAGAGCAGATTTTCTTGCGTATGCTGAAAAATTGAGTGAACAAATTACTGAGAGACATGAACATACTCATTATTTAACTTTTGTTAATTCTCTTGTTGAAAAAATGATTGGATCAAGTAATTTATATTTTTTATTTGATTTAAATAAATTCTTTTTAGTGACTAAGCTTCAACTTGAAATTATTAGGAGCACTGTTCAGGTATTTATTTATATTTTAAGTATATCGGAATCAATTCCTTTAGACCATGCCTACTTTCTCATGTAAAAATTCGGGGATTTTTTGAGCTAAATACTTGAGATTTTACTTGAAAAATAAGTTACAGATTGCTCGCTGTGAGCAAAGAATTTAGAAAATCGAGGTTTGGTTAGCCTTAACGGGTTAAACAAAGGAGCTGTAGGGGCATAAAAAATATTCCTAATATCAAGCTTCGTAAAATAAAATTCCCAATGTCTTAGGGGTCTAATATTCCCAACTCCATTTTAAAGAATTTCTTATTTAAAAATTTCTTTTTACAGAAAAATATTGACGCTCATGTGAAACGCGAGGAAGAACTGCAAAAGAAGAAATTGGAGCAGCAAAAGCAGAAAACTGTTAAAAAGGCGATAAATAAGCAAGTGCGTGAAGATCTTTTGGAGGATGAATATGATGATTATGATGAGAAATACAATTGATATAAAGTTAAAAAAGTATTTTTTTTAAAGATTATTATTATTAAAAGTGTTCTTTTTTGAGGGCAGTCCTGGATGTTTTTATTTAAAATAAATTTTTTTGATGGAAATTGGATGGGAAATAAATTTTTTTGAGAAAAATAATTTTTACCCTTTCATTTAAAAAAATTAAATTTTGTACTTCCAGGACTCCTCTTGTTCTTTTTCCAAAAATATACATAAATATATCATACTTTCCACATTTTTGGCTCATTTGTTGAATCGTTTAAGAAATTTTGATTAAAAAGTTTTGATTAAATGAAATGTTTTTTTTGTTTTTATTGCCATATAAATTTGTTATTTTATTCAATTTTTTCTTTAAAATTTTGTGGAATTTTTTTTTAATTTCTGATAGCTTCCTTTTTTGAGACTACTAAAAATCCTTGCTGGTCCAAATGTCGTCAGGTTCTCCTTCAAGTCTTTCACCACCTCCAGAAGACAAGAGGAACCACGTAAATGGAGCTGTCGGGCGTTCTCGACGTCAAAATGTTAATTATGGCATTCGTAATCAATATTTGGCTAGTTTGACTGAACGGGAACTGAACGGGTAAGTGTTAAATGCTTATTGTTAGATTAGGTTTATAAAAACTTTGGGTTGGGCTTGTCCTAGGTTCGTGATTGGTCCTTGAAATTTGTAGATATATTAAAAATTGAACTAGTTCTTGCCAAAAATTTTATCTGTTGACCAAAATTCTGGCCCAGCCTAGAATCTTCAAAATTTACCAAAAAATTTTGCCCAAACATTTCCTATCTATAGAATATTGTTCAAGGATGTACAATTAGAAGTTGAGTTCTCTATTCTGACAATTAAGAAAATAAAGTTTTAGGCGTCAAAAATCTAACCTGGAAAAATATTTTTGCCTGATTATTTTGTTTTTTCAACTTTTGTAATTTTCAGGTTAAATGTTTATCGCTGTGAGGATGACGATCTTTGTTAGTTTAAAATAAATTTTTCTAGCAATTTTTTCACAAAATTAATCTAAGCCATCCGTACAGCCGCAGCACAGGCAAGACTGCCTTATGATAGAATGACACTTCGGGAATTGGAATTATTCCCGGAAATGGCACGTTCTCAACACAGTGTTGCCCTTTTCCTTTATATTAGAAATAAAACGGTTATTTTAATTATTAAAAAAATTTTTTTAATTTTTATAGTTGGCACAATGGCAATTTGATCCACTTTTGGAACTTACTTTGGGAGCAATTTTAAAAGAATTACCCGAACCATTTAACAGTAATTTTTAAAATTAGTTTTTTTTGGAAATTAGACACTTTACTAAATGACAGCTTTTTATTTGTATTCTTGGGATCAGGCCAAGGTATCGCGTTTGATGCGCTTTGACGAGCTGAATCGTAACGTTCAAGGGCGCCCCGGATTCGACAATTCTGAACGAAGTTGTAACTCTACGGTACCTTGGGATGTACCCGTATTTCTTATTTTTCTCTTTCTCCCAAAACTTAAACCGAACATTTAAGCTTCTTCAGCTAGACGATAATTCCTTCAATTTCCTTTCCTTATCCTTGGAAGCTTTTGCCTATTTTTTTATTACCTCTTTTCTCGCTTTTCAATATTTCTAATCACCAAAAATTTTTTTAGTTTTTAAAATTTCCTTTTAAATTTATTCTCCTTTATTTGAGTTGTCCTTTAATTTTTTATTTTTTCCTTCCAATTAATAAAGCATTATATTAAGGTGATGTTGAGTTAGTTACAAGTATTCATAATTATTTGGAGCGTTATGGCTATATTAATTATGGAGTGTTTACTCGTTTATCAGGTTCTTTTTTTTAATTAAAAAAATTTTTTTAATTCAAATTTTTCAGTTAGAGAATTTGACAAAAAAATAACAATTGTCGTTATTGGAGCGGGAGCGGCGGGGCTAGCCGCTGCTCGACAATTAAAATTCTTTGGGTTTGATGTTATTGTATTGGAGGCTAGGGTTATTTTTTCAATTTAATTTTTCTATAAAAATTTTTAAATTTAAGCCTAGAATGTGTGGACGTGTATTTACTTACCATAGAGGTGCTGGCCTGCCGCCTGTCGATTTGGGTGGAATGATTATTAAAGGAATAGGTAAGCGATTTTATTTATTAAAAATATTTTTTTAGCAATGGGAAGCAGATTGGCAGAGAATTTCGGTCTTGAAAAACGAGGTTTAGATCGATACATCTCACCTCGGGTTGAACTCTAATCAGTGTCTAAAGGGTCAGGATTGCTATTTACAAGGTGCTAGTAAATACTAGTACCCAGAAGCCAATGACCCTAAAAAATTTTTTAATACCAAAAACCCGGATATTTCCTGCCTATGAGTTCGTCGTGATTACTACTCTTTCAAAATACATATTTCAAGAAGCAATACATTCATTTATTTCCTGACATCTTTTTCTGTGTTGAAAAATGAAATAACATAATTCCTAATTTTTGTTCAATGAGATTTTGATTGCTTCATTATCAAATGTCCAAATTTTATATTTTTCCCATTTCTGAATGCTTTCCTTTAATAAATAAATTAAATTTTCTTTTAAAAAATTAAATATTTCAGTTGGAAATCCATTAATTACACTTATCAGACAAACTCAATGTAATATTGTAGAAATGAACCAAAAATGTCCAATATACGATAAAGATGGGAAATTAATTGATTTACAGAAGAATGAAATGATTTTAAATTCACTTAATAAAATTCTGAATACAATTTGTTATATTGTTCATGAAATGGGAATAACTAAAATTGAAGAAGACTCTCCAAATTCTCAAAATAATAATAAAAATGTTGCTAAAAAAGGAGGAAGAAAAATAAATTTGGGAGAAGCTATTCAACTTATTTTAAAGTAAAAAATTTGAAATAATAATTAAAGGGGCAATTCATGAGAAAGACAATTTGTTGGAGTTAAATTTGGGAAATTTTTTTAGGTTTTGAAATAGATAGCCAGTGGGTTTAGGATAGTTAAACCGTTTTTATTTCTGAGGGGAAAATTTTTCATGAGAATTTTCATATATCTTTTTGATGATTTTTGTCCTTTTGGATTTTCCTGGTTTTTAGAACAAATTTTCTTTATTTTTTAGTCAAAATGAACTTCGAGTAAAAACAAGATTAATGAAATATTGGCAAAGATTTGAACAACTTTGTAATAAATTGAAAGATGCTGGAGAAAAGGCAAGTTTCTTTTTATGAAATTGCTGTTTGGTTGTCTAAATTTTGTACAGATATATTTATTATTGTTTCTATCTTTTTTTAAAATAGCAAAAATTTTGGTTTGGGTTAAGAAAAATTATGGAAGTAAAGGGCCAAATTTTTAAAAAAATGTTGATTTTAGAGCCCGGCTCGATACGATATTTTTTCGATATTTTTCGGTATTTTTCGATATATATTTTTCGATACTATCGAAAAAATATCGACCGAGAAAATTTTGTCTTTTTCGATATTTTTCGATATTCGGTATTTTTCGATATTTATCGAAAAAATATCGACCGAAAAAATTTAAAAATCGAAACAATCGACCGACCAAATTACAAAAAATCGAAAAAAATATCGAACGTCATTTTTGACAAAAATTTGAATTTTTGAGCCAAAAAGGATGCATTTTTGCTTCTTGCCCGTTGGAAATTCAAAAAATTTTCGCCTTCGGCGCAAAAATTTTGCAACCTGACCTTCTGAGATTCACATAAGATTGTTAAAATATCCTTTCTTGTCCCATTAATTTATAATATTCCCTCGATATCCCTACATAACACATGAATTAAGAAGGATTTCGGTATATTCAGAGAGATTTCAGTGGGTTAAGAGTGGATTAAGAGTAATAAGAGTGGACTAAGAGTAATTTGATGGGATATCCAAAGATTTGGTGGGATATTTGATATATCCAAGGATCATGACGGATATTGTGGATATCCGGGATAATCGACTATTTGTATAACTAATAGAGGATTAAGTGGATAAAATGGATCTCAAGGGTGCTTTGGCAGAGATGGATATCATAGCATTATCAAATGCCGAGATTTTTTATCCTTTGATAACTCTTTATTCCCCTATAACCCTCTTAATCCACAAATTCCTTAATATCCCTCCTGATCTCACAAATCCACAATATCACTCTTACCAACACTAAATCTCTCGATACACCCACAGTCCTTAAAATCCATTATTTCTAGTTAAAATCCACTTATATCCCACTTGATCCTTCGATATCAAATACAATTCCATTGATATTACATTTAATACATCCAAATCCATCTATATCCCATTTATCAATCTTAATCTCATTAAACTATTAGGTCTATTCTGTTATTCGTTGGTTATAGAAAAATTTGTGAAAAATCGAAAAATATCGAGACTTTTTTTTCGATATTTTTCGGTTTCGATATTTTTCGATATTTATCGAAAAAATATCGACCGAGAAAAATTTGGGTTTTTCGATATTTTTCGATATTCGGTATTTTTCGATATTTATCGAAAAAATATCGACCGAGCCCTCCGTCCGGGCTCTAGTTGATTTCTTCTGAACCGTTTTTATTTCTGAGGGGAAAATTTTTCATGAGAATTTTTTCCAAAGAATTTTTTTAGACGAAAGCTTATCGGAATGCTACCCTAGTTCGAACAATAAGCCAAACGAGGCCTCAAAATTTTAAAAATTAAAAGAAAATCCCCGCACTCAATTTTATATGAGAGGGATTAACAAGTTTCTAAAAAATTTTTTTCTAAAAATTTCTAATATGTATGAAGAAGGTTTTTACAAAATTTCATAAATTTTATGCTTATATTTGATTAGCCCGTCTATTCCCCATTATTTTTCTAATTTCTTAAAAACAAAATTTATTCAATTTTTAATTTAGACAAAAGCTTATCGGAATGCTATAGACACATGTATGGATACTTTAAATCAGAATGGCGCTTTCTCAGAACATCCGGATGCCTATGAGGTTATTATTTTTTTTAAAATTTCCAAAAAAATCTTTTTTTAAGTTAACTTTTAATGGTTCAGTTTCTCACAATCAGGATTTATTAAATCGAAAATTGTCTTTACGAAGTATGCGTCAATGTTTAAAAATGGCTGTTGATGTAAAAAAAAGAATTCTTTTTTAAATTTAAAAATATTTTTAAGGGGTATGAGGAAGCTGTTCAAGAACGTCGTGAAGTTGAAGAAATGAAGAATGAATATGAAAAAATGGAACCAAGGTGTGGTTTATTTTCTTTTTAAAAGAAAAGTAGTTCTAATTAGGATAGCACTTCGAGCCTTTGGAGGCGGGAGTGTCGGGTTTGCCGGGGTAGAGCCTTCGGGGTTCGGACGGGGTTTTTGCCAAAAAATGTCGGTGGTCGGGTCGGGGTTTTGCCCGCACGGGGGTGGGCATCAGGAATCGGGGTTTGCCGGGGTAGAGCCTTTGGGTTGGGGTTTTTGCTTTAAAATTGGTCGGGTTTTGAGGGTCGGGTTGCTACCCTAGTTCGAACAATAAGCCAAACAAGGCCTCAAAATTTTAAAAATTAAAAGAAAATTAATTTTTTGAGTGGGCGGACATTTAGGCCTGCTTATAAAGGAGTATAATCCTCTAGACTATTTGAAAGAAGTTAAAAAAACTTTTTCCTTTCTAGCCATGTTTTTATGAATGATTATGATAAACGTATTCTTGATTTCCATCTTGCAAATTTGGAATCTGATATTGGTGCACCTCTTCGAACAGTTGCTTTAAAGGATTGGGATCAAGATGACCTTTATGGCTTTGATGGTTCACACATAACAGGTAAATTCTTAATTTTTAATTTATTTTAAAATTTTATTATAAAAATCGTTGTAAATTTATAAAAAAAACAAAAAAAAGGATTCCTATGTTCCCTGAAAGGATATTCTCTCATACATATTCCAAACCTGAATCTCTCCTTTTATGATAAATATTACCTACTTTATCATTAGAAAATTCCCTCCTTGATTCCCGTAAAAATACCTTTCACGTTAATTTCTCTCAAACTAAATTTAACACCTTTAAATTCCCTTTGAACTTTTTCAAAATTAGTTAATAAAAATTCCAATTATTTCCGGCATTCCTCTCCACCCTCCTTTCTATTCTTTTATGCACACTCAATTACAAAATTTTAAAAAAGAAAGAACAAAGCTTTATCTTTTTATATTTAGAAATATATATTTAAATTATATATAAATAAATTACACGTTTTGTGAAGTTTAGTACTGACTGATTTTTGGCGAGAACATGCATTAGATTTTAAATAAAAATGATACAGTCAATCTTTGGGTTATGGGTCCGATTTTTTTGGTTTTCCCATTTAAACTTGAAATAATTTTTGAAAGTTCATTTGGGTCTCCCTGAGAAATTGACTGTATTTTTAGTGAAAGATTAAAAATAATTAGAGGGACACAGGTTTAAAATCAAAAGATTAATGGGCTCCTATACAATAAGGTTGTCGGATAGTTGGAAATCTTCGGATATCCGGATCCGGATCCGATATCCGAACCGAAAATTTCGGATATCCGGATCCGATATCCGAACCGAAAATTTCGGATATCCGGATCCGGATCCGATATCCGAACCGAAATTTTCGGATATCCGGATCCGGAACAGAAATTTTTATTTTCAAAATTTTCGCCTGCGGCGCTGTAAAGTTGAGTCCCTATTAGTGTTTCACCGGAACCGAAATTTTAACCGGAACCGGAACCGGAACCGGATCCAATTTAAGTTCCGGTTCCCGGAACCGGAACTTTTCTAAGTTCCGGCCCGGAACCGGAACCGGAACTTTAAAAAAAATTTTTTGCTAGCAAATTTTAAAAAATTTGCATTTTGATTTGGGTTGTAGGTTTCGCCAAATTTTTCGGTTTACCGAAACCGAACCGTCTAACCGAATAGAAACTTGGTTAACTAAAACCGAGCCGAAAATTTGTCGTCGTTAAGTGATATAAGTAGATTAGAGAGTATGTATAAACGGATTTGTCGGATATAACTGTTTGATATCGGGCGATAAAAAGGTTCTGAATTGCAAGAAAATCCCATATCTACCTACTCAATTTCTCGATATCACACCCAAGTCCACGATATTACCTATGACCGTTTGAAATCATGATATAATCTAAATCCAAATTAATCCATCCAAATCCTCCGATATAACATTCAACTTCTTTTTAAGCGCCGCAGGCGAAAAATTTTGAGAATCTGTGAGGACAAGAAGCCAAATTTTTCCCTTTTCAGCGCCGCAGGCGAAATTTTTGAAAATTTATGAAGGCCATAAGCAAAAAAATTCACTATTTATAAGTCAAACTAAGAATTTTAAGAAATTTAGAGGGCCAAAAAACCACAATTACTCCATGTAAATTACTCCATGTTTTTTTTAATACACAAGCATGAGAGTACGAGTAGTTTATTAATTTTTCTAAAAAAATCAATCTTTAGGGGTGTAAAAAAGTTCCGGTTTGCCCGGAACCGATTTGAAAACCGGAGCCGGAACCGGAACCGGAACCAATTTGAGTTCCGGTTCCCGGAACCGGAACCGGAACCAAAAAAACACCGGAACTTTCCGGAACCGGAACCGGAACCGGAACTTCCGGTGAAACTCTAGTCCCTATGGATGATATAGAGGGATTAAGATCAATTATAAATGGATTTGGGGAAATAACAGAGGTATTGAGGGAATTTAGGAGTAACAGAGTTATCGATGTGAGTAATGAGTTATTTGGGGAATTAATAGAGACATAGGGTATTATCTTACATTTAAAATTGGTGGATTAAGGGATACGGGTTGGGAATTACGAGAGATATTGAGGGATTTATTGATTAATCCCCTATATCCCCTCTAATCCCAAAATCCTTCAAGGGCGTATCCAGGGGGTTAGCTTCAGAGGGGCATGTGAGTTTTTACAATTGTTTACAACTCTTTCTCTTTTAGCGCCGCAGGCGAAAATTTTGTGAATTTTGGATGTCCTTAAGCTAGATTTCTTCCATTTCCTGCGCCGCAGGCGAAACTTTTGAGAATTTTAGAAGGCCGTAGGCCAAAAAATTCACTTTTTCAGCGCCGCAAGCGAAAATTTTGGGAATTTTGGAAGGCCAAAAAGCCAGCTTTCTCCCATTATTAGCGCCGCAGGCGAAAATTTTGGGAATTTTGGAAGACCAATGGGCAAGATTTCATCCTTTTTTCCAAATTCTAGGATCCGAACCGAAATTTTCGGATATCCGGATCCGGATCCGATATCCGAACCGAAAATTTCGGATATCCGGATCCGGATCCGATATCCGAACCGAAATTTTCGGATATCCGGATCCGGATCCGATATGCGAACCGAAAATTTCCGGATATCCGGCCTTTTTTCGGATCCGGATATCCGGATCCGACAACCTTACTATACAACTCATCTAATCGTTAACTCATCTATTCGTTAACTCATCTACACGGCCAAAAAGGGTCAACTCATCCAATCGTTAACTCATCTAATCCTTAACTCATCTACACGGCCAAAAACGCTCAACTCATCCAATCCTTGAAATATCGGCCGGTTGAGTCCCTAGCCGGTTGAGTCCCTGGTCAGTTGAGTCTCAACCGGCCCAAGACTCAACCGGCGGTAATCAACTACTAAAACGGCCGGGACTCAACTGACCAGGGACTTAACCGGCTAGAGACTCAACTGGCCATGGACTCAACTGGTCATGGACTCAACTGGTCATGGACTCAACTGGTCATGGACTCAACTGGTCATGGACTCAACTGGCCATGGACTCAACTGGTCATGGACTCAACTGGTCATGGACTCAACTGGCCATGGACTCAACTGGTCATGGACTCAACTGGTCATGGACTCAACTGGTCATGGACTCAACTGGCCATGGACTCAACTGGTCATGGACTCAACTGGTCATGGACTCAACTGGCCATGGACTCAACTGGCCATGGACTCAACTGGTCATGGACTCAACTGGCCATGGACCCTACTTACCAGAGACTCAAACGGCCGGAGACTCAAACGGCCAGAGACTCAGACGGCGAGAGACTCAAACGACTGGTACTCAATAGTCTCGTTCCAAAGGATTGGATGAGATGAAAGTTTTTGGCCGTGTAGATGAGTTAAGGATTAGATGAGTTGATGATTGGATGAGTTGACCCTTTTTGGCCGAGTAGATGAGTTAACGAATAGATGAGTTAACGATTAGATGAGTTGACCCTTTTTGGCCGTGTAGATGAGTTAAGGAATTTTAGCCGTTTAGATGAGTTGAACGTTTTTGGCCGTGTAGATGAGTTAACGATTAGATGAGTTAACCGGACACGGATTAATGTTACAAGAAAGGGAGATATGAGAGAAATATTAAGAGCACTTTAAAGGGGAGAGAGTTAAAATTAATAATACCATGTTTTGAGTATGTGAGAAGATACGAATTTTATTGTCCTTGTAAGGGGGATATATTAAATATCAAAATTTACATCCTTTGATGTTTCCCGGGGTTATCCAGGTATGGGTCGTATTCTCCCACATAACCAGAATTCTAAATAAAAATCCTTATTAAACAAAAGCACTCTGAGAAGGAGAATGAATTTGTTCATAAAAGGGTTCTTCTGGCGATTCTCTAACAATTGGTGAAGGCAAAACCCTGGCCAATTCATCCCAAAATCCAGGATCACTTTGCTCCATATTCCTAGTATTTCGAATAATTTTCCCTACACTTTCCGGTATCCTACTCTTGTCATGTTCTTTTGTTTTTGTGCTCTTGAAATTGAAAATGTTTTTTTTAAATTCTTTAAAAAATTTTTCTTACATAAATTACAAAAATTTTCTTCTGTTCGATTGGGCTTTTTGTTTTTTCAAAGTAGTGAATAATACAATTTGTTAACTGAGGATAATTCAAGTCTTTAATAAATTCTGGAGATACATATAATATAAGAAGTCGACTTCCGTACACTAATTTTTCTAATTTTTCAGTAGGAAATAGGACAACTTTAGTATTGTAATATGTTTCAGGCAAATGCTGTAGTAGACAAATTCTGTAGTTGTAGCCGTTGTTATTTATTCTTTCTATTTCCCTTTGAATTTTTTAAAAATTATATTGAATTAGATCCAGGGAGGCTCCCTTTAGAATGAATCTCTCTATGATCCCGATCCCCCTCCCATTAAATCCCGCTAATCCATCCTCCCTACAAATTTCTCTTACCGACGCAAATTTAAAACCATTTTTTCATCCTTCTTTGCATAACAAATAAAAATGTCATAATTTGGGCCTTCTAAAGTAGAAGAAGAGTAGCTTTCATCATTAGAAGATCTACTTGTAGAGGGAATACTAAATTAAAAATTCTATAATATTAATTTATCTCATCAATCTTTACATGCCTTGGACTTATCAATCTTCTGTCAATTAATGTCATGCTTTCCGAAGAAGTAACTGGGCTTCGATTATTTTTCTGGCATTTTTTCTTTTCTGGTTTATGCTGTTTTTGAACATCGTTTAAATATTGAAAACAAGACTTGGCAACAGTAATTATTAAAAATGTAAAAAATACAAGTATTGCTATTATAAATAATATAATCATCATTGTGTCGGCATATTCAAAAACTCCAAATATCCTTTTTGGTTGCTCGATACATATTGTCCTTTTAGGAAAAAAATAATGAAATTATTTTTAAAATTATTTTTTTTCCCGATTTCTACCTATGGGAGCAGGCCAACGTACCGTAGAGCTATAACTGTTCAAAATGGTCGAATCCGGGACGCCCTGATATGTTTCGATTCAGCTCGTCGAGATGCATCGAACCATACCAAGGCGTCCCGGATTCGACCAGTTTGAACAAAGTTATAGCTTTGCGGTACGTTGGCCTCGCGTTCGTTTACCCCTACCTATTTTCCTGGTTGAGAAATTCAAGCATTGACATAACAAATAAATCATCGTTAATATTTGGGAAATAATTTGAAAATATTGTTGTATCATTAGTTTCCTTTGCTCTAGTTACATTTTCAACACATTGAATTTTTCCTGCATCTTTAATTTTTTGTTGGTTTTGAGCTATCCATTCTTGGGCCAAAAATCTTCCATTAGAAGAACAATCACATCTAAACGGATTCCCTCCCAAATAAATTTGGCGTAAATTTTTGATGTTTTTTATAAATATTGGCAATTCTTCTATTCTATTTTCTTCTAAAATTATTTTTTCTAAATGAGGGGCTATTAAATTTAAATAATTATTTATTTCATAAATGTTGTTATTTGCCAAGTTTAATAGGTGAAGGTTTGGTGCTGAAGTAAATTCATCTCCGTTTATTCGTTTTAAATTGTTTCCGGATAGGTGAAGAGCCTGAAAAAATTGTGGAAATTTTTTAGAATTTTTTTAAAAAATCTATAAATGTTTTTTAAGTTGGGATGTTCCTTTCCTAGTCTTCCCGGACAAGGGACCTAAGCTTACTTGTTAGCTCTAAATTTCCTCGGCCCAAAAAAATTTCTCATTTGTCAGACTTAAAATTATTTTTTATTTTTTTAGTAAAAGAAGGCTTAGGAACTGTACTTGAACAACTGGGTAATGATCTGGATGTAAAGCTTAATTGTATTGTAAAGAATATACAATATGATACAAGAGGTGTTTTTATAATTTAGTTGGGTTTAAAAGATTTTTGAATTTAAAGGTGTTGATGTTAGTTATTTTGTAAATTCAAAACCAGAAAATGTGAATAATGGCAGTGGAGGTAGTCAAAGAATTGAAAGAATTCTGCAAACGATTCGGGTAATTTTATTGTGCTTTTAGATCTCTATTTTACATACTCCTTAAGTTGAAGTCTTCTCAGCGAACTTTTCTGAGATGATTTTTGGGATACCCCCAATGAGTTTTCTCTGTTTCTTATCACCTTCTTTCTCCTTCTTCCCCAGCTTTGTATTCCCCCAATCTTTTATTTCTATTATTTAAAGGCGGATGCCGTTCTCTGCACAGTTCCTTTGTCTATGCTCAAAAAAACAGTTTTAACGGATAATATAATGTCAGATGCCAGTGCTATTCGATTCGAGCCAAAATTGCCAAATTGGAAAACTGAAGCAATCGCTAGATTGGGATTTGGGTCACTCAATAAGGCAAATAAAAAATTCTCTTAAATTAATTTTAATTTTTTTAAGTTAACACTTTATTTCGAAAAAACTTTTTGGGATATTTCAAAAACTTGTTTTGGACATTTAAATGAAACAACGTAAAAAATAATTAGTTTTTTAAATAAAATAAAAAATATTTAAGTGCTTCTCGTGGCGAACTTTTAATTTTTTATTCTATTGGAGATTTACCTATTTTAACTGGTTTGTTTGCTGGAGAAGCTGCTTCTATTACAGGACATTTGGAAGATCGAGTAATTGCTCAGAACGCAATGAAGATATTAAGCAAAATTTTTGGGAATAATTGTCCAACTGAGGTGGGTTTAAAGAATTGGTCATTGGGTTTTAGGAAATTTTGTAACAGAACAGTGTAGAGAGATATAGTAAGAGGGTTAGCGGATCTAGGCAAATTAGGGGAAAAAATCGGAAAAAATAAAAAATAATGAGAAATCAGAAATCCTGGAGATCTATTTGAATAGAGAATTTTCGGATATCCCGACTTTTTTCGAATCCTTAGATTCGTAGTAATTCCCCGTTCTTAGGAAATTTGGGAATTTTGCACGAAAAAACAAGATGTTGAGACTATTATGGAAATGGGTGTGGGAAGCAAGTTTCCCTCATTCGACAACATTTCCTTAACAGAGCTTCAACTTTTCTATTTTAAATTTATTTGCTAACTAATACCCATTTTTAGCCCTCAAAGTATATTGTGACTCGATGGCATTTAGACCCTTTTGCATATGGATGTTATAGTTACATGAAAAATGGCTCTTTACGTTAGATTATAGAGAATGAAAAAATAAAATTTTTTTCTAAATTTTTAGCAGAAGATTATGACAAATTAGCAGAGCCTTTATATATAGATAACAAAAAAGATTTTGCAAGAGTTTTCTTTGCTGGAGAACACACAATTAAACAATATCCATCTTCAGTACACGGCGCTTTTCTTTCAGGACTTAGAGAGGCTGGAAGAATAGCAGAGTGAGGGAGGGGGGGGGGGATTAAAAAAAATAATTTTTTTAATTTTTAAAGTATATTTATTGGTCCATTATCCCCTCTTGGAGGAGAAATAAATGATGAAGGAAATGATGAAAATAATTGTATTGATGGACAGGGAATATTAGCATTTGAATGTCAAAATCAATTAAATATTAAAGAAAATAAGCCTGGAAGTAGTAATCAGAATAACAATAATAATCAGAATATTGCAGTTAAACGTGCAAAGGTAGAGGAGGGGGGGATGTTTTTAAAAAAGATTTTTTAATTAAGATTAATAGAAATGGAATAAATAAGAATAGAAATGGAGAAAATAATGGGAAGGAAAACTAAAAGGAGAAGAAGAAATAACTTTGAATTGATTATTAAAAAATATAAATTGTACTTTTATTTATTTTTTGCTTCATTTTTAATTTTTATTTTTGTATTTTTTTGTACATAAGAATTTTTTTGACGAATAAAAAAAGAAGCTTTTGCTTTTTAAATAGACTGAAAACGTGAAAGTGAGTGATCAGAAAAATTTGGGAAAGGTGGAAATTGTTGGAAAACACGGAGAACAAAAGCATTTCTTTAACCGTTTTTACCTGCGAGGGGGAATGAAAATGATAGAAAAAGAATTTAAAAAAATTAAAAATCTTCCCTTTAAGATTTTTTAAAGCTTCCCTATATTGACCTATTTAAATATTTCCAAATTCCCCTACCTTTAAATTATTTATTGTGTCAAAGGCGGAAGGTTCTATTGTTTGAATATTTGATGAATTAATATGTAGTTCTACAAGTCTACCCATACCAAAAAAATCTGATTTTTTCAGAACCGGAAAGTTGAGATTTGATAAAAGAATGTGTGATGATTGCATTGGTAATTTTCTGTAAAAATGAGGGAAATTTTTAAAATCTATTTTTAACTTCTATTAGTGGACAATAACCACTAGAGAAAATCACAAAATTTTTTCTGGACATAGAAGGGGTTTTAAAAAATTTAGTGTTTGTTTAAGAATATTCTAAAGAATAGAGATCCGACTGTGAATGTCGTACGAGAATCGAGACCTCCTAGATTTTTGATCGAGATCTCGGTCCGGTCTCTATTCAAGAGGATAGACAAGCTGCCTCAAAAAGCCGTCCACTAAATAGTTTATTATTAAATAGAGGTCTCTGATTGTTAATTTCCTTACTGTAAGTCAAATTCCTCTTTTTCTGTTCCACTACATTTAACAACATTTTTGGTAAAAGTTTGATCTCGAAAGCAATCACAGGCTTTTGGACATATAGATTTGCAATCACAACTAGATAATTGACAGCAAGGACAATTAGGCTCACATAAAGTGTTGTAAGGACAAAGAAAGTCGGATGACTGGAAAAAAGTTAAAAATAATTGTTAAAAGGGAATTTCTCTTTCAAATTTTCCCTAACACATCATTCCCCGTTTTCTTAAAATTTCGAAAATTCTACGTAACATCCTCTACCGATGGCCAACCAAATTAAATAAGTGTATTCTAAAATGAGATTTATTTTATCGAGAATAAAATTTGTATCCTTTCCGTCAAGCTGCATTAGTATTAAACTCCTATATCTTCACATCTTCTACCCCTCATAAAACCATAAATTTAAAAAAAGCATTCACTCAACCTCAGTTTCTGCCACAAATTTAATTTGCCCATTTAATGGAAGTAAACATTTTGCTTCATTAATATCCCTAACACCTCCATTTTCGCTTATACTAGGGATGTCATCACTTTTCCTATCTTTAGCATTTAAAAGCCATTCCATTCCACAGTTGCAAATTAAAGGGTTTTCTATAAATTTACAAGTTTATTAATTAAAGTCTGATTATTTATTTGTTTCAAGTTTTAATAGTTTCTTTATTGTATATTAATTTCAAGTTTTATTTATTAAAGTTTATTTTAAGTTTATTAAATTTGTTTCAAGCTTCAAGTTTTATTTTTTATTTGCTTCAAGTTTATTTATTTGTTTTCAAGTTTAATTATTTTATTTGTTACAAGTTTATTTGTTTTATGCGTTGATTTTTCAAGTTTTAATAAATATTCAAGTTTTATTAATTCAAGTTTTATTTTTATACTTTATTTGTTTCAAGTTTTAATAAAGTTTTATTAGCGTGTATTATTTTCAAGTTTTAATAAACCAAGTTTTATTTTATTTTATTTGTTTTAAGTTACAAGTTTTGTTTTATTATTTGTTTCAAGTTTTATTTTTTATTTGCTTCAAATTGTAAAAACTTTACCAGAAATAAACATTTGACCGTATCTACTATTCGCGACAACAGTTATTTCAAATAATTCTTTAGGTATTGTTTGTAATTTATTTAATCTTAAATCTACCTAAAAAATTTTCATTTTTATTTATTAAAATTTTTGTTTTACCATTTTTAATTGTGACATTCCTTGAAAATTATTTTCTGTAATTAATGTCAATAAATTATCACTTAAATCTAATTCTTCTAATTCTAAAGGAAATATCTTCAAATTTTGAGAATTTTTAAAATAATTTTCGTCAACAGATAAATTTGTAATCCTATTTGAGTGGAGCTTTAAAAGAAAAAATTATTTTAATTTATTAAATTTTCCAAAAAAAATTTTTTTAATTAAAAAAACTTTAAAAATTCAGAGAAATCGAAGGATAGATTTCACTTTTACAACCAAATCTCATTGGATTTTTACTGTGGGATATACTCATAATATCATATCGGTTTCATTAGGCAGTCCCGTAAATATTATTTTTTTTAATTTAAACTTTACTTCCAATTTCTTTAACTTCCTTCCATCTGTTTCAACTAATATACCAACGTTTTTAATCTTGTTATAATTAACTGAAAGTTCGAGTAAATCACTGGGAAAATTAGACCATTCCAACTATAATTTAGAAAAAATATTAAAAATATTTGCTTATTTTTTAAGGTCAAGTAAAAAAACAATTTAGTGATTTATATATGGAAACGAGTTGGAATATTACAGGATTAGGTATATCTTATGGATTATTGATGGATTATCTCGGATAATGAATTAATAGGGCTGACCAAGACCGAAATTTTTTAAAGATTCAAGAGACTCCTGTAGCTCTACAAATTAGACACGTTAAAACAAAACCCTAAATTTCACCTAATATTTTGTATTCGATAACTATAAAATAACTTAGATAGAAACTAAAAAAAACTTTTCAAGAAATAATAACTATCTACCTCTTCCAAAGCATTTTCACTCAAATTTAATATTCTCAACGATTTTAGACCAGTCAACGCTGTCCCTAATTGAAATAACAAATTCTTAGATAAATCAATTTTCCTCAATTTTGGACATTTATTGAAAGCATCGGGACTTGAAAAATTAAAAAATTTTTTTTTCTAATTAAATTAAAAACACCTTATATTTTGTACTCGATTAGATGAAAGATTAATTTCCAAAAGACTTTCACACCCATCAAAAACATAATTATCTATTGAAGTTAATAAATTTTGGCTTAAATTGAGATGGGTCAAGTGAGACATTTTGTTTAGAATAAAATTGTAGTAGGTTCTGGAAAATTGAAAAAAATAACCTAATTTTTAATTAATATTTAGATTCAAAATTTAAAATTTAAAAAATATAGAGAATAGGCAATGATAAAAAGCAACTTTAATAACTCAACAGAAGATGAGAAATAAAAATAAAATTCAGAAAAATAAAAAATTCAAAATTCAAAAAAATCAGAAAGGCTGTAAAAATATTTTTGTTTAGGTCTCTAGATAAAGAAAAAAATTCCAGATTTTATTAATATTTTCTATTTGTTAGACAGGGTTAAAAATTATGTTTTTGAGACCCTTTTTAAGTTTTTAATTAGATAAAAACCCACGATATTTTATTGTAAGACAAATCAACAATCTCAACTCTACTTAATCGTCCAATAGCTGCAGGAAGTTTTGTGATTAAATTGTGACTCTTAAAAAACAAATTTTTTTTTTGCATTAGAAAAAAAAAGACAAACAATATTTAAATATTCCAAAGAATTCCCCAATTCTTGAAATGCTTCTTCGTGAATATTTTGAATAGAATTATTAAATAATAAAAGTCGTTCAAGCTTATCAAGTCCTTCAAAAGTTCTGATATTTAGACTAGTTAATTTATTTGAAGATAGATCTAGCTGAAAAAGATTTTTTTTAATTTTAAAAAATTGAGGGAAAAAATGAGGAGGTTTAATTAAAGGAGGCATAAATAAGCGTTTAAAGCAAATAATGTGGTTAGGTTGAGACCTTCTAAAATGGCCAGATAAATACTTAGAGCATTGAAATTTTGCCCAAATATCTCTAATACTTTAATCTACAAACTACAAAAAATCCAGAGTTTTTGGTTAATTATTTCAAAAATTATGGTCGAAAGAGTAGACATTTCTCTCAAAAACCCAACCAGTTTAGTTTTTTAACCATAGCTTCAGAAATATTAAACTAAAAAATTTAAAATTTTCAGAATTGATAGAAAACTCTTAGGAAAATATTTAAACAAAATTTCATAACAATAGGACCAATATGAATTGTTATTTACAGACGCGCGCCATAACTGTCTTGCGCCGAAATTAAATAAACTTGCCTCCTTTAAAGAAGTAAAATTTTGCATTTGATTAGAATAAAGCTTTTCAATTAAATTTCCTGACAATTTAAGTGTTGTAAGAGAATTTGTTGATTGTGAGAGGAATTGAATAGGTAAATTATGGAGTTTATTCCATGAAATGTCTAATTGTTCTAATTTAGAGCTTTTCAAAGTCTGTGGGGGAAAGGGGAGAATTTTTAAAAATTATGTATAAAAAACCTCTAATTTACATACTTCTCTAAAAGGACATGATCTTATAAAGAAAGGAGAAGGTGAGTAAAATAAAGGGGGTATTTTATAGGCAGTACATATTTAGTTAAAGAGATCACTATATAGAATTCAACAAGCGGAGGAGGGGACTCCACAAAATACGTTAGTTAGAAGAGGAGTCTCTCAAATAGGAAATATCCGCTCAAAAATTTGGGAAAGGAATTCTAGCCCTGATATATCTACAAAATAGAGAGTACGTAAAATAGAGGTTTTCGATTATTTAAGATAGGGTAGCACCTCAGCCTTCGGGGACGGGAGTGTCGGGTTTTGGGGTTTTGGGGTTTGCCTTCGGGGTTCGGGTCGGGGTTTCGGGGGACGGGGTGCTACCCTAATTTAAAAAATTAATTCCTCACAATTTTATCAATTTCATCATTAAAATTATTCCCACTTAAATTTAACCCAACCAATCCAGACAATTCAACAATAGATTCAGGTATTAATTGAAAACGATTATTGGACATATCAACGTGTAAAAGTCCTTCAGGCAACCTTTTAGGTAAATTATTTAATTGGTTGGAGGAAAGGTCCAAAGTTTGAAGTTGAGGGACTTGGCCTGATTGAAAGGCATCCGATTCTATCTTTAAAAAAATATTTTTTGTTTAATTTAGCAATTAGTTGTGTCAAGACAATTCACAAAAATAACAATTCACTTAAAAAGTAATTTTAATCCTTCTAGGTTCTAGAATTTTGAAGAAATACATATTAGCAACTTTTCCTATACCCAAAAATGGCCAAATAAACACTTATACATCACCAAAAAAATTTTTCGGATTTTTGGTTAATTATTTAAAAGGAAATGGTAGTGGATATTTCTTTCAAAATTTTTATGGTTTGCTTTTCAACTTGAGAAATATTAAACTAAAAATTCTAAAAAATTTTTTTAGGTACCTAAACACTAAGGAAATAATCTTTAAAATTTAATGGCATTTGAAAAAAATCGTAAAATTTTCTATTCAGTGAATTGTCCAAATATGTATTTATTAATTTATCAGTAAAGTTACCTCAATCAATTTATTATTGAATAAATTCAATAATCGTAAAGCAGGAAAAGGAAGTAAATCTTGTTCAGAAATTATTTGAATTGAATTTTCGGCAATATTTAAAACAATTAAATTAATTAATTGACAAGGATGGTGAACAGGGCGAGGAAGGAAAATACCCAAACGAATAGAAGTTAACAAGTTTTTTGATAAATCCAGCACCTTTTTATTAATTGAAAAATTATTTAGAAATAATTTTGAAAAAAAAATCGAAAATCTTCTAAGATTAAAGGCAAAAATGACAACTAAAGACCAAGGCTGAAAACCCAAAAAAAAAGTTTTGTGTCAACATGCGGTCCCGTTGAAAAATTATTTAATAATCCATCGAAAACATTTTCTGAGTAACTTTAGGCGCTTAAATTAATTTTGCACCGGGACCGCAATTCTACAGGATTGCCCAAGATGAGCGTTGTTTCGAAATTTCAATTTCCGATTGTCGAATATGTTTTGTTTCGAAATACTCTAGTCTCATGATTTAAGAGACCAAAAGTCTTAGAACAGCTCTAAAAGTCTCTAAAATTTAATAAATGGATAATAGGGAAAAGCTGGAAACTTTTCAAAAGTTTCCAGCTTCCCTACAGTTTTTAAATGAAACCAATTTCACCCCCTACCTGTAATTTCTGTAAAGAACAAATTCCATCAAGGGGGAATTCACGTAATCCAGAATCTGATAAAATTAAACTTTCCAATTTTGTTAGGCTACGAAAGAAATATTCTTCAAGTCTTTGTAATGATTTAGCTCCAATTATTGAAAGAGAACGAAGTTTAGGTAAACCTTCAAAAACACCGGCAGAAAGGTGGGTAAATCGGCAATTCTATAAAGAATTAAAAAAATAAAATTGGAGGCAGATATTAGAGGGGAGAAAGTGGAGAAGATATATAAATTATCTCTAATCTCTCTTTCCCCAATTACAATTATATTACTATAAGTAAAACTTCCTTCCAAAAAATTTAATAATAAACCAACATTAATTTTCAATTCCCTAAGTTCATTAAATCCAAAAAAATTTCCATCAATCGCCAAAATATTGTCTTCAATATATTCTTCTTTTTCACAAAAAATATTTAAAGATTTAGTTCCATTCTTTGGAAAATTATTAAAAATTCTACTATTTTTTAAATAAGGCCAATGACAAGTAATACTTAATAAATGATTAACTTTATTGTCTGGAACACAACGGCAACTTAAAAAAATTTTTTTAAAGATTTTTAGACGTTTTTTAAATTTTAATTTGAAATATTAAAATATTTTTTTCTTTTAAATTTTCCCTTTTTATTTTGTGAGAACAACTTTGAGCGAACGGGTAACGTTACGCGCACAGCTATAAAATAGTCTCATTAAAACCTAGAACTGTGAAATTTTGTCAGGATATCCCTAACAGTGCTAGCTAACTTTCCTAAAAATTTTAGAATTTTAGATTAAATATTTCAAAAGTTATGGCCGAAAAAGTGACAGAAGACAACGAAGACAACCGCTTTTTCAATGACTTTCTGATTTTTCCATCATAACATTAAAAATACCCAATCAGAAATTCTGAAATATTCAGAGCTATTAGATAACCTTATTGGGAATATTTGAGCAAAATTTCAAGTTTCTAGCTCTTCTTCAAACAATTTTATAAAATTCATTTTCCTACAATGTCATTTACCCCTTATCCGTTTAAATTTTATTTTCCATCCAAAAAAAAAATATTTTTATTTTTAAAAATAGATATTATCTCCTTATTTAAAATTATTTAAAATAAAAATTTTTTAATTTCCATATTTCCAAAAACCAATATATTTTATTTATTTATTCTTTAATTTATTTCCCCTCAGGCTATAAAAGACCGAAAATTGCTTTTTTGTCAAATATTCCACATTTTTCAATAAATTTTATTAAATTCTTGTTAAATAAATTGATGATAGATGTAAATAATGAAAAGAGGAGAAGAGAATTTTTAATTTAAAAAATTTCAAAAAAAAATTTCAATTTTTTAAAATTTGCCCTCAGGCAAAAAAATTATTGTCAAATTTTATTCAACATAAAAAATTCTCCAAAAAATATTATTTTTTACTCATTCCCTTTTCACTTTCTCCATATTCACTCTAATATATTTTTTAATGACCTATCAAAGCAATCGAGCGAATAAAATAAATCGGCCTTTCCCGTTATTAAGAGAGTGAAAGAAAGGGATTTATCAAAAAAACATATGTAAAAATTATTAATTTTTAAAAGCTTTTTGTGATAGAAAAGGTTAAGAGAGAGGTCAGTAAAAAACAAAAAAAAACAGAAAAGACAAAAAAATTCTGAAAGATTAGGAAAGTAAAGTAACTTTTTAACACTTTCTCCCAAAATAAATAATAAAAATCAAAAACTCGGAAAGATAACTACTGTTTGGAAGCTCGTATCAAAATTTGTACTTGTACGATTGTGAGGAAAAAAATAACTACAAGTACAAACTACAAGCTAGGGTATCCCCGCCCCCGGGGAAGGGAATTCCCGGGACGGGGGGAAGTCTACCCCAGAGCCCCCGTTCCCCGAACTCTAATTCCCCTCAACCCCCGTTCCCCGTAAGCCCAGCCCCGCCTCATAATATCGAATCCTACTACAAGTACAAGCAAATTCTTATTTCCAAATACGGATTATAACAGAAAATAATTTCTAAAAAATTTTTTTCTAAAAAATTCCCAACAACCAAAACAGGATTTTCTTTTCTTAAGAAAAAAAGGAGATAATGAAAAATTACCTAATTGTTCTTTGTTTTGTACTTCAAAAAATGAACAAGACAAAGAGAGTAAAATATATTAATGATATATTTATAGTAGTTACCCCTTAAAGGTATATAAAATTTTCCGTTTCCTTTGCCTTTCGGCAACAAAATCGGTAAAAATTAAAAGAAAATAAAGAAAAGAAAGTGAAGGGGGGAATGAAGTGTTTTTTTGGTGGTTAACAATAAATCCATTAAAAATGCCGAAAATTAGTGGAAAAAGAGGGGAGATAAGAGGAGGAAGGTAATGAGAAAATAGGTATGTATTTATGATTTTTTGGGGGTTTTGAAGGAGAATATTTTGTTATTCTTAGAAAAAATTTTGAAAAAAATTCTAAAAAAAATTTCCAATTTTTAATAAACTTTTTTTCAAAATTTTGTCAAAATTTTTATTTAAATAAATAATTAAAATATAAGGGTAAATAGTATTTAAGAAATAATTTATAAAACAGCCCAAAAAGTCAAAAAGGACTCAAACCCCCAAAAAAATCCAAAAAACCCCAGAAACGTATTCGTAATAATATTGACCAGCATTCCTTAAAACTTCAGAAATTTTGTTAATTATTTCAGAAGTTATGTAGGTGAAAAAGTCAGAATATGAGTAAAATGAGGTCATTTTTGTCACTTTTTTGACCACAACTTTTAAAATTATAAATAGAGCCAGGATTTTTAGGCACAATAAAGTTAAAAATAGGCGCCTATATAGGCACTATAAAACTGCTAAAATAGGCACTAAAATACGAAAAAAAGGCAAAATAGGCAGTATTTTTTCCAAGATTTTCTGATTTAAATTGACTAAATTTTATTAAAAAAGATAAATCTAAGCAATAAACTGTTAAATAAATTAATTCTGACGATCAGAATTACAGATAAACTAATTTATATTAATTATTTTGTTTCCAAAAATGATTTGATAAATTTTTCAGAAGAAAATTTTTCCCAAAAAAATTTTTTGACAAAAATTTTTGAAAAAATTTTCTATTTTACCAAAAAAAATTTTTTATACAACAATTTTCTTAAAAAATGTTCGAAAATTCGCAAATTTTAGTAAAAATATGCAAAATAGGCTGAAAAAAAGCAAAATAGGGCATTTACCCAGAAAAAGCCAAAATAGGCAATTTTAGGCAACGATAAAATTAGTTAGAAAGCAGATTTCAGTAAAATAACACCAGATTTGTTCGTTTCAGCATCAGGCCTATCTAGGAAAAAAACAGGCATTTGCCTAAAAATCCTGGCTCTAATTATAAACCAAAAATTCTGAAAATTTTAGGGAAGATAGCTAATACTATTAAATATATTTCAGCAGAATTTCATAATTTTAGGTCCGTTTTAGACTATTTTATAAGCGCTCGCGTATGTAACGTTAACGTCGTTTAAAGTTGTTATCTCAGCTATTAATTAATTTAAAAAAAAATAAAAAAAAAGAGAATTTTTATAAAAAATATTTTTTAAATTAATTAAGGTTTTAAAAATACCAAAAAATTATTTTAAAAGAAAAAAAGATTTTTTTATTTTTTTAAAATTTTTTTCAAAAAAAACTTACCCATTGGGGCATTGATAACGAGGAATAGGATTATTATTTTGTTGATATTCTATGGCACGTCTTAAATGTCGTCGATTAACAGTCATTGAGTAACAAGAAATTAATTGGGCAAGGAAAATTAAATAAATAAATAAAATAAATATTAAATTTTGTTTTTGAAGTTTTGGTGGGAATAAACTAGAAAAAAATTAAATTAATTATAAAGAATCTTTTAAAAGAGTTTCAGAGAATTGGATTATAGACAGGATAAAAAAGAAAAATTCCTAAAATTTTGTCTCCAAATTTTAAAATCTCTATAGCCTTCCAAATAAACAATTAATGTTTGATTTTTTCAAAAAAAATTTTTTTGGAAAAATTTTTAAAATTTTCAACAAAAATTTAAATTTTGAATTTTTATGAAAATTTTCAAAAAATTTCCCAAAAAAAATTTTTCCATAAAAAAATTTCAAAAAATTTTGGAAATTTTTTGAATTTTCTGCAAAAATTTAGATTTCGAATTTTTCGAGAAAATTCCAAAAAAATTTTCTGAAAATTTCAAAAAATTAAAAAAAAATTTTTTTGTCTCTTGTACCTCTTAAATTTTTTAAATAAATTATTTCTATTATTCGCCCTTTCCTCTACTATATTATTGTTGCATTGTTGTTCTAATTTTGTTGACATATTAGTTGTAGAATAATATAAAGTAGGCCAATCATTATTTTCTAACAACCTTTTATTTCCCATATTTGGGAATTTATTTAAAATAAATATTATTATTTTTAATAGAAAAATATTTTTTAAATTGCTGATTCGCTTAAAAAATTTAAAAAAATTAACAAAAAAATAATTTTAAAATAAATTTTGAACGTTGAAAATTAATTGAAAATATAAAAAATAAAATTTAAATTAATAGAAAAATTTCTGGATTAATTAAAAAATTTTGGATTAGTAATGGACAGATAAAAAAGAGAGAAACTCGATACCCACTCATCATTCTGAAATAGTTAAGAATTAGTTTGAAATTTAGATTTTTGAAATTTATTGCCGCGCAAACGCTCCAAGCTCACCATTAAAGTGTTTCTTCTCTCAAAAAAATTTTTTATGTAAAAATATTCAAAAATTAAATTTTAAAATTAAAAATACCCCTTTCCAATTGTCAACCCCAAAAATATATTAAAGTACATCCTCAGGGTAAAATAAAAATAAAAAAAGAATAAAGGAAAGTGTCTGTGCGTGAGTTAAATAAGTGTTTGGGTATATAATTGTGTTGGTGGTTGTTTTGAGGGGAAGGGAGGAAATATAAAATAATTATTTGAGTAATTTTATTTTTATTTTTTTTAGTTGAATGCGCATTTAAAAATATATCCTTTACACATTTCCTCTCCTCTTATTTTAATGTTGTGCCCATTTATCTCCAAAATTTTGGAGAGAAAATTAGGTAAAAATGTTCTTTCTTTTATTTTTCGTCTGTCAGGTTTTAATCAATATTAAATATGTTTAAAAATTAATTAATTATTTAAAAATAAAATTTAGGGTAAATTAATTGAGAAAAATAGAGGGAAGAAGGAAAGAAAAAATTAATTTTTAGAAAATAATTATTAAAAAAGTAAAATTGTGGGCGAAGTAACGCCTAGTCGAGGGTGAATAAAATAACTAGGGTGAGGCCTAAAATTCTGAAATTTTGCATAGATGTAGTCAATATGTATATCTAACATGTATAAAAACTTGAGAATTTTTGCTTGGGTATTTTACAAATTATGGCAGAAAGAGTAAATATGGGGAGGGAAGGTAAATAGTTAAGGAGCGTTTAGTAGAAAATTCATAAAACAGCCAAGGATATACTTAAAATACTGAAATTTTGTATATTTATTTTATTAAAAAATTCTGTTATCTAACTCTCTAAGAAATTTAAAATTTTTCGGAATGGAATTATGTATGTTAAAAAAGTTGAAATTTTCGATGGAAAATATGCCTATTTTCTTTAATTTTTTCTTGATAATTTTTGATTTAATCAACCAAAAATTCTCCAATTTATAGAGAAGTTAGTTGATATTATTAAAAATATCTGTATAAAATTTCATGTTTATATCTATTCTTTTGGTAAATTTATAAGCTTTCGACTAAACATTATCAACACCAGAACATAACGAAAATAAACAAAAGTTTTAATGGAAAAAAAGTTTTTTTGTGTTCTGTTTATATAAACTTTTTTTACAAGTTGGATAAATAATACAGTAATTAATTTTAAATAAAAATAAAAAAATATTCTACTTAATATAAAATTTTTTATTTAAATGAAAAATTTTTCCAAAAAAATTTTTTTGAAAAACAAATAAAATTGTGGCAAAATAAGAGAAATAAAAATTAATATTAAATTTTAATAATAATGTCAACATAGCCGGATATACATACATATTATTAATAAAAATAATAAGGGGGATGGTCAAAGGTTGTTGAGGAAATGAATAGAAAAAATAAGGGGAGGGGAAATGAGAGAAAAACTGGGCAATGAAAATTTGTGAAAAGAAACTCGGGAAAGAACATCCGTTTTGGATTTTTCTTTTAAAAATGAAAAAGGGGAGGGGGAAGGGGGGGGGGGGGAAGGGGAGGGGGGAAGGGGGGGGGAGGGGGAATTTGTTAGAAGAACATTGAAAAGTGGGAAATAAGAGAGGTTATGGACATTGGTTGTTAAAATGTTTTTGGAGGGGGGAGGGGATTAACAAATCCAAATCGAAGGACATTATTGCTGCTGAAGGGCCGACAAATCAGAGGAGAAAAGAACGAACGATTTTTGAACAAACAAATAAAAATATTTATTTGGGATATTATGTCTTTATTTTTAAAATATATATTTAAAAATATTTTGTGGAAGAAATTTTTAAACAAATATTTTTTGGGATTTTTTTTGATCCAATTTATATTATGATTTCCAAGAAAAATGAATTAAAATTTGGTGGAGAATAACTAAAACTGTAAGACCCCGTAGCTAGTTCCCCAAGATTTTGAGATGCCTAAAGTCGGAGCCAGGATTTGAAAAAATGTCGGAGATGGCCACAGAACTCCAAATCATTAACTGATCTAAATTTAAATAACTCTCCCAAATTATTTAAAAATTAATTTTTATTCAGTGTTAATTAATTAAAATAAAAATTCCTGAATTTTTGGGTTTTTTATTTTAAAAGTTTTTAAAGAAAAATTAAATTAACGGCAATTTTTTTAAAAATTATCCAACACTTTTAGCTATAATCTCTCTCAAAACATCGCAAAAATTCTCCCAAAAATTCTCAAATTTTCAGCAAAATTAAATAGCTTAATTAAAAATATTTGTAGAAAATTTCACGGTTTTAGGTGCTTTTTAAAATTATTTTATTGGCCGCGCCACAACGTGCCAGCTATTTAAAGATTAATGTAAATCTGAGGAGGATAAAGTGACAAATGAAAGGAAAAGGGGAGAAATAAATTGAAATAAAAATTTAAACAAGAGAAGTGGACAAAGAAAAGTTTAAAAAAATTTTTTTGGACAATTCTTTAAGGATTTTTTTGAAGAAAAAAGGGGATTTGTTGGACAATAAGTTTGTTGTAAAAGCAAATAAACAAAGAAAAGTTTTTTTGACATTTTTCCAGAAGGGCGGAAATTTGTAGGTTTTTAATGATTGATAGTTTGTTGTTAATGATTTGAGTGAAGAAAAATTTGTAAAAAATAAATATGTAATTTAGTGTAAAGATTTGTGAATTTATTACTATTTTTGTGAAGAGAAAACAGAAGTTATGTAATGGCCAGAAGGAGTTACTAAATATTTTTGGTAGTTATTTAAACCTCACAAAAACTTGGAAAAAACTAAGTAAACTTAAAGGGGTTTTTAAACGTGTCTTTATACTCTATTATATTAGTTAGCTCCTTCAAATAATTACCCTCCCTCAAATAATTACCTCACCTCTATTATTTACCGTACATAACGAAACAATAAAATATAGTTCTTACGGCATGTCCTTATAAGGAAGTAATTTATCTAATTAAAATTGAGAAATACACAAAATAGATTGTTTTGTTACTTCATTAAAACGTTAACGATCTACCTGTTCTATATATTTTTTAAAAATAACTATATCTTTTTAAACTATATCTCAATGTCTCCGCGTTTTTGTGAAAAATTTGGACAAGGAGGACCATGAATAAATAAATTTGTTAGAAAAAATTATATTCCCTCAATTATTATCATTAGAGTTGCGGCTTTCGAGTCGGGCCGACTGTCGAGTCATTATTTTTTCGGGTCTCATTTTTATCGAGCCGGGCTGTACGGGTCTTTTTCGGGCCAAATATCTTAGGCCGTCTCGTCTTTCGATCCGAGTCGGGCCTTTTTGGCAACCCTAATTATCATTTTGACATCCCATCTACTATTGTTCATCACCCATTTTTTTAACTTAAAATTGTTTAAATTAAATTGATGGTATTTTACACTAAACTTTGAATTTACATTGAAAATAAAAAGAAATTAAGAAATATTTAAAAAATATTTTTTGAATATTTTTTTAAAATAAAGGTCTAAATAAATAATATTGGCTACAAATATATTTTTATTTATTTAAGAGAGGAAGAAATAAGGCAATTAATTTGATGGCATAAGACAAATGAAAGAATAAATTAAAATTTGTTTTACAAGTACATTTCCAAATAAAGTGGATATATATTCTTTTGAATCGGATTAAAAACCACTTAAAAGAATTGAGTGGGGGAGGTTTGACTGAAATTTTTTTAATTAATTTATTTGTAAAAATATTAAAGGCAGGGGGTTGTAATGGGCGCGGACCTATAAAATAGAAAAATCAGAAGCTAGGGCTATGAAATTTTGCAAGGATATTCTAATTGTGGTCATCTAGCTCCCTTAAAAATTTCAAAATTTTTAGTCAAAAAAAGCTAAAGTTGTGGAGAAAAATATCGTCGTGTAAAGGATATTCTGGGGTATTTTGCCTTCTTCATCGATAACTCCCAAAATACTCAACAAAAAATTCCAAAATTTTTAGACAAGTTAAATACCTTTATTGAGAATATCTATGCAAAATTTCACGGTTCTATGTGCAGATTGGGCAATTTTATAAATTCGAGACCAACAGGAAAATCAGCTTTTTGTGGGGAGAGAGACATATGTTTGTCATTTAATTTTAAGTAAAATATTATCAAAAATAAAATTAATATTTGATAATCAAAGTGAGAACGGAAAGAACATTAAATACACATTTCTCAAAGTATTAATTTATCGAGAAAATGGGACGATTCCTTCCTTTCTCCCCCAAAAAAGATTTATTTATTTATTTATTACCCAACACAAAAATAGCCAATATACACTTTTGTTTGGATTGTTTATATATTTTGCTCTTTCTTTATAAAATCTGTCCCTTTATTATGCTGAGATTTTTGGTCCAAATGGCGATAGACTTGAATCTTTTTAGGCTGCAAGTTTAAAAGCAACAGCAGTCCCTAAGGAGCAGTTTGGGATGTTTGGCCGCAGAAAAGTTTGGGCGCGCGCTTGAAAAAGAGGCGAACAATGGGACTTTGGATTGATGGAATTTTGTACAAATATTCCGAAGAAGCTGGGCTAAATGCCTTTTTAATTTCAGAATTTTTGAGAAAATATTTTTAAAGTTATAATCGAAAAACTTGCAAAAATGTCGATTTTTTAAAGAAAAATTGACATTTTTGACTATAATTTTGGAAATAAAAGAGTAAAAATTCTGAAATTTTTGGAGGACAAAGATAATGCTATCTGAGATATCTGTGAAAAATTTTGTGATTTTAAATAAATTATTTTTGATTTTATGATTTTTAGTTTGAGTGCTAGTAATCATGCGCCTAAGCGTCCCCAAGTCCCGGTTTAAAAGACCAAATGTGCTTTGGAGGATTTGTGACAAAGTGAAAATAGAATAAAAAAAAAGAATTTTTATCTTGTAGAGAAAGAAAATAAAAAGTTTTTTTGCGGTCTTTAACCATTGGTTTTAGTAAATAAATTGAGGGGCTTATATTAATGAGAACAACATATGCCCTTTAGCAAATCCGGAAAATAGAAAAATAATTTTAGATAAAAGCTGAGGCTTTTAAAATTGTTAAAATTAAAAAATAAATTGAGAATATTGGTAGGAGAGGTATAAAATTAAATATTAAATAAAAAATATGTATAGTCAAATATTCACAGTAAATTTAAATTTGTGGAGGACAAGATTAAAGTGCAAAATTTTCAAAAAATTTTTCAAAAATAAATTTCAAAAGCAATTCTTTTTGGAATCTTTTTGTTAATAAGAAGCATGCTAAAATAGAATTCCTTCGATAGAGCCAGTGATTTCTTAAAAAAATTTGTGGCAATGTTCCGTTCACACTATAAGTAGTGTGAATGGAACATAAATAGATTTTTAAGTTGACAGACATTTAAAAAGCAAAAATTAATATTTAATTTTTCTATTTAATGAGGAAATATGTTTAAAATTGGAGGAGGATTTGTTAACAAAAAATAAAAAAATAATTATTTTAAAAAATTAATTAATTAATTCCCCTCAATTAATTTAATTTTACCCTCCCCCTTCCATTTATTTCTCTCTCAATTGACCCCAAATTATTTAAATTATAAAAAATCTATTTAGACACCAAAAAAGGTGTTAGAAAAATAGAAAATGGGAAAAAATAGAAAAAATATTTTAAACAATGATTTATGCATGGAATGACCTCTCGACCCTTTCTCTTTTAGTCTTTAAAGGACCCCCCCCCTCCCAACAATCGTCACACTCCTCTTTTTTTGGTCACTCCCTTTATTTTCTCTTGTTTTTCACCTGCTGCTTTCTCTCGAATATTTAAATATTGAAAAAGAAATGAATAAATATTAAAGGGTTTTGGAAAACCTGGCGATGATTTTTAGACTCTTTGCTTGAATGAATTTTCTTGGTATTTTTGGATATCTTTTAAATATATTTATTGAGTGAATCATTTTATATTAAAAAAAATAAAATTAAAATGAGAGACAAAGTTTGGGGTTGTTTGTCATAAGAATTTAAAAAACATAAAAAATAAATTCCCGGTTTTCGAGACTTGGAAGGGAACGTTGCCTGTTATGTTCCCTTCGAACTACTAGTAGGGTGAAGGGAACATTGTGGATAGGGTTGCCGTTTTAGAGTCGGGCCTATACGAGTCTTTTCCGGGTCAAATATCTTAGGCCCGACTCGATCTTTCGGTTCCAGTCGGCCATTTTGGCAACCCTGTTGTGAATTAGAAAAATTATTTTTTGTTAAGAAAAGAAGAAAATTTAATATAAAATAATTTCCAAAAATATTTTTGGAAAAATTAAGTTTTATGACGAGTAAAAAGACTGTTGAGTGTAAAAATTAATACAATTTATTTAAAAATGCAGGAAAATAAATAAATTACAAAAATAAAAGGAAAATTAAAAGGAAAATTAAAAGACGGGCTTCTGATAAGCAATAAAAATAAAAATTGGGGAGAAAATATTTAAATTTGGGGGAGTAAATTATTTTATTAGGTCACAAAAATAAGGTAAAAGGGAGGCAAGATAAAAAAGTTTTTTTGAAGAAATTGATAAGAAAATTTAAATTAATATTTAAAAAAAATATTTTTATTGACTAAATAATTATATATTTTATTTTAAATAATAGAATACAAGAACGAGATTTGAATAGTAAAAAGAGAATTTAATACTAGTAAATGAAATCAAGCTGTACATAAGAAAGGCACGTTAAGATAGTAAATTAGAAAGACATTTTTTGTATCCAGGCCTCAATCATTTTAATTTAAAAAACCCGTCTAAAAAAATGAATAAACCAAAAAATCCACCTCGGATTAGAAATTTGATGGAGATCGGGATGAATATAAATCTAAACTTTGATTATTCAGTAATCAATATCAAGACAGTTTTCAGTGCTTTTTAATTTTGCCTTGATCCTGATATTTTTTTAATTAAAGGCCACTAATCTTGTTAGGGCTGGCAACTGAAAGCAATATCAACAGGGGCCAATTAAATATCTCGATCGATTAGACTATTCCATTTTTTCGTCACTCATTGAAAAAGGTAAAGCAACCAGCATCTTCATGTTAAAATTCCATAGAAAAGTAAAAATTTAAAAATAATATTTTTAGTCCCAATAATTTATTTAAAATATTATTAGTACATACATATAATTATATATTTCCTCTATTTTTAAACAATCTACCTAAATATCCCTCTTCCTTCCCTTTCTAAATATATCCCATCATTAACTTTCAACCGGCATATTAATAAACTAAATGTAAATGCCGCCAACTAGTTACCCCTTCACACTACTAGTAGAGCGAAGGGAATTGTGAAAAACAGGTAAAGGAAGGGAAGAAGATATACATATTCCTGGTCATTTTTAAAAAGAGGAAATGGCCAATTTGTAAAATAAACAAGTCTATAGTATCTTTTAATTGGCCTTGTTTTTGAAAAAATAATTAGGTGAGTTGTTATTTGCTTTTTAATGACCAAAGGGAATTTACTTCAAAAATAACTTCTATTAAAAATAGTTGGCACAAAAATAATTATATTTAATTGTAAAAATTAGAGGAAATTATTTTTTAAAAATATTTTGAGATTAAAATATTAAGGTTGGGGATACTTTGGGGGATTTTATTTTTGTTTGCTAATTGAGATAGGCTTTTAATAAAAGGTGAACTGATATTGAAATACTTTTAAAAAACGAATTAAAGAAAATTTTAAAAATTTACACAATAAATATAGTATGACAATACAAATACAAGAATCTAATTATCAAAATTTTTTTGATGTAAGATATCTCAAAATTAAATAAAAGTTTAGATTTTGAGTGGTCAACAAAGGCCGATGGAATCCTGACCTCCGATTTACGAAAATTTGAGCTAATTTCTGATTTCCGAGTTCCGATTTCCGGCACCTTCGACATTTCCGATCGACCTCTAATGGTCAAATACTATGTAGAAGGTTTTTACAATAAATCAACTTCTTTCTGATTTTCAAAAAATCTTTAAAAAATTTTTAGTAAAGTCCCATAACCTCTCCTGTTTAAAAAATCGAGGGGTTCTGTCTTAAATCTAAAAATATCAAAAAATATTTTAATATAAAATTATCTAAAAACAGTTAATTTTTATGCTAAATATATTCTTGGAGTTGTCATTTTATATAAAATGTAAAAATTAAAAACATAATTATTCATAAAAATATTTTTTTGAGATGTTTTGAGGGTTAAATATCCAGCTAAGCTATTGAATATATATTTGAGGTATATTGCCATTAGAATAATTGAAATGTTTGAGGGAAAGAGGCTAAATAGAAGAGGATGTCTTGATGTTGTTGTTGAGGGGTATTTTTTGCATTTTTTCTTGCTCATTATAATTTTTTTCTTTTTAATTTTTAACGGGATATATTTTGGTGTTTCTTGACTCTTCTTCCTCACCTTTCAATAAAAATTTTCTTCAAAAAAATTTTTTCTGAAAGAAATTTTTTGAATTAGACATCTTTTCCCCTCCCTCTCCCTCCCTTTAAAAACTCAAGGTCCATTCATTTTTGAATTGAAAAAAAAGAGAAAAAAAATATCACGAAATAGAGGAAAAGAAGAAAAATACTAGAATGTGTGCCAATACCAAAAAAAATAAATTTTTGAAAAAAAAATTATCAAAAAACGCAAATTGACACGCAAAAACAGAAGGAAAAAAAAGATAGAAAAAATAGAAGAAAAATATTTTTTGGAAAAAAAATACCAAAATAAAGGAGAGGAAAAATTAAAAATAAATTTTTTGATGAAAAATAAATTTAAAAAATAAAAAAAATTTTTTTTTTAATTTTACCAATAAAGAAGATAAATTAATTTTATTTTCTAAAAAAATTATTTTTTTTGTTTGGGTTTTAAAGAGGCAACAAAATTTGGTTGTAAATTAAAAATATTAAAAGGGAGAGAATTAAAGTGTTTTTAAAAATATTTTTTGATTAATTACATATAATGAAACTAGACAAAGAAAATTTAAAAAAATAATTTAAAAATTATATAAAAATACATATCTTTTTTAAATTTATTTGGGGGATAATGGAATTAATTTATGCATGTAAGGGAAATACAGCAAGTCCACCTCTCACAAATCCCCTTCCTTTTAGAGCCCGGACCGGTACGATTTTTTATCAATATTTATCGGAAGTATATCGATCGACTCCACCGTCCGGGCTTTATTTCCTTTATTGGACTTGTTGCCGTGTAGTATTATCGAAAATAACGATCCGGCTGAAAAAAAAGAAACTTAATTTTTCAAGAAATCCAAAAATCTCGCTCCTTTGATATATTTCTGAGTTTTACAAAAATCAACTCTCGAAATAAACCATTAGCCGAACACTAATTAGTAGGCTACAATCTTCTTTTTTTAAATTAAGCGTAGGCAGTCGCTCCAATAAACAACAAAATTTATTTAAAAAAGGGTTGGTTTTTGAGTTAGAATTTTGTAAAATTGGATAAAAAACACCAAAAAAATACGCAAATAAATATATTTAAAAAATCGTTTAAAGTTTTTTACGAGAAATACGGGAAGTATTTTTGTATATTTGAATGAAGAAAAAAAGAAGGGAAGGAAGAAGGGGCTATCCCTTCCTTTTTTCATCTTGCCATAACCGGTTCATCTTCAAATGTCTTTACTATTTGTTGGCGTGCTCCCATCTAAATAACAACAAACAACTAAATTGTTCACAAACATTTTTCTTTTCGTCTTTTTTTTTATTTTAAACGTTCAGCCGATATTAAAGAAAAAAATAATTTTTTGGATATTATTTTACTATTTTTCTAAAAAACAGCAAAAATAAGGGTCATTATTTGTTGATTTTTGTGTAGTTGGGGACACTCGTTATACCGTCCATGGGGTATGCCTGGCAAGTTATAATTCGGGTTGGAACAACTAGCATTAGAGCGCACGAGCTGTGAGGGTCGTATAAGAATAGAGATCGATATATCGAAGGATATTGAGCACGATAAAAGAAATCTTTGTTCGACTTCTCGTCTCGGTCAGATCTCTGGTCAGTAATCTTCGGCATCGAGAGGAATATGGGAATACTGAATATCGAAAAATGCCATCAACTATCCCCAACCTGTATCAGTTATCCTCGCCAAATATCCGCTTCTTTTAAGTTAAGTCGCTTATAATGAGATTATTTTAGTAATTTATTTTTAAGAGAGGAACAGGAGAGAACTATAAAAAATAACAAGATTTATCAAACGACAGAAGAAAGAGAAAATTAGGTTTGAAAATTGGAAACAACTCGAAGTAATTTAATTTAAAAATTAAGAAATAGCCAGAGGGTATATTCTACTTTGAATGACTTTTCTGCTTAAAATAAAAGCAAAACCGTTAAACAATTCTGGGTCATGGTCAATTAAATTTTCGAATTGACATAAATTTTTTTATTTATTTTATTATGCCCGGAAGGGAAGAAACGGAAAGAAGAAGGAAATTAAAAAAGAGGACAAGTTAGTAATTCTTTTCTGGATTTTTTAATATTTTTATTTTTTAAGAGAAAATTAAAAGAAAGAAAAGATTTTTTAAATTGGATTAAAAAATATGTAACCATATTCACAATTAACTCTCATTTGTCATCAGTAGGGACAGCCAAAATATGCACGGAAAATTGCCAAATATGCGCATATATATGCACCGAAAAAGCCCAAAATATGCATCAAAATATGCAAAATTTGCCAAAATATGCAGTGAAATATGCACCAAAAAATAGTTAAAATATGCTTTAAAAATCAATATTTTAATTTAAAAACACTAATTTAGCATTTAACTTTACATTTTATGAACACTTCTAAAGGATTTAATATATTTAAAATTTCTGCAAAAATTTTCGGGAAAAAAATTTTGGTACTTTTCCGTTCTGCCACACCCCCCTAAATTAATGTTCAAAATGTCATATATGGGGTAAAAAAAGGTACTGAGTCGAACAGTAACACTCTTTTCCCCCGGAGATGCCTTTGGACTAAAATTTTTTGCTCGAAATGGTCAAAAACCATAGGGGGAGTAAGCTCAATTTTGGGATAAAAAATTCAAATATGCAAATAATACCTCATTCGAAAGAACTCGTCGAGCTGAGTCGAATGACACCAAAATTAACGAAATCTGAATTGATTTGACCTAGATACAGGTCTCTGAAAATTGAAGAACCACACACATTTTTGTATCGTAACTTGGTCCAAACTTGTTAGACCGCGGTGATTTTGGTGTCTTTCGACCCAGCTCGACGAGCTCTTTCGAATGAAGTATTATTCGCATATTTGAATTTTTTATCCCAAAATTGAGCTTACTCCCCCTATGGTTTTTGACCATTTCGAGCAAAAAATTTTAGTCCAAAGGCATCTCCGGGGGAAAAGAGTGTTACTGTTCGACTCAGTACCTTTTTTTACCCCATATATGACATTTTGAACATTAATTTAGGGGGGTGTGGCAGAACGGAAAAGTACCAAAATTTTCCCCAAAAAATTTTCGGAAATATTTTTTCAAAAAATTTTCATAAAAAATTTTTTTGACCAAAAAATTTCAAAATTTTGGTCAATTTTTGGCAAAATTTTACAAAATATGCCTAAATATGGACCAAAATATGCAAATTTTGCCAAAATATGCACAAATATGCAAATATGCACGAAATGGTCAAAATATGCAAATATATGCATTAAGAACCGGGTCCTAAAGTGCCCGTACCTATGTAAAAACACCATTTTTGGGCTTCCCACTTCAAGGCATATCCGCATACAAAACATGCATTTGCATGTTTTGGCTGTCCCTAGTCATCAGAGGTGCGTCGGAACAGTCAGAAGTGTCGGAAATAGGAAGAGCCAGAAATCGGAACTAGCTCAAAAGTTTTTTTTCGGAATTCCGCCCCACCTCTGTCTCTCAGTATTAAAATACTTGGAGATATGTCTCGCCTATAATGAGAGGTTAAGGAAATCCGATTAGTAAATATCGTCTATATCAAATTCTTTTTATTAAGGATGTGGTCGCTTATGTTGAGAGTTAAATGGTCCCATTTCTTAGTTGTTAGAAGGCGTTCTTTAAGAGTTTTTAAAATTAAAATTCAAGTTATTGGCAAATAAAAATTGTCCAAAAAAAATATCAAAAAAGAGAGGTAAACCTTTAAGTTTTATTAAAAATAAAGGAAAAATTTTAATTTTATTTTAAGACTTTATTTTAAGAAATTCGGACTAAATTAATTAAAAATATAATCAAAAAAATTTAATAAAAATAGTGATTATAAATATATTATAGGGAAGGCTAAAAAACCTTTTTTCCATTTAAGTCGTAAAATCGTAAAAAATTAATGGCGAAAGACAATAAAAAAGGAGAGAGGGGAGTAAGTGGATTGATGAAAATGATTTATGGATTTCACCTCAGCGCTTTTTTAAAAATATTATTTTTTGTATGGCGGTCATTTTTTAAAAGTTTTTTTGAAAAAAAACGAAATTTCCCATCTAAAAAATTTTTTAAAAATAAATTTGGTCCAAAAATTGAGTGACTGGTCCATTCTATTTTTTATTTAATTTCCAATGTTATTTAGAGCCTTGCTTCTAAATTGCCTCTAAACTTCGATCAGGATCTCTTACATCAAAAAGTATATTTAAAAACGAGCGGTATGTATAGATGAGGATATTGCTTGGCAGTCCTGAAACAATAGCCAAACGAATTTTAAAAAGCATATCTATAATTGAGGACCACAAAATATACCTACCGTTTTTTTTCAACCCAAATTTTAACGTGTAGTAGGGTATTTGGGGGGGATTATTGTTTCAACTCATCCGTATCGGTATATTGTTTTCATACTAATTTATATTGTTGTTTTAAATAAATAAAATTTTTAAAATTACTCTAATAAATAGTATTTAATTACTTATTTAATTTTAAAAGAAAATGAGAATAAATATATGTAATTTATGTAGAAATATTTAAATTAACATTTACTAGCTAATTAATTTTCCCTTAATTATTTATCCTAAACAAAGAAAATTTTTTCCCAAAAATTAGAAACACTTAAAAATATTTTTTTTGTTTTCCTCACTAATTTGTTGCTAAAGTAGTATATTGTTTTCAGTTAAAAAAATTAAATTAAGCTTTAAAATAATGAAGACAATAATGAAAATAAGCTTGAGAGAATTAATTAATTTTTTGGTTAAAGAAAATGGCAAAAAATAATTAAAAAATACTTTAATTTATAATATTTATCTTGTCAGAAAAATTCAGAATTTTGGGCCAAAATTTTGAATTTATACCGAGAGAATTAATTTTTAAACTAGAAAATGTCAATTTTTTGTTTATTTTTTGCCCATAACCTTTGCAATAATTGATCAAAAATTATGAAATTTGTAGAGAAAATAGTTGATACTATTGGGAATTTATGGTAAAAATTTCAGAATTAAAAGGTGAGAAAAAATGTCAAATTAAATTTTTAAAATGCAGTAAGCATCTACTTCAATCTACCTTTAAATTTTTAATTAAAATTAATTTTAAAAATTAAAAAAAATTTTTTTTCGGTAATTTGAACGTTCGCATAAATAAAAAATAATAAAAAAATAATAAATTTAGTTTTTATATTTTTATTGGAGAGGTTAAAAATGTGAGAAGAAGAGAGGCTTTTAAAAGGCTTACAAAAATGAGGCAATAAATAAATTGGAAGATAAATTTTTGGGAAAACATTAAAAGAAAAAAACATCTGCTCAATTTAAATATTTTATATAAAATTATTTAAAAAAGGTGACGGGACTTTTGAATTTTTATTTAAATTATTTGTAGCTTGATTTACTTA